GTGCCGTTGTCATTGGCGGCATCCTGACTTGCCTGCATGACCCGTGGGTCGCTGGAGGTGTTACCGGCGGCAGCTTCTATGCGCTGCCGTTTAAATGGAACCCTAACTGGCGCAGCCGCCGCAACGGGAGCTGCGACACTGGGGGGTTCGGCGCGGCCCTCGTCAGCGTCGCCGCGCATGCGCTCCTGGGCGCCAGGCATGCCTCGTTGCTGCTGTTGCTGCATGTTTTCGCGCTGCAGCTGCTGGGACCAGGAGTCAGGCGGGCCGAGTCCCAGTCCGGGGGAGGTCAGCATTTGCTCCATAGCGCCTGCGAGGAGAATGGGAAGGCGATGATGAGGGGATAAAGCTTGGTAAGCAGCGGAGAGAAGTCGCGGAGTAAACATAGACAGGGGAAACATGCGTACGTGCTTGCAGGGCGAAGGTGCTCGTAGTGCTCGTTGTAAATATACCAAACCACTACGCATTCGCAGCAAGCTCTGGAGTTACGTAGCCCCTCTGCACCCTCTCACCATGCGAGAACGGCGATATCAGCGGCTCGTCAGCAGCAGTGGCGACTCCATCGCCTCCGCCGCCGCCGCTGCCATCCTTGCCGATAGCGACTAACCCATGGGTCGCAGACGCGTTGCGAAGGTCGGTGGGCCCTTGCTCCCGACTTCCTTGCACGTCCGTTCCCGTCCCAGGCTCTGCCATCGGCGTCGGATGCTGCTGTTCCGTACGTATCACACTCGTCTCCGCCTCCGCAGCCGCAGCCGCCACAGCCGCTGTCGCATCGCCCGCTCCCGGCTGGGGGCGGTGCAATGCATCTAGGCTGGTGCCGCCGGCAGCGTTACCGCCAGCCGCGCCGGCGTTGGCAGCGTCATGCGTCTCCGCGGGAACGTCTCCGAGGAGCAGCTCAGAACCGCCGGGGCCCAGGCTGAGCATCCGGAGGCTTGTCCAATTTATCAAGCCCGATAAGAAGTCGTCGCCGCCGTCAGCACCGCCGCCGCCGCCACCGTCGCCATCGCCGGCGGCAGCCCCCCGAACCACTGTGGGCTTAGGCGACGCCAAGCCCAAGCCCAAGCTCAAGCTAAGCTGACGTGGCCACCTGTCAGAGGCACCCCGACGAAGCGGCGTCGGCATGGATAGCGGCGGCGGCATCGATCCGTCAGCCTCGCGGCTACCCAGGCCTCCGCCGCCGCCGCCGCCGCCATTGGCGGCGGCGGCGTCAGAGCCGCCGTCGGGCCCGGCGTTTATTGCGGTAGGCCAGCTAGGGCGGCCCAGAAGTGCTGCCATGTCCGCGGCGACGCCCCTTCGCGCTGCTGCCGAGCTGGGAACATTGGCACGGCCGGTATTGGCGGCGGCAGCGGATTCCGCCGAAGGACGCCCAGCCACCGCCGTCGCCGCCGCCGTCACGACCCGAGGCTGCGTTGACGGCGCTCGCTCGGCTCGGATGCTGCGCCAGCGAGGGAGCGGCGCAGGCGTTACGGCGGCGGTTAGGAACGCTGACACCGGCGGTGGCGGCGGCGACGCGAAGCCTGCGGGCGAGCCTGGTATGAAGCCGTACATTCGCCGAATAAGGTTAACGTCGAGGGCCGGGCCTGCAATGCAGTGGTATCGCGGGTGTTGGCACTACCATACAGGGTCGGGAAGGCTTGCTTCTTGCACCAAGTTAAGCCTACACAGATTAAAGGTTGCTTTGAACACCCTCAAGTAGCGAGAGCATGGCTGTATGCGATCATGTGTGTACCTCGCCTGCGTTTCATTTCCCCTCATTGGCATACCACAAAGAGCCGCGAATTGCATGCTTTAACGACGAGGTTGTTCCCTAAATACTCGACTCGAGAGCCATCCCCGACCCGTCCTCCCGCGCCCTTCTAAGCTCCTTACCTCCTGGACTGATGGAGGGAAGGGACTGAAAGGGAGATGCTGCGAAACTGCTCGGAGGTGACAGCAGCGACGGCAGCAGGGGCTCGGCATCCGCTAGCAGCGACGGAGACGACGGCGGAGGCTGGGCCGACGGGGGGCGGTCGGCCGGCACCGCCGCCGCCGCCGCCACCGCCGCCGGCGCTGCTGACGTCACTGGGGTCACCGCTGTGCTGGCGGCTGCGAGAGGCGCCTCCGGCGGCGGCCGCGCGGTCGTCGCCGGCGCCGCCGCCGCCGCATTGGAAGCCGACGATAGCGGCGGCGGCGGCGGCTTTCGACCACGCCGCGAGGGTGGCGGATGTGCGGGCTCGACCGTCTGCGTGGAATGCGAGCAAGCGATGGCGTAAAGGAAGGGGTCATAGATGGTTACTGGGAGATGGGACTGTTAGCGGACTGTTAGCGGACTGTTGCGGTTGTGTGCAAGGCCCAGCTTACAGCAAAGCAAAGCCGTTCCGTAGCATGACTGATGCTGAGTCGTGCCTGCATGCCGTAGTGCTAGAAACCCAAAAGGGTGCTGGGACCCACGTTTCTGACCCAACGCCCGAGCTGTGTCCTTTGCAACTATGCCTTGCCATATCCCAAATTCCCAATACGGTAATTGTCAGCGTAGTTACGCGGCTTAGTTTAACACCCTACCTTGGGCGCCTGCGGGCTCTGAGCCTGCAGCATGAAGAGGCGGCTCGGGGAGGCGAGCTCCTGGGGGGAGCTGCCGGGACCTGCCATACCTGCATGTTCGGCATGTACGGCATGTGGCGTGTTTGTGTGGTGGAATAGTATACCAGCGGCACACGCTATGGGCGCCGTATGCTGATGACAGCGCGCACAACATACGGTATGCGTGTTGGTTCAGTGATCGTCTGGGTCGGAGTGATGTGGGTCGGATCCATCTGGGTCGAATTCCATGTGGGTCGGCTTGGATCCGACGAGCAAGCCGTCCACGAACAGCGGAACAGCTCGCCACTAAAGCAGCCTCCCTACGGAGCGACCAAGACTGCGGGACAGACTCACCTCGCATGTCGATCAGCGGTGCGGGGCTGGGCGGTAGCGGTGGCGGCGGCGGCAGCAGGAACGCATCCAAGGGCGGTTGTCGCTGCTTCTCTCCGTTCGGTGGCCCTGTTAGCTGCTGATCATGCAAACCTCGCTGCCAACCTTGCTGCTGATCTTGGGTCCGTTGCTGCTGCTGTTGCTGCTGCGGCGGCGGCGGCGGCAACGGCGGCAACGGCGGCAACGGCGGCAACGGCGGCGGCAGTTGTCGCGGTTGGTTACTATTGTTAGGGTTGTCAGGCCGTCGCGTTTGTCGTGGTCGTACGACTTCCTTCCGGTCTCGGAAACCTTCCGCAGCTGGTAAGCTAACGGCACGAGTTGCTGTAGGCCCCTCCGCCGCCTCCTCCGCCGTCATATCAATGACATCTGCATCCGCCGCGAATGCCACGGGAACGTTGAGGTACGGCAATAATGGCGGTAGCATGCAGCGCTGTACGGCGGCCCGGCGGTCAATGACCCAGTCGTGGACAGCAGCAAACTACAAACATGCTCAGTTGCTCACCCTCGTTTCCAACATTCGCGCCGGCTGAACCTTGTCGGCGCCGTCTTCGAGGATACATGGTCGGTGTGGTCGTCGTGTCCTTCTAACGGTTGTAGCACGGTGATAGGTCTTCAGCCACCCTGAGGCGTAATAGCCCTTGGTTGGTATGATTTGCACCTTAAAGAAAGTGCAAATGTCTCCAGTAGTGCGTTGGCAATGCTTGCGGCTTGCAAGGGCTACGTAAGGCGCGACCCGAGGGTCCCGAAATGTAAGCCCTCCAGCAAATCAAGCTCCAGCAAGGGATATGCCAGGTTGCGAAGCTCTTGCAATCTGGAAACCAGGAGCATGTGCTTCTTGGCCTTTGCGAAAAGTGGGACGCCAAATTCAACGCGGCTTTTCGCGGGATGAATGTCTTGAAGGCCTGCGCCGCCCAGTTGAGGCTTAAGAGCCCTGCTCGCTCAGCGATTTGCACGCTGTCTGCGACAACTAGGGTCCTGTACCTCTATCTTACAGCAGCTGCCGTCCGTTGTGACACAGGGCTGGCTAAGACTCCCGTCAACGTCAGGTGCGCTTTTCCGCTCGGAGGCAGATCCGTGGCTAGCAACAGCGGTCGTGAGTAGCCTGCAACAGAAGGCTGTTGACGTTGTTGCCTGCCAGTCCCGTGTGACTGCACAGAGGGTTCTCGAGCTCCTGTCAACCAGGCCCAAGCCGCGAACGCAGGCTTGGTTGCAAACAGCCTATCCACGTTCCTAACGCTCGTTATGGCGTTGCTGTGTGTTTAGACGTGTAGACTTTGACGCATTGCTTCCTGCATGTGAGGTTGGGTGTTGTGAATGTTGGTCGCATGGCGCGGAATCGGGGACTTCCTCGGGCAAATCGCCTCATCAAGCCGTACAATGCTGGCTCTCCCGCAACTCAAAACGCGGTCCACTTCCACATTGGAGAGGTCATCCTTACAGCAGCCGACGTCATGTCTTGTGTTGCTTCGTGTCTTGTTACAACATCATACAAAGCTTGGAACCAGGAAAGTAGAGGAGTTTTCAAAGCGGCGGCTGTTCGAGTAAAAATATGTGCTCTGCATGTGCCTGAGGTTACGTTACTGGTAAATCCTAGTTCCTACTTGTCCTTCGCGCGAACCGTGGGTCCGATCTGCCAGCTGCCCTTTAACTCCTTGAATTATAATAAGTTTCAAGCTTTATATATTCAGATGTTTTCTTTATTTCGTTGGGACTGCCATGTGGTAAACAGGCAGGGGCTTGCAAGCTTTCGAAGCTGCTAATGTTTCTATGGTGGAAGCGCTGACAACGTGAGAAGTGCTGGCAAGCTTTCAGAGGCAGGACTGGGGCCATCGCCTAACCAATGATGCATTGTTTACTTGCCTGCGCTGCAATTGCGCAAATTGACTGCCTAGACTGGCTTGAGCGCACAGATAGCAAGCAAAGGCATGGACATCGTCACCGTAGCTCCGTCAGAAGCGGAGGGCTTACCTAGCCCTGCCTTTCCAAGCCGCTCTGCCAAGCACGCTGACTGCACGCCGACACGCTGGACGGACACTGAACACAGCTTCCTCTGGAAAGCTGACCCGGCCAGGTCTCATCTTACAGGACGGAGGGGAGCTACGGTCCCTCACGGAACCAACGGCGCCGCGTCTAGTAACACAACGTGCACTCTTCCCCACTCGCAATGTGGCCCATGCGATCACATGCGGTTGGATACAGCGTTAGAGGACATTGTCACCTAGCAAGCATCCTGCGGTGGGCTTGGGCATCTGCGCTAACAACCAGATGCTGCCCTGTCCTAACCAGTCCCAACCACCAAACGGGCACCACATATTTAACGATTTTGCGCTAGGCGTAGCATTAGCACGTCCATAAGCAGCGAGAACAAAGCGCCGTACACATACCTCCATTACGGAGGGCGTTCAACACAGTTTAGCAATTAGCCAGCTGCTGCATACCGTATACTCTTAAGTCTAATGTCCTGGGTTGCAACAACGCAACAACACGCCCTCGTCCAACGATGCGTACAACAACAACAGCAGCTAGGCAACCGCCTGATTCCCCTGTCACTCACCTCTCCTCTCACCACGTGTCCAACTTGCAACGTTCATTGAGCTTGTAAGTCCCAACCGCCACTCCCACGTCTCACATACATGAACACCAGTACTGTCATCTGGCTCATGGTAGAAACCTGCGGCCCCATGCATCTCCTGCTAGCACTCCTGCTCGCGCTTCCCTACTCCACAAAGCCGTGCTGGCCCGGTCTGTGAGCCTCTCTCAGCCACAGCGCTCCTCTCTCAGCTATCCCTGTGTAATACTGTCCTCACGCCACTCACACACTGCACACCCAGCTCCCCCTGCGGCTCGTGCTGCCCTACCAGGGCTTGCACTACTACATACCGCTCTGCCCTGCCCCGGACACCGCTCTGCCCCGGCTGCTGCTGCTGGTGTCCCTACTCCTGTTGTTGCTGCAGCTGCGCCGACCGCACGCCCTCTACGAATTCCTCCAGGCTGACTCCCCCGTCACCGTTGAGGTCCAGGGCGGCCATGAGGGCTGCGGCGTCCCGGTCGCTTGCGGGGGCAGCCAGGTCGAGCAGCGCCTGCTGCACCTCACCTGCACGGGGGGAGTGCAGGGGGGCAGGCGTTGCGGGTCAGGGCGCATGAAGATAGTAAGGACAGCGACTTCCTTATAGGAGGCACAATGTTCCGTTCACAAAAAGCCAGGTAAGAAGGGGCGCAGGGTTGTGGGCAAGGGTAAGCGCAAAAGCGTTCGGGAAGGAGAAACGGGAGAGGCATGCAGGCAGGAACAATTGGGATGGTTGCTGCAGGTCCTAGTATGCCGTCAACCCAGGTCCTGCCTGGAACTCCCATTGAACACCAACTTCAGCGCCCTATTGTGCAAGCGAACCGGCGTAGCCCCCCAACGAACCGGCGCCCCGCACACCCAACCAGCAACCGCCCACCTAGACTAAGGCGACCGTCTCCATTCACGTCCAGGTGTCTGAACAACTCCTCTGCCGCCGCAGCCGCATCTCGAGGCGGAAACCCAATCACCACAGCCTCATCAAACTCATCGATGCTACCCAGGCTGCCGAACAGCATGGCCCCCGCCTGCTGCGGCCCTCCGCCCTCCTCCAATTGCTGCTGCTGCTCTCCTCCTAACCATTGCTGCCGCTGATCCGGCAGCTGATGCGAACCCTCCAGCAGCTGGTCCGGTAGCTGCCCTTGCTGCTCCGGTTGCTGTCCATTTAGGCTTGACCCTGGCTGTCCATGAGCTGTTGAGCTCGAAAGGAGGAGCGATGGGGGGCTGCTCGAGGGCATGGGAAGGGCGGCGGAGGCTGCCGGCGAGGAGGTAGGCATGGCGGCAAACACGTGTGGAGAGGGGACGGCGAGGGGAGGTGCTGAAGCGCCGACGTTACCATTGCTGGTTGCTGCTGTGGTTGCGGTTCTTGATGACCCGTTTGCAGCAGCCTCAATAGATGCGACTGGAAGGACGGCTCCTTTTCCTCCGCATTGCCGCTCCTTCGCGGGCGTCCCGCGGTCTAGTCGTCGCTGGTCCTCACGTTCGTGCGCATCGCTGGGACCATCTTCATGTCTAGCGGCAGTCGCAGCAGTAACGGGCATCGCGCCGTCGCGCCGTGGCTCTACCCTGGGCGGGTGCAGGTGCGGGGGCTTCGTCGCAAGCGGCGGCGATGGTGGAAGCCCGGGCGTATGTGCGACCGACCCGCCGGGTCGGCGCGGCCGGGGCAACAGCGTCGGCACGGGCGGCTCCATTGCCGCACCAACAACAACCACACCAGCAGCACCTTTTGGATCCAAGGAATGAACCACAGCTGATGCGGCGGGGGGAGTAGGCTCCTCCACGGCGGCAGTAGCAACCGCCGCACCAGCAACGGCGTCAGGCGACGGCTCTGCTGCCGCTGCTTCGGCAACGGCGGTCGCCGCTGCGGCGGCTGCCGCTGCCCGGCGTTCCCGCCTGCGGCGGCGGCGCTCTGCTGCCGCCTGTGCCTCTTCAGGGCTCAGTGATGCTTGCGACCTGAGGGCGCCTCCCTTAGACGCCGCCCGCAGCAGCAGCTGGCCGCGAGGTGAGCTGGCCAGCCGCGATCGCAGCTCCAATGTCCATGCCTGTGACACGAGACCGAGTGGTTGGGCATGAGTTGGGTTCGTGGGTGCCGTACGTGTCACAGTCAGTGGTTTGCGGTAAGGCTGCGCTCAGAGGGTTTACTCGAAACTAAACGTAATGGAGGTGACTGTATACCGGTATGCACGTCTTCGCATTGTTACTTGAGTGTAACAATGCGAAAGCGTTAGGGTCTGACCTAGTTTGCGCTCTCCGGTTCCTCAAAAAGCTGACGCATCGAAGCAACCAAGCCAGCAATCAAGCAGGAAAGCAAGCAAGCGAGCGCCCCACCTGCAGCTGTCGTGCGGTGTGTGCGTCCATGCCGCCCTTGTACACCGCATGTGCCGCATCGCCGCTCTCCGCCGCCCGGTCCATGGCGTCCGTGCGGATCTGCAGCTCCATGAACAACGGCCCAGACGGACCCATGGGTCCGTCGCCCGCAACATCCGCCGCTGCTGCTTCAGACGCTTTCCCGGTGCCGTACGGGTACGTTGCGTTGGTTGACTGGCTATCCAGCTGCAGCGTGAGGTGGATGGACTGGTAGCCGTTTACTTTGGGTGTGGTGACGTAATCCTTGGACCGAGTCGGAATGGGGCGCCACAGGTTGCATGCGACCTACGCACAGTACAGGAGTTGTGAACATGTCCTTCAGACGTCCGCCGTACACCGGCAGGCACACAAAATCTCTAACACAAGCGGCCGGTTTTGCCAACACACATACGACCACAAGCGGACGCGATGAGAACCCCTGGATTGAAAGCTGGGAGTGTCACATCTCTAGGGGTACCCCACCCCCTACCTCCTGCACGATGTAGCATGCCTTGGTGGCGGCCGCCTCCGCCTCCCCCGGTGGCAGGTGTGGGGGCGGCTGCACAATGACACGCATGCCCAGCAGGTCGTACAGCTCCTGCCGTACGGTTGGGGCAGTTTGTGGTTTCGGGGGAACAGTTAAAGCGTACAATACAACGCCGGCAAAGTACGGTAATACACTCAAGCTGTGCGCGAGAGTGGGGCTTAGAAGACATACCCAGCGCCAAGCCAACGGGCTATCTCAACCCAATCCACAAATGCCATACAACAACGGCATCCTTTCATCCCCTACATGGCTACCATTCCACAAGGAGGATGCAACCCACGCCAAGTCTCTGAACCCATCCCAGCCCCCAGCCCAATCACCTCCCGGCTCCTCCCTCCTCGCGCCATGTCACCCAGGTGCAGCAGCTTCTTCATCACACTGAACAGGCTCTTGGTGCGCGACTTGATCAGCAACCCGCCCGACAGCGCACCAAACTGACGGGGCAGACGGGGAGGGTTAGCCAAGGTCAGCCGCAAAGGCTTACCTTACCAGTGGAGATGCCGCCGAAACTACCGAAACTACAGCTGCCCAAGAGCTCGAAAGCCTCATAATGTCATACATGGATCCGACGGATGGTGTATCACCAACAACCCCCCCTCCCCCCCGCTGCCCCCTCCCACCTGCGGGTGTGCCTCCAGGGTGGCATGCAGCTGCTGCCGTGCGGCTGCCAGGCCGGCCTCCCCCGGGCCCAGCAGCGCGCGCAGCCAGGCGGAGGTGGAGGCGTAGGAGCTGGGGAACAACACCTGCATGCGGGAGGGAGGAGGGGGAAAAAAAAATTCCAAAGTGTGGTATGATAATGATATAAGTTGCTATGATGATAATGATACAAGGGAGGAGGGGGGTGGGGGGGGGAGGAGGAGAGGGAAGGAGGAGAGGGCAGGAGGGGTGGCTGGTGTGTTGGACTAACAGCGGAAGGCTGCTGCTGGTCGAGGGGTGCAGGAGGCGTGTACTCCAAGGCGGGAGACGGGAGGTCTTCTGACTCCCCACCGCTTCAGCTCCCCACACCCGGCCTGCTCGCTAGTTCCGTCAGCACCATGACTTCCACTTGGGGCTCCTGCGGTCCTGCACTCCTCGCCACCTTCTACCCGCCCGCCCTTCACCCACCCAACCCACACCCCACCCGCAGGCATATGTCCTCCATCATGGCACTCAGCGGCCCCAGACCCAGCGCGTGGCCCAGCGGGGCGCCGATCTGGAGCGACTGTGGGGGGGTGGGGGGGGGGAAAGAGGGGAGAGCGAGCGAGCGAGGTTGGTTGGAGAGGATGGGACGAGGGAAGTAGCGCGGGATGACATCTGTTTTGAGGTTACGTTGGCTTTTGAAGCCAGCCTACTCTTTCGACTTCTTCCAAGTGTGGCGGGTGGCTCCTTGCTGACACCCCTCCTCCTTTCCCCCCTCCCCATCTCACCTCCATTGCCAGCGCCTGCTGCTCCCCCCTCGGCAGCCCCCCCAGGTGCTGCAGCTCGTCCCACCAGCCCACCACCTCCACCGCACACGCGCGCACGTCGTGACACGCCAGGCACCACTCGCGGACCGCGCTGCCCGGTGCGGAGGGAGGGAGTAACATATGAGTTACAGGGGGCGGGCAGGCAGTCAGGGATGGAGGGGTGTTGTGCAGGCTGTGCAGGCGTGGCGGTAGGTGACTAGGCACACAGCTAGCCATGTGGTAACCAGAAAAGACAGCCATTGGTCCCTTTACAAACCGGTCACCCATGCGCATCCCAACCCCATCCCCCCCCCCCACCGCACCCTACCTCGCCCCCTCATCATCCAGCACCTCGATCCGCTGCGGCGCCTCACGCACCCGCAGCATGTCATGCACCAGCGCCGCCACGCCGGGACCCAGCTGCGCGCGAATGACGTCATGCCCCAGCGCCCCCAGCTCCGCAGCCTCTGCCACCACCCCCGCACACATCGCGGCCGCATCCAGCGGTAGCCCCGCGGCGCACAGGTCTGCCAGGGTAGAGGCGAGTTGTACGGCACGAGTGGCGGGAGTACGGCCGTCGCGGCGTGGAGGTGCGGATTGAAGGGATGCGAGGGCGAGTTTGAGGGCGGTGATGATGGCCTCGAAGTGTTGTTGTTGCTGTTGTTGGTTTTGTTGCGGGTGGGGGTTGGGTTGGAGTGGAGGTGGTTGATGGTGCTGGTGTTGGAGGGGTGTTGGAGGGTGCATCCAGGGCTGGCGGGTATTGGCGCTGATGTGTGCATGCTGCTGCTGCTGTTCTTGCTGCTGGTGGTGCTGGTGCTGCTGTTCTTGCTGCTGGTGATGGTGGTAGTGATGGATCGGTGGTTGGAGCAGAGCGGACAAGGCTCCCGTCTGGTGGTGCTGCTGCTGCGCCTGCTGCTGCGGCTGTTGCAGCAGCGCATGGGCAGCAGACCCACTTGCTATGTGCTCCGGTAACAGAGACGGACTGGCATCCGACACGGTAACAGGCTGCAGCAGGGCCTCCACAGGCCTTCCCACCGCAACGCCATCCGCGGCACCCCAACCGCTCGCACCGCCGCCGCCGTCCCTGCCGGCTGTATCCCTTGGCTGCGGGTACGTGCCACCCGCCGTCGCCACCGCTGCTGGGGCCGTTGGCCCCTCCATGGGGTCGGTGGAGTCCAGGGAGGTGCCTGGGGCCAGGCGGCTGGACACCTGCGCCCAGGCGGACGCCAGCTGGGCCATGGAGGCAAGGCCGCGGCGGGCCGCGGCGGCATCTGCAGCGGTAGCGAGGGCGGTGGTGGCGGCGGGCGCATGTTGTGGGGGTGGTGGTGGCGAGGTTGAGGGAGCGGGGTGTAGGTTTGGAGGAGCTGCGGCTGTGGTTGTGAAGGGTGGGGAGTTGGCGGGTGTAGCGGTATGGCTGCTGGTGTGTGGTAGGGTTGAGGGCGGTGGGGTTGAGCTGACGGGAATGGAGATGGCGGTTCGTGCAGGGAGGTTTCGTACCTGGAGTGGGTTTTGGGCAGGCGGGGTTGTGAACGTCAGGGGCGTACATGGCCTGAATGATGCAGGGTTCGGGTATGGCACTGTTGAGGGTTGCAAAGGTGGCTTGTGTGGTCACCGGGTTAGAGGCTACCACGCACGCACGAGTCGGCCAGAGGTGGCCACACATCGCAGTCTCCCAGAGCGGCAAGAAAAAGGGCTTAAATGTTATGTTCATTCGCGCAATTATTACCGGTAGCGCTCGCACCTGCGTCTCAGCGTTCAGGCATTCACACTTGCACGGTTGTCGCCGAACGCCAGACGCTAAAGACGACGGCGCCTTTGTGTTCCCAATGCCCCAAGAGTTCCACCTCGCATATGTTGCATAGCGACACCTTCCGCGCAAGAGCTGCGTGTCGCCAATATGGAAGTGTCCGGAGCTGAGCATCATTATAATAAAGCTGGTGAGGGTAACACTAAATAGTACATCGAGGTAAGCTGCAAAGGCCCACGGCCTGGAACACAGGTGCTCCACTTCAGTTAAAGGGCTTTGTCACGCATTGCACTCAAGCAGCCTACAAAGCCAGATAAGTGTAAAAGCTTATATGTATTCCTATGTTTGGAACGTATGTTCTTGTATTGATGGTATCGCTGGTTGGATTTTGCAGCTGTCGTGACACGCTGTGCCCATCCACGCCCATGTCGATGTGCCCCGTTTCGCTGCACGTATCTAGCACGCCGTATTAGATACCCCAAAGGAACTGTTCTCATGATATGTCGTGCGCTGCATGAAGAGCTGGTTAAGTGCTTTACGCGGCAAAATAGCAGGCACTACCCACCGTAAGAACGATCTAATAATGCCTTGTTTAGTATATTTAAGATGATCTTAAGCCACTTTTTGTCTATGAAGCTTGCGTAGCTTAGCTCGACTTGACATTGATGCCACTTGCGAGTCCTTGGGCTGCGGCGTGCTGCAAGTGGTTGCTCCGCAGCAATGGACGATGACGACTGGGTAAGCGTCTTTGCTCATTATCGTCCTCCATTCGTGAGTTCCTACCATCACTTAACCCAGCACCAAAGGCTCCTGTATTTCTGCCTAGCGCTTCTATACCCGCCACGCCTCTCTTCCTGCCACCCTCGTCCAGGACGTCGACTTCGACGTGGATGCGGTCGTTGAACAGCACCGGCAGCGAGAAGCGGCACTCGCGTCGGCAGGACACAGTGCCTCAGCGCTTCCGGCTTCTGCCACTGCATCTGGGCCTGTTTACCCGGCCGCGGCCCAGTGGGCACCCCAGCCACAGGGAGCAGGACCGGCAGCTCCCGCGGTCCATGGCGCTGCAGCGGCGAGCACGGGTGCAGGCGGCTGGCGGGCACCTCCACAGCAAGTGCAGCCGCACGGGGCACCGCCACAGCCGCAGAATGCATGGTCTGGTCAGGCCCCGCCTCCGCAGCAGCAGCCAAACGCCTATGGACGCACCGCTCCCCCACTCCAATTTGTCGCAGCACAGCGGCAATCGCAGCAGGCTCCAACGTATCAGGGGCATGGTCAGAACCAGAGCCAAACTGCTGGATGGTCCCAAAAGCCGGTAGGAAACCAGTCCTACCTCAACCCTGCAGGACCCGGACCAGCGCAACAGTACCAGCAGCCAACCCAACAACACTGGCAGCAGCCCCAGCCCCCGCAGCAGCAACAACTCCATCCGCACCGCCAGCATCAGCCGAATCCGCAATACCAGCAGCAGACACCGCCACAACAGCATCAGCAGCGTTGGGTTCCACCAGGACAGCAACCGCACGCAGCAGCTACGGCTACAGCTGCCGCCCACAACCCCGGGGCCCAGAGCGGGGTGGGCTGGCAGTCCAAGCCCAACCAACCACCCTCCGGACCCGGGGGCATGCCTTTTCAAGCCCCAACAGGAGGCCCAGGGTCCGCAGTAGGTGGCACAGCGGCTGGCGGCAGCGTTGTTGGCAGCGGCGGTCCTGCTACTACTACTCAACAGGGTCAGCAGCAGCCGGGCTGCGCATCGCTCCAACAATCCCGCGACAAGTGGGCCAAGCCGCGGCCCCACCGCCCTGGTCTGGACGCCCCGCGGCAAGGCAGCATGGCCGGCGCAGGCGCCGCCTCTGCCCCCGCATGGTCAGGCCCCGGCGGCGGGACGAGGGCGCCGACGACCCACGGCGCGACGGTGGGTCCTGCACCCGGCAGCTTGCCCGGGGGTTCAACTGCTGGTGGCATTCTGTCAGCCAGCAATGCGGGGCAGCAGGCAGGGAGCGCTGCAACAGCTTGGGCACCCCAACCCAACCCGCATGCAGGCAGTAACGCAATGCCATCAGCTGCAGCGACTCAGCAGCAGCAGCCGGCGGTGGGGCCTACACCTGCGTCCTCCACGTATGGAGGGGGCCAAACGTGTGACTGGCAGGAGCAGCAGCGTCCTGCGGGTCCCCAACAGGGCTGGCAGCCTCCAGGGCAAACGCAGCAGCAGGGGTGGCGACCCACATCGCAAGCGTGTGGCGGAACGGTGCTGGACCGGTCTGCCAGCGGACCGCAGCACCAGCAGCAGCAGGAGTGGCATGCGCACCCACCGGCGGCGGCAGGAAACCAAGCAGGGCAACAACGCTGGCAACCCCCGGACAAGCAGCAACAGCAGCAGCATGGGCAGCAACTGGTACCCGGGTCACTGCCACCACCGCAGCAGCAGCAGCAGCGGCCCTACCAGCATGGCCCATACCAAGCGCACGCGCACAGCCCCCAGCAGCAACAACCTACACATCAGCATTCACATCAGCCGCAGCAGCAGCAGCAGACGTTATCCCCTCCCCGGCAACCCGGTGGCCATACAGGGGACATAGATCCGCAAGGTTTCGGGCTCCGAAACCAGCCACATGTGGCTCCCATCAGCAGCGGCTGGCGGGCTCCTAGCGGCGAGCCGCCCTCTGGTGACGGTCCATACGGCCAGCCCTTGCCTCCCGAGCAACAACAAAACCCCGCAACAGCTTATGGCCAAGCCGCCCAGCAAGGCTGGGTGCGGCCTGCCGCCCCTCCCGAGTCCTCATGTGTGGGTGTCCGGCCGCCCGTTCAGCCCGCGCAACCGCCGCAGTCCGGACAGACCGGGTGGGTCGGCCCGGCTGCTGGGTCCGATGCTCCGGCCTACGGTTTCCGCAGCGACGTGAGCAACGGCCCCTCCGGCGGGGCTCAGAGGCCCGAGGACACGGCTGACGCCACCACAAGGTACGGCATCAACGGACCGCAGCGACAGCCTGAGGCTGAGGGAGCAGGGGCGCTGCAGAGCGACCCCGCCGCTGGCGCCCTGCTGGATGTGCCCCTGCAGCAGCGCAAGCAGCAGCGCCGCAGCCAACCCCCACAGCCGGCCTCCGAGCTCCAGCCCCCTGCCGCTCAGCACCCCAAGCAACAGCAATCCCTGGGTAAAGCCAATGCCAGCGCCAACACCACTGCTGGCGGCACCGGCGCGCAGGTGGGCCAGGGTACGGCACAGCGATCAGGACCGGGCAAGGGCGCCGCAACCGCACAGCTACCCGCACCACCCAGCGATTCAGGCTACTGGGACAGCAAGTTCGGGCCCGCAGCTCGAGCGGCGTCGCGGCAGGTGGCGTCACCGGAGCTGCCGCCGCCGGCGCCCTTGCCATTGCCGCGTGCGGGTGCGGCGGTGGACGGCAGGCAGGGACCGGCTGCGGAGAGGGAGAAGCTGGCGCCGGTGGATGTGGACGACCCGGAGGTGGTGGGTCTAGCAGGGCGGGATGGGGACCGCGGGGCTTCAAAACTTGGAACTAGGAGGACAGTGAGAGGGTGTCACGGTGCCGCCAATGCAACACTTAGCCGCTCTGTGTCTCATCAGCGATCCGCTTCTTCATTCTAGGAGCGCCGGGAAGGCGAGTTTCCCCATGCCGCCATGCGGGCGTGTGTTGATCCACGCAGGCCCGGGCGTTGCTGGCAGGGGAGTGGGTGGAGCTGCCGGCCCCAGAGGGGGAGGACGCGGGCGGCGGGGCGGGCGCTGCCGGCGGCCCCGCACTGGGGCCGGGTGGCGAGGTGCTGGTGCCCAGTAGCGGGGCCAACCCGGGCATGCTGCTGCATGCGGTGCATGCCAGGTGGGGGGGGGCTACATGGTGGCTGGGTAACTGCTGCAGCGCTGGTGGCATGAGCGCATGACCGATGCAGGGATAGCACAGGTCGCTGCGAGTATAGCCTCATACGTATTCCCCCACCCCCCATCCCCGCCTCCCACCCCCCGCAGGACGTGGCTGTACCCCAAGGACATGCCTGTGCGGCGCTACCAGTACGCCATGGTTCGCTCCGCGCTCTTCCACAACACGCTGGTGTGCCTGCCCACCGGGCTGGGCAAGACGCTCATTGCGGCCGTGGTGATGCTCAACTACTACAGGTGAGCGGATGAGCGGTAACGAAGAAACATTTAACTGACCGTGTGATAAGGCGTCATCATGGTTTGCAACATGCGAGCCAGCCCAACCCGCCCCGCCCGAATAAGCCAAGCCAGGCAGGAAGGAAGCGGATGAACGGGGAATGCAGGGCGCGGAGGAGGTGTCATGCTGGCTCCTGGCGTGGTTGGGTTAATGGTGTTTTGCTTGGGCGCCTTGCTTGCGCCCTGGTCTAGGTGTGTCACCGCAAGATGCGCCGAGCGCGTCAAACTTGAATGCCGTACGTCGTATGCATGGATGCATCGTGCAGATCCCGGTGCTGCCTGTGCCGCTGAGCTTCTCCTGTCCTCGCGCCGCTCCACAGGTGGTTCCCCGGCGGCAAGATTGTGTTTGTTGCGCCCACGAAGCCCCTCGTTGAGCAGCAGATGAAGGCCTGCAAGGAGAAGACATGCATACCCAAGGCAAGCTGGCTGCGAGCCCTCCCCTCGCGGCTGCACTAGCTGCCATTGCTTGTCTCTTTCTCGCAACCCTTGAAAGCTCGCCACCGCTCGCCCCTTACATGCCGCAATCCTCACACGACCAGCGCGTTCCTTTCCTCATTCCCATAAGCACCCTCAAGCCTTCCCCGTACTTTTCCCACCCTTCCCCGTTCTTCTTCCACCCCTTGTCCCACTTGCAGGCCGACATCGTGCAGCTGACCGCTGCTCGCGGCGGCTCCACGGACGGCCGAGCCGCCGAATGGGCCGCCCGCCGCGTCTTCTTCTGCACCCCGCAGATCCTGGAGAACGACATCGAAAAGGGAATCTGTCCTAAAGACAAGTGGGTGTTTGCGTTTTAGGGGAGCACATGCGGCACGGTCAAACCTACTTGACATCCGGCGAAAGCTGCCGTACTGCCGTACTGCCTGGCGTTATGTGTAATGCTGCTGAGCTAGCGCTGAGCTGCACTCCTCTTGCTCATGCCCCTCTGCACCTTCCCTAATGTCACATGTCTCCTCCCTAACCAACCCTCCCCCCCAGGCTGGTGCTGGTGGTGGTAGACGAGTGTCACCGGGCCACAGGCAAGAACGCGCCGGTGGCTGCCCTTCAGGTGCGGCTGTGAGGGGGCAGCGATGTGGTTGAGTCTGAACCGGTTTCCAACCGATATCCCAACTGCCCTTATCATCAACTGCTCATTCACAGCACCTTCTTAAAACCCCCCCCCCGCTGCCTGCATGCATGCATCCACACCTGCATGCATACATCCAGACCTTCTGAATGCCTACATCAACACCTCCATCCCCGCCCCCTCCCACACAGACCCTACGCGCCGAGCGCCAGCGGGTGCGCATCGTGGGTTTGAGCGCCACCCCCGGCTCCAGCGACACTGCGGTGCAGGAGGTGATTCGCAACCTGGGTGCCAGCAGGGTGGAGTTCCGGAGCGAGGAGGACGAGGACGTCAGCGTGTACTGCCACCGCAAGCAGGTGGGCTCCTCTCCTCACCTGCTATCCTTGCAACCCTGGAGAGGAGGCAGGGATGGTCTGTTGTCTAGGTATACATGTGTCCCCACCTCAACAAGCTGACATGCTAGGGATACATCCACGCTACATGCTGTCGCAGCCGGCCCTGCACCCATGAGCACCATCTTCATCACGTTTCTTCCTTTCTTCTTCCAACTAGCTCTTCCAGCATGCCCGGCCTGCCCACCATCTCCATGCTCCTCCACCACCACCGCCCCCACCCCGCCGCCCCCAGGTTGACGTGCTGGAGGTGGATCCCGACAACATGCTGAAGCCCGTTGCGGAGGGCGTGGTGGCGCTGCTGCGGAGGGTCAACGACAAACTGCTGCGCTACCGGGTAGGGCAGGTGGTGGGCCAGGTCAGCCAGTGCGGTGGGGGGTTGAAAATCTTGAGATGTTTGGGTTGGGGTGCTTTTGGGGTAGTAATTTGGTAGACGTTGGTGAGACCCATGGGTCTTGACAGACTGGAATGGAGTCGCCAGGCCTTGGTCGAAGATAATTATATACCAGGTTACCAACAGTACCGCACTACCCCCTGTTCGCCGCAGTTGGTGACCCGATCTGACGCGGAGAATGTGGGCAGGGTGGAGTTCCAAAACAAGCAGAAGCAGTTCCAGGTGGGGGGCGGGGCGGGCGGGGCCTGCAAGCCCCCTGAACACTGCAGGGGCCCTCCGCGGCAGGGAGGGTGCTGCATGCGGTGCTTGTGCCTTGGGGCTTGGCTACCCGCCTCCCATGCCGCTCCCACCGTACCTTGCTGAGCTTGGATTGCTACTTAACGGATGCTGTAATCTTGCTGGGCGCAGTTGAGTCTTCCGGATAACAAGAACATCGACAAGTCGGCTGTTCCCAAGATATATAACTTCTTCTACCAGGTGTGTTGGAGAGCGCTGGCGTCATGATTCCACATCTAGACCACATTCGTTGCGCAGCACGCTCGGCATGTCCCTTCTCCTCCCGCGGTCAGAGTCTGCATGGATGTCAACCCTCTTCGGTCGCCTCATCCCAGCTTTTCCTTTCCGCGTCCTTCTGCTCCACTTCCTCCACCGCCCTGCCCTCTCCTTCCCTCTTCTCCCTTCTCTTCTCGCTATCGTGCACAGCTGTGTACCATGATCATCATCTCCTTCTTCCCCCTCCATCCTCTTCCCTTCCCCACATGCCTGCAGGCCATCTTCCTGTCCAGCCTGCTGGAGCAGATCACGGCCCAGGGAGCCCAGATGGCTGCGGACTTTGCGCGGGTGGAGGTGGGCAAGCACGCGGCGGACTACCTGAGGGACCTGGTCACGCTGCCGGAGTGGAAGGTGCGGGGCGGGGCACGCAGGCTGGACTGGCTGGCTGGCTGGGTTGCCGTAGCAGGTGTTGGGCTAGGGCTGTAGAGCGGTGGCATGCATGGTGGGTTCAGGCAGATGCATGTATGGTCCGCATAAACCTGGTGTGCTGCAGACGGTCCCGTCGTGCGGATGTCTGTTACGGTTCCACCCCCCACCCCCTCCGCAGGCTGTGCGGCAGCGGTTGGAGGAGTGCGGGCGTTACTCGAACCCCAAGATGCGGCGACTGGAGGTGAGCGGGCGTGGGCATCATGCGTGTGTATGTCGTCGTGTGAGCTCCTGAATTGCGACACGGCACCGGCATCGGGTTGCACATCCGCTTCAAAGCAACGGCCACTGTCATGCGACTACCCGTATCCCAACTCCACTGCAGCAGCTCTCATGCAAGGTTGATCACCTGATCTGCTACCCCTCCAAGTGCCGGGATTTGACTGAAGCATGCTGGTTGGCCTGCTTCGCACCACGGACCTTGCTGGATGTGCTGGCTGCCGCAGGAGGTCATGTTGGAGCACTTTGGGCTGAAGTCCTCCGGGGAGAACGCACCGCGTGATGTCTCGCCGATTGCTGCGGCCGCCGCCACCGCCGTAGGTGCCGGTGCTGCAGGCCGGGACGGGGACCTTGCTGCCCGTGGCGTTGCCGATGGTGATGGCGAGGGGGAGGGTGGTGGAGGTGGCGAGGAGGGCGAGGGGGCCCCAGAGCGGCAGGGTCTGAAGCGTGTCATCATCTTCACCACCCTGCGCGACTCGGTGGCGGAGATTGCGGCTTGCCTGGAGAGGCATGCACCGCACATCGTCCCACGGGTCTTTGTGGGTCAGGGCGGCCAGCGTGGCAAGTAAGTGCATGCATGCATGCGGGCCTGTAGGGGGGCCGCTGTAAGGGCCACTGCATGCTACCGGTATTATTCAGCTGTCCTTCCAAAACGTACTACCGCATATACCAACGTAGGAAGCCAGCTGGTACATGGGTGGCTGCTGCTTGCTAGCCCCTCCAGCACCATTAGCGTTTGTCCCGCGGCTTTGGTTCCGATTGCGTGCAGGGCGGCAGGCGGCGACGGCGGCGCCGGCGGTGGTCGCGGCAAGGGCGCCGGAAGGGGCCAAGGAAGGGGTCGAGGCCGGGGCCGGGGGCGTGGCGGCGGCGGAGCTGCCGGCGTTGCTGATGGCGAGGGAGCGGAGGTGGGGGCTGCGGCGGCTGCTTGCATGACCATGAACCAAGAGGAGCAAAGGGCTGTGTTGCAGGTACGTGCTCGGGGGCGGCGGTGCCCGCATGCCGCGCAATGAGGATCACCAGTGGCCCCTCGGACCATGGTTCCGGGCCTTTCATTTCCGTTGACCAAGCCTGCATTAATAGCCTCGGCCAAACCGCGCAACCGCCCCTGCACTGTAAGGACCGCATCTACCCGGTCCGTCACTCACCGTGCCGGCCCTCTGCACGGACCCGCACGCCCCACCACACTCACACCCCCTCCCGCAGGGCTTCCGTGACGGCGCCTTCAACGTGCTGGTCGCCACGAGCATCGGCGAGGAGGGGCTGGACATACCGGAGGTGAGCACACACGGGGCCCATGAATCGAGGAGAGTCGAGGGGAAGGTACCGGTACCGGTAGTTGAAGCGCTCCTACAAAGCTTTCCCTCCCTCGCGCGACCCCCTTTTGCGTCCACTTGTATTGCATCCTTTTCTCCTCGTTTGCCGCATCCACCCCTCCATGTCGCTTCCCGGCTCCTCTTCAAGCACTGTCCCTCCCACATCCCACGTCCCACCAACAGTACCCCGCCGCCACCCCCACCCCCACCTGGCCTCCCCCCCCTCCGCAGGTAGACCTGATTGTGTGCTACGACAGCAGCGCCTCCCCCACCCGGCAGGTGCAGCGCATGGGGCGCACCGGGCGACACAGGGAGGGGCGGGTGGTGTATGTACTGGCGGCAGGAAAGTGAGTGGTGTGGGAGGGGGGGTGTTGGGGGTCGAAGAAATACCAAACCACAAGCGAGGGCAAGACAAAGGGGGTAGCGGGGAGGTGTCCGTGTCGGACAGCAGAATCAACATAACACAGTAGTGTGTTGGGGCATGCGCGAGGAAGGGTGTGTTCTAGGCACGTGCAATGCAGGGTTCATGGGACCGGGTTGATGCATGGAGCAATGCTAGGACGGTAGGATTATAGAGCTGATTGCAAGGCTGCTAGCTGAGCACATACATACCTGTCCTGCATGCGGATGTGTCGTGCCTGGGCGCACAGGGAGACGGAGAGCTACTACAAGAGCCAGGAGGAGAGGAGACGACTGCAGGTGGGTCAGCGACTTGTTGCCGGTACCGGTGTGTGGGTGCTGCTGCTGTCGAGCCGACGTTGCGGCCAGCAGTGTGTGTGTGGCTAGGCTGACACACCGCTTCCGCTAAGCGCCCACTTGTCATGACCAGCTTCGTCTTGTAACCCAATACTCCTTGTCTCGTTACGCCTGCACACAAAGCTCCCATCCCGCGCCATGCCGCCCGTCCCTTCACCCCTCTCCTCCCCTGCTCCTCCTCTCCCCTGCTCCTCCTCTCCCCTGCTCCTCCTCAGACGCTCCTGAGGGACGCCGCCAACTTCTTCACCCTCTCCTCCACCTCTCCCGGCATGCTGCCACCGGACTGCAACCCGCGACCGGTGCTGCTGGCGCTGCAGGACGCAGTGGCAGCAGCAGCAGCGCACCAGAAGGTAGTACCGTACGTGGTGCCGTGTTGCATGCGGCCGGCAACAGGGCTGCATGGAGCCCCAGCGTTGTTTGCGAGGACCATGGAACTTGGTTGTTTGTGGAAGAGACCTAGCTGTTTGCAGACATGTTTGCAGTTTGGGTGCCTCTTAGCTGCTTTACAAAAGATCCCTGTGAGGGCGTTAAGTGGTTAGCCCGGTTCTTCCTTACGATGAACTCCCATGACCGCTTGCAATGATCCCATGACCCACCATGCAGGCTGCCTCCAAGAAGCAGCCTGGCAAGCGAGCCGCCGGCGCCACCGCAGCAGCAGGTGGCGAGGCTGCCGTAGGGAGCGCCAAACGCCGCAAGGGCGGTGCTACTGCCGCTGGCGCTGGTGCAGCAGCGGACGGCTCGGCGGCAGCCTCGGCGGCGCAGCAGGCGGCCGCGGCTCGCTGGGGTAAGCGGCCGCTGACTGCTGCTGCCGCTGCTGCCGCTGTGCAGGAGGTGATCACCATCGAGGACGATGAGGAGGTGGAGGAGCAGGGGCCGGGGCGGGTTGGCTCCGAAGGTGAGGTCAGGGACTTAAGGGAGGTTGTCCATGCCATGCGCTTGTCTTATCCGCCCACAACAGCTCCATCCACTCCTCCCGCCGTGCACCCCTCCTTGCTGCATGTGCAAACCACCGCCCGGCTGCCAGGCGCCGACGGGTCTCCAGACCCCGTGGCCGCTGGCCGGTGGCGCAGCAACAACATCAACATCATTAACAACAACACCAGCGGCGGCACCAGCCCTGACAGCGGAGCCGCCAGTCCGGAACTGCACCCCGGAGGCCCCTTCGAGGACCAGGCGGATGTCGTACCGCTCGCGCAGCGCATCCTCGCACGCAACCGGCAGCAGCAACAGCACCAGCACCAGCAGGACCAGCGCCAGCAGCAGGTGAGCCCAGGTGCAGGCGGCACGGCCGGGGCTGCTGTTGGCGGCGGGGATGCAGGCCCTGGCCAGGGCCCTGGCAGCCATGCAGGGGCTACAGGAGCTTCCCGGCCGCTGTTGGGGCGGTCGACAGGCGGTCGCGGGGTTGCGGAGCTGCAGCCGCTTTGGGGGCCACCGGAGGAGGATGAGGAGGACGTGGGGCTGCCGGATTGGATGAGGTCGCAGCGTGGTGGTGATGGCGGAGGGGCTGGAAGGGAGTACGGAAAGCCCATGCAGCCTGGGGCTGCAGCAGCGGTGGCGGCGGCGGCTCCGGCTGCTGCAGCGGTGTTGCGGGATGCAGGCAGGGGTTTTGGTGTTCGTGACGCGGGCGACGCAGCTGGACTTGGAGCAGCCGCCGCCGGGCCGCAATCTCCAGCAGCACACCGCCACCCAGAGTATCATGCAGGGTCACCGACCATCATGCACGACCTCTCCCCGGAGGTGTACGACATGCCGTTTGTCGAGGAGGCTCCTGTGGCCTCACCTGACCCAGTGGAGCAGCTCCGGCATCACGACAGCAAGCCGGAAGGGGAAAGGGAACCACAGCGTCACGTCTCGTCACCGGCGCCGTCGCCAGTGGCGGTTCCGCTGCGCCGCGAGGAGAAGGACAAGGAGGAGGACATGCACGTAGCTGCGAGGAGTCCAGCACCGTACTGCCACATCAGGTATGAGCCCACACCCACACCGAGGCAGGGAGTCGCGGGGCCCGGCGGTCAGGCCCTCGGGGGTGTTGCTTGCGGCGGCTTGCGCCTCAGCCCTGAAATGACGGCGGCGCTGCAAGTCCTGCTGGGCCCCGTCCTCCTGCCGCCGGAGCCCAATGCCGTTGCTGTTACTGCCGCTACAGCTGCTACTGCTAGTCATGTGGCCCCTCTTCACTCCGTACTAGCGCCCATGTCGGTGCTGGAGGAGATGGTGCGGCCCATCTCTGATGCGGAGGCGGAGGCGCTGGTGGCTGCGGCGGGAGACCATCCGGTAGCAAGGCTGGCTGCGGCGTTCCGACCGGAGCCTACTGACAACAGCAACAGCAACGGCAGCAGCTTGAAGGGCGGTGCAGCGGTGCCGCCACTGCTGTTGCCCCGGCGTGCGGTGTACCGCCCGTTAGCGCAAGGGCCGCAAGGACTGCAGGCCTGGGGACTGCCGCCACGGCGTCAGCAGCAGCAACAGCAACAGGATGCTTCAGCCGTCGCAGGAGCCCCCTCGGAGCCGCCGCGCAGTGTCCCGCAACACCCGCCTCAGCCTGAGCATGCAAAGCCGGCGCTGGCCAGCGGATTTGGCGGACGAATGGTGGCGGCGCCTGCTGCTGCTGCTGAGGTTGTGGAGGTGCTGTCTTCCTCCTCTTCAGAGCAAAGCGGCGGAGGCGGGGGCGGCGTCCTGGGAAGCCCTAGCAGAGGCAGTGGTCGTGCTGTTGACGGCGCAACAAGCCCATGCTTACATGGACCGGGTCCAAGATGGACAGACGCTGGACCTTTGGGGGCGGGTGTTCCAGCCCGTACGGCTGCGGCAGCGCCGGTTGGGAGGATGTCCGCAGGTCCGCTGCACCCGGAGCCGCTGACAGCCCGCGGCCCCGCACCGCTGGAACCATCAGACCCACCAGAAACGCTGTGGTCAGGGCTGTCGGGCGGCTGGCGACGCGGCCAGGAGCAGCAAACTCGGCCACAGCCGTCATTGTACGGCAAGCCGTACGAGGTTGGAGCTGGAATCAATGCCGTACCAACTGATAATGACGACATTGACCCAGACAACCTTCCCATGACGCTGGACGACATGCCGCTTGTCGTACGGAAGCCACCCGCAGGAGCCGACGAGGGGACATTCGGCGGCGGGGGTAGGGGCGGGGGTAGTGGTGGTAAGAATGACAGCGGCGGTAAGGGCGGCAGGAGCGGTAGTGGCGGTGGACTGTTGGCACGGAAGCGACGCAATCCCTCTTCCGCAGTCACTCCAGGGGAACCCTTGGAGCACAGCAAGGAGCCGTTGGTATCCATGGTCGCTGCGACACCGCTAACCGCCGGTCCCCCATCCGTCACCGTGAAGGGCGCTACCGCAGGTTCCGGGTGCCTGTACATGGTCCCCAACTCCTGTCCGTCCACTCGAAACACGGGACTTACCACTGCAACCGGTGCGAAGGCCGCAGCAAAGGGCGCAACAACGGATGAAGTGCCGCATGAGGATATTCCGCTGGCGCTGCGCAAGCGCCTGTCCCTGCGACCGTCTCCCGCACCCGCAGTGGCGGTTGCGATTGCTGCTGCCATGAATGACGGCCCGCCGCCGGGTCAGCACCCGCAAGACCGGCAGCAAGAGCAGCAGCAACAAGCCCCGTGGCAACAGCAGCAGCAACAACAAGACCGGCAGCAACAGCAGCAACAACAGCAGCAGCAACAGCAGCAGCAACAACAACAGCAGCCGGTTGGGAGGTGGACTGGCTTGCTGGCGCCCGCACCGCTCCATGTGGGCTGGCGGCCTCCGGTGCCACCGGGCTCCAACAGCGGCACCGTAGCCTCCTCCACCTCGCATAGCACCTCCCGGCAGCAACAACAGCAGCACCAAAACGGATGGAATCCAGCAACAGAGCAGCATCCGCAGCATCCACAACCACAGCAACCGCAAGAGCACCGTTTGCACGGGCACGGGCCCCAGGACTCCATCCTTGGTCGTCAAGACGTATTCCACGGGGTGCCGCGTGCCTGCGGCTGGCAGCCGCCTATGCAGCCGCCTGCCGCACACAGCGCCACTGCCGTACCGCCGCTGCCGGCACCCCAGGGGCCCTGCATGTTAGGTTGGCGGCCTCCGCCGTCTGCACCCTTGGCAGCACCAGCAGTGCCACATCCCCAGCCGCTACCGCAGGAAGTTCCGCCTCGGTCGCCGCCGCCGTCGGCTCTGTCACCAGGCCCCGGTGGGGAAACGGACGCCATGCAGTGCATTCCGGAGACTCCACTGTCGGAGGAACAAGAGGACGAGCCCAGGTCTGACCTCGAGCCTGTGCGCGCCCCTATCTTCGATCCTTCCAACGAAAACGGTGGAGGCGAGCTTGGCGCCAACGTCGCGGCCGCCGCCGGAGGCTGGAGAGGTGGTAATGGCAGCGGCGTCATCGACGGCGGCGAAGTGGCAGATGCGGGGGGAGCCCGCGCAGCAGGAGCCGGCGGTGTTCCTGAACGACGTGTCGATAACGGCGGCGGTATGAGTGTGGTGTGCATGGCCGCCGCGGGAGTGTCCGCAAACGTCCTGCCGTCGCCCATGCAGCCCCGGCAGCTGCTGTTCCCGCCGGGTCCGCAGTCAGAGACCCATGGGTCCGCGGCTGCTGGCGGCGGCGGCGGCGGCGTTGGTACCAAGCAGCGGACCACGAGTTCGGTTTGGCAGCCTGGCATGTTAACCGTCCCGGAGGCCGATGAGCGTGCGGGCCATGTAAGGGCAGAGACTCGTGAGGAGGAGCGCAGGGTGCAGGACAGGCGGTGTAGGAAGCCTGCGGATGACAAGCACGGTGGGGAGCGCAGGGAAGAAGGGGACGAGCAGCAGCGGCACCGGCAATGGCAGGGGGAGCAACAGGGGCGTCAGCAGCAGCAGCTGCAAGCGTACGATTCAGATCAGGATCAGGACCCAGATCAGGAACCTGATCTGGGTCCTGAGGACGGCAATGGGGACGACTGGCAGCCGTCCCAGTGGCAGCTGCAGCGGTACGGCTACACGCGCCAACAAGACGAGCAGCAGCGACCTAAGGCGCTGGGTAAGGCCTTGCATCAGCAGCCACCCAAGCTACGTGTCGGCGGCGGTGACGGCGACGGAGGCGACATGGAAGTTGGCGACGGCGGTGACGATGGTCGCGATGGAGGTGAAGGCGGCGGCGATCCTGGCGAGCAGGCCTTTGGGAGCTTCAACCTGGTGGCAGCACCGCAACCACTGTCACCACTTCAGATGCAGCAGCAGGAGGAGGAGGAGGAGGAGGGAGACTCACAAGCCCGCCGCGGTGAAGGCTCCGGCAGGCCCCTGCGAGCTGGCGCTGGCAGAGCAGGAGGAGGGCAAGGCGTCCGGCGGGGGTCCACCGCGTGTACGACGCCTGGACCGGGCCTCAGCGACCTGGCTGATGCCGCTGATGAGGATGGAGAGGTTGGCAGTGCTGGCGGCGGCGGCAATGTCAGCGCGCACAAGGCCGGCACCAAGTCCAATGTAGCTGCAGCCGTCGTCGGTGGCGGTGGTTCTGGAGCTAGGGAGTCGCATCCCCAGCGTGCCAAGGGCGCGGCCACAGCCAGCATGGGTACCCGTGGCGGCTTGATTGCCGGCTTTTTTCGAGCGCCCACGAACTCCAATATCACGCCCATCATGCGCGCCAAGCTGCAAGCCCGTACGAACGCGGCGGGGGCCTCTGCTGCCGCTGCCGGCGGCTTTGGAGGCGGTGGTGGCGGCATCCAGCCCCACCCCACCATCGACCTCACTCTGTCCCCGCTTGCGGCAGCCGCGCCTGCGCCCGCCGGCTGCGGAGCGCCTCGTGCCGCGGACGTGGTACACCTCGACTGTCCCTCAACTGACGACAGCTTTGTCCCTCGTCGTCGTGGCGTAACAGCTGGTGTGGGGAACACGGCTGCTACTGCTGCGGCTGCAGCGGCAGGTGGCGGCGGTGGCGGCGGAGCCAAACGCCGCGGCGCAATCATCCTGGAAGAGTCCTCCCAGGAGCCCGGCAGCGTGCCTCGCCCCAGCGCACCGCCCGGAGGGTCTGGCGGCAGCGGCGGCAGCCTCTTCAAGCGCTTTGCTCGGACACCCTTCGGAGCGGCCGCCGCTGGCGCCACGGCGGCGAACGGTGCGGGTACGGCAGCGGCTGCTGCTGGCGGCGGCGGCGGCCGGGACACCACTCCGCTGGTGGCGCAGCGCCGTCGGGGGCGGCGGCCTGCTGCCCCTGACAGCGACATGAGGGAGTCCCAGCCCCAGCCAAACCATGGCGGTGGCGATGCCGGTACTGCGGCCGCAGGCATTGAGTCGGCGCGGCGGCCGAGCAAGCTAAGGCGGCTCAGGGCTGGTGGCGCGGATGCCGCCGCTGCTGGGCGTGTAGCAGCAGCCAAGGCGGGTGGTGCTGGCGGCGGCGGCGGCAGCGACGCCCCAGGGGCAGCTGGGCAGCTGTCGCGGAGAGCAGCGGCGGCGGCAGTTGCGGCAGCGGCCGCGCCGGCACATGCCAACCTGGCTGCGAACAGGTGCGAGCCATGGCGGGTTTTGGGCGTTGGATATACCGGTACTGCTCCCACGCAACGCACACACGCAAGCAACAGGTACCTGGTGTTTGATAACAAGCTCCACTTTGGTTTCGAGCGTTCTAAACCCTTCCTTCCATGCATGTTGCCTCCAACCCTAGGCAACGTGTCCTAACCGGAGCAGCGTTTGCTAGCCACGCTGCGGGTCGCGGTCGCGGCGGGCGTGGCGGGCGTCGCGGCGGCTGTGCGTTTATCGACGAGGAGGCCTCACTGTCGGGTGACGAGGAGGAGGGCGAGGAGGGGGAGGGCGAGGAGGAGGGGGACGCGTACGAGAGCAGCTTTGTGACGGACGGGGAGGGCACTGCAGCGGGCGGCTCGCAATCGGATGCGGGAGGCAGGTGGGTCTCGAGGGTGCTGGGAGTCGGTGCGAGTGTTAAGGAAACAAGCAGGATGCGTATGTGGGGGTGTGTTCAGGTGGTCAGGATTAAGGGCAAGTTGTGCGGAGCGGGGCCAACTTGCGGCAGGGGCTCGCATGGCGGCCCAACCTTACGACTCAACCTTCTCCTGGTTGGTTTGCCATGTTTTCATTGATGTCAGCCCGTCCATACCGGCACCCTCTGTGTTCCGCACCCCTTACTACCCGCACGCCAACATGCGCCCGGCCTCGTATGGCCGCCATGCCACCCGCCACCTGCCACCTGCCTAACCCTGTCCGTGCCCAACCCTGGCGCCCGCAGGACCCCCGGCTCCATGATGGCCATCTACCGCGCCCCGCTGCTCATGACGCAAGGTCCGCCCTCAGTGGTGCGTCCGGGTGACATCCGGGCACTCATGTTCGCGCAGCGGCGGAGGGGCCGGGGCGGCGGCATGGCTGGGGCCGGTGCCCGTCGGGTGGTGGACACGCCCGGCGCATCACAAGACATTCGCGCCGCGAGGGCGGAGCATTACGAGGATGACAGCGAGGAGGGGCACGGCGAGGGAGCTGATGAAGACGAGGAGGCGGAGGAGGTCGAGGACTCCGAAGACCCACGGGTCGGCCACGACGCATCGGAGGATGAGGAGGGAGAAGGCGAAGAGGAGGATGAGGAGGAAGAGGCGTACGACCCCCTTGCACGCAGGATGGCGAAGGGTCTGAAGCTCGCACAGCGCAACGCTCAAGCCCAACGAGGGCGAAGAGGCGGAGGGGGTTCGGGGGATGGCCGAGGCGGAGGAGGTGGGGCGATGGGAGGACGAGGCGCCATGCGCGGGCGGACGGGCGGTCAAAGTGACGACGATGACGATGGCGTCAGCGTGTCTGCAGATGTAGATGTAGATGCAGAGGAGGAGGAGGAGGAGGAAGGGGAGGAGGAGGAGGGTGATGATGATGGCGAGTGTGGGGTTTGTGGGGAGCCGGGCCACCTGATGCTGTGTGAGGGGTGCGACTGCGCCGCACACCCGGGTTGCGTGGGGCTGTGCGCGGTGCCGGAGGGAGATTGGTTTTGCGAGGTCTGCAAGCCTCGGAAGGGTCGGGGCGGGGGGCCGGACAGGCGCCGCAAGGCGGCAGGAGGCAGCGTGCGCGCGAGGTGACATGTGACGTGACGAAGGGGTGGGCTTATTGGGGTTGGGGAGAGCTGTGTGACACAAGGAAGTTAGTGATTCTTGGCACGAAGGGTGTGTTTGGAAAGTTTGTGATACGCGCAAATGGTGATTACTGAGAAGCAGGTGTTGGTTCTGTACATGGAGCATTTGTACAGGCAGCAGCATTCTGCGGTGTTCGTTATGCAACTTGTTGGGATGTAGATGCCGTGGCGTGTTGACCCACATTATAGAGCGCTGCAGGATGCAATAATGAGTTGCGACAATAAGCATGAAGCCGCTAGCCTTTATTACGCTAGTGTAACTTTTGCTACACAAAGCGTCCGAACACTTCAGGACCGCATGTTCGCATGCACAGGCGCGCGCAACGCCGAAACTACACGCAAGGCCACCCCGCCGTTTCCCTCCTTACCTAAAGAGGAGCATGTGGAGCGTACTAGGTTGCAATGCTTCAACATGTAAGACCTGGTCGTAAGCACCCAATTCCGACATGCTGTGATACCGGTAACGCGTTTGGGCCGCCAGCAGCGCCAAATCATGTATGGTAAGGATGGTAATACAGGGTTCGCCTACGTGCATGCGCACTCCTACACAATCTTTTAGGCTGCGGTGGGTCCTTATTGCGTCCGTCTAGCTGGAGCGACAGCTGGGCTGAAATGCAGAGCATTGGTGATCCCCTTACGTAGCGTGCAGCGCTGTCCATAACTGCACAGCCTTCGCTGCTAACGAGGCGTGGAGTTTCAAGGCGTGAACCACGAAGCTAGCCACGACACCCAGGGGTCGCTTGCTTCACACCCGTCGACTGACTCCACACACTGCGTAGAGCATTTCCCTCAGAATCTATTTAACGTTTGTCTACTGCAGATACCTATATGATGGACGTTTTTCTGTATCCGTTAGGCGAATCCCCGGTGTAAAATCAAGTGGAGAACGGGAAGTTGTTTGGTCAAAGGGATAGTCGTCTAGTCGCAGCGGCCAGGCGGGAAAAGTGAAAGACCTCTTCTCTGTGCGTCCGACAAAGCTGCTTCCTAACTGTTAACACCGACGAACCGTAGGTTCCGGAGCAATTTACCTTGCAGAGTAGAACGTTCACGGGGCCTGACTGGGCCCACAAGCAATAGCAATATTGCAGCGCATAAAAACCTTGCGCACGCATTACATTGCGACCGCAGCGCGGACGCGTTACATCATAGGAAACTATAACGTGGATGTGATTTCATTAGCATCCCACCATGCTTATTTGCATTGCAGATAGATAATTGGCTTAATCTTCAACCTGCGTATGCCTTAATTTCTATGAAGCTCCAGTATGGGAAGGCCGTCGTCGTTCGTAACTGCAATACTCCTATTTGCTTGCGGCGGTCTGGTTTGTGGACGTCAGCCAAAACACCTTGGCACGATATATCATGTACGTATCAGAATACAAGAGGGTTTCGTTCCGCTTGAAACCATGGCACGGGTCTACATCCGTTCAGTCTAGTCCTTTTACGACACGTGTCAGCAGCACAGACAGTTCAAGCTAGACGCCATGAGTGCTCCTTAAGCGGTCGCGCCTTCCTGGGCTCCTGCGCTGTTATCCGCAGGATGTTCGACGCAGCTTGCTGTCAGACTCACATGGGCAAACTCCGGAAGCCGAGGAACCGCTGCCGGAGCTCCCAGCTGGCTATATCTACCCCGTATTGGCCTGGGGTGAGTGACTGCTTTGTGGATTTTCTACAGCAGCCAAGCGGCACGGACCCAGTAGTCAAGCAGTAGTCATCCATGCCATGTGCAGATGTGTCTTGTCACAGCTTAAGAGATACGTTCCCCACGCCCTTTTCCCTGTAACCTTCCTGCTGTGGTCTCATCGCTGCCCACGTCGCCGCTGCTGCTGCTGCTGCCATCCCCGCAGGTCCTAACAACCAGGTTGCCGGTCTGAAGGAGGCGCTGGTGCTGGGACAGCTGCTGAAGCGTACTGTCATTGTGCACGACGTGAGTAGAGTGACAATGCGCTGGACAACATGGGGCTCTTCAGTCTTGTCGGTCCGGAGCTGTTACGTGTTGTCCCATACCTCTCCCTGCTCTCCCTTGCCCCTCACTCGCACCCTAATCCCTGTCGGTCCACACCCTTACCCGCCCTCTCCTTTCCGTCCCGTCTCCCTTAACCCCCGGCTTCCAATCCGCTCTCCTCCCCGCCTCCCTCTCCTGCCCTCCAGATCCTGAACCACTACGACGACAAGGCCAGCCTCAACCACCTGACGGAGCAGCCCGACTCCATGGACTTTGAACTGGTGGGGCGGGGCCGGGGTGGGAGAGGGGAGGGGCGGGCGGGGTGGGAGAGGGGAGGGGCGGGCAGGGTGGGAGAGGGGAGGGGCGGGCGGGGTGGGAGAGGGGTGGGGTGGGGTGGTTGCGAGGGCAGGGGGTTGCGGTTGGCTGGGAGGCCGCGAAGGGTGGCGGAGACGGATGCGGAGCTCCTTCCTGTGACCGACTCGGGACTCGGCTTCACCGCCCTGCTTTGCTTTCTCCCAACCTGAAAGCCACCCCACGGCCTCGACCACTCCCCATTAGACTCCACCACCTCTACTTGCGCCACCCTTCCAGATCACCCCTTAACCCCTGCCTTCTTCCTCCCCTCCTCTCCCTCTCCCCTCCTCCTCCTCCCTCCCCCACCCCCACCCCCACCAGATTTTCAACCTCTCGCGCCTCTCCCGCCACCGCTCCGTGGTGACACAGGCCGAGCTGCGAGCGCGCGGGGAGTGGGACGGGCGGCTGCAAGCGGTGGCACACTTTGGGGACATGTTCATGTCGCAGGTGCGGGCAGCGCAGGTTGGGAGCTTGGTTGGGAGGACTCGGCCACAGCATGCTGGGTTGGGGGGTTAGGCAATGCGGGGGGCTTAGGCTGTGAGGATGGGATTACAACATGGATCGATTTACAACAGAGGTGGTGGGAGCTTGCCTTGCACATCCTCGGCAGCTGTAGGTGGGTGGCTCCTGCGGGCCGCTGCACGGACGTTGCTGCATCTCGTCCCAGCTGATCCTCTCATTCTTTTGACTCTTGCACGCATGTCAACGCCTCTGCGGCATACCGTAATTAAACGCGCCCTGGGGTCCCCTTCACTCCTCTCCTTGCCACACTCACAGATCAAGAACGCGCACGCGCTCAATGTGTCTGACGAAGGAGCTGTGTACTTGGACCTTGAAGCCCTCGACTGCACCCCGCGGGAGTTGGCAAAACTAGCAAGAACCCTGAAGCCGTACAAGTATGTCGGTTTCATATTGTATGAAAACGTCGTACGGAGCTCCGGTCACGGCGTCAAGCTCACCCCATCGGGGAACCTCTGCCATGACGATTACCTCCGGGTGAGTTACGAGGGCGCATCCGCGTGCCACGTTGCTGCCATCGTACATATAGCTCTAGCGAATGCCCCTCGCTTGACTCCGTAAACACAGACTGTCTGTGTGCCACTGTTCGTCTAGTTCATTGCTATCACTGCTACCACATTCTGTAACCGCTACTCACTTGAACCGCTGGATGCGTCGTCTTGGAAATGTGGTGGTGGTGTCATCCGTTCAGCTGTCTGCGCAGCTCACCAAGAGCGAGACGCTGGTGCGGCTGGCCACTGAGTTCCGGCGGGAGAAGGGGCTGGGAGCGGCGGCAGCCGGCGGGGGTGGTGTTGATGCAGACGATGATGGCAGCCGCGAAGACGGAGGCGGCGACGACGTGGGAGACGGCGACCAAGACGTTCCTGGTAATAACAATGATGTTGATTACGATTACGATAGCAGTGCCGATGACGACGACGATGGCGAAAGCAATGAAGACGGCGAGGGCGAAAGCAAGAGCCCAAGCCAGGGCGAACGATACCTGGCGGTGCACATCCGGCCCTACCCCGATACATGTGAGGAGCTGCGAAGGGGCACTGCGCAGGTCGCGTTTGCTGCTGCCGGGCCTCCTTTCCCCCTGAGGTTGGGGATTGGAGCTAGGAAGCGCACCTGAATGGACCGTCCTCCAAGGCGGTAAAGGAGACTGCCGGTGTTGGATGTGCACGTCAGTGTGTGTTTACTGCCATGCCAAAACTGAATAAGTACGGGGTAGTGCATCGCCGGCAGATAGCATCCTTACTGGCACCGCTCACTAACCTTGTATACCCGCGTGCAGGTTTATACGCTTGGCGACGAGAGGAGTACGACATGGATCTCGCAGCCCGCGTGTGCAAGAACAAGAAACTACACAAGGTCTTCGTTCCTCAGACGCTGCATGCCATCAAAACGTACAAGCTTTCAACGCGGGTCTTCGTAATGTCGTATCCGGATCTCAGACCTCGAATCAGTGAGATGTACGGCAAGAAGGGGCTCGAAGCCGTATTCTACGATGAGAGCGATCTAGAAAAAGCGGTGGGATTCAAGTGAGTATAATGTTGTGGACAGCGTGAATAGCGGCATTCGAGTGCGTGCGCTGACCACCGCAACCTTGCTACGGCATTGTCCCTGGGGCTTCTGGGGCGTGTACCGTACATCGGGATATATTGGCGCATGGTAACGCCGATAGCATGGGCACTCGACCTGTCCTGCCGCCTTTGTCTTTAAGGTGGCGGCTGAACGCTTTTCAATACACTACAGAAGCGCCCGTTTACCCTTGTTACGCTTCACCCCACCCACCCTCCCGTGCATGCCGGTATATGCGGTACCCCCCCCCCGCGAGCGTGCAGGAGCATATCGCTGCTGGGTATGGTGGAGGAGGAGATATCGTTCGAGGCTGACGTGTTCATCGGCACGTCGTACAGCAGCATGACGGGAATCATCATGCAGGTACGAGGGAGCTCGACTGCATTGGTGAGCTGCTGCTGTATTGCTGCGTTTGATGGAACCCCGGGGCACTACTCTGCTCTTTTGTGTTGATGCTTGTGCAACTAGGGTTTTGTGTGGGGACGGTGTGCGTTGGGTGAGCTGTATGCTGCATAGTTTCAAGTTGTATGCTACGACCCGGTTACTGCTAATGGCATGTCGCTATTGGTGCAGCCGCCGCACGCACGGGAGGTCCAATGTAGCGCCGTTGTTGTACGCTCCGCACCTTATCCCCTTCCTTTCCTATTGCCCCCGAGTACAGGAGCGTGTGGCCCGGGGCAAGCCTCGGAGCAAGACCCTGACGTTCACTAAGACCACATGAGAGCTGTGAAGCTGTGTAAGGAGGGAGGGAGGGAGTTGGCGATCAACCGATTGCCACTCCAATAGCGACAGAGCCCGATAGGAAGCAAACCCATTCATCTAGCAGCCGGACACAGGGAGGGAAACGGGAGGTGTCGGTAATAAGATTCAGGGCTTGCAATGAACGCAGAAGCCGTTGTTGGTTAAGTAAACTGAGCCGCAGTAGTGTGGTTGTGGAAACAAAATTGCAGCTTTGAAACCCAAGGGGCCAGCGGAGCCCTGACGGCTGCCGCTGTGGCACGACCCGGGGCCAGCAATGCAGCTTATTGTGACAAATTAGTATTGAAAGAAGAAGAGAGTGCAGGAGGCTTGAGTATTGGCTTGAAACTGTCGTGGCTATTATTTGCCGTTGTTTATAGCGTACATGCCGGCTTTGCGTGTTCTGAGGGTCAGGTCCCAAGCCGGGCGGCATTGCGATTGCGAGCTTGTGTACCTATGTCAGGCGCAGGGAGAGTCCGGAGAGAGCTGTGTGGAGTGCGGAGTGCGAGCGTGCTGAGTGTTGGAATTGCAACCCAGCTGTGATGTTGCAAGTCATGTTGCTTAAGTTGTCGTTGCTGTTGTAGCAGACAGCAGACTGCTTGTGCAGGAGCTGCTTGACAGTTGTTGATAGTGCTGCAGAGGCAGTGACCCGTGGGTCCACCGGTTGTTCCACCGGTTGTTCAGCTGCAATACATGCGCAGGGGTATTGTTGTTGCGGTTGCAGGGAAGCTTACAGGGTCTACATGTGGCCAGGACAATGCAAAGGTATTAAGTACCGTGTAGGGGTATACTGCACGCGAGGGATGGGCTGGCAACCTGCTTGCATGTAATTATGGAAGTACCAGTAGCGTCAAACTGTCAACAGCAGTATACGTGGGAACTTGTGAATTGGAATATTCGTGTAGCAACACCTGCACAACAGATCACGTGTGGTCAACCATGCAACAGACCGTGTCGTCTAGTTTGCCATGTCTCCCGTCCCCAGCATGTATTGCATGCAGGTACGGGATAGAATGCAGGTAAACGTCGAGGGGTCACGGCAAGCAAGGGTCAACACACGTCGCACACACTGCGGCCACAGTCTCCTGAACACACTGCAAGTCACATGTTACCAACCAACAATCCAAACAGTCCGAATCCTCGCTCGTCACCACTAAGTTACCGTCAAAGCAACAGCCAAGCCAGTTCTCCACATTGTCACGAAATCCTCAATTTCACCGACTCCACAAGCCATCGTTCCTCCTTGCCTCTCTCACACTTACGCGCACTCCCCAGCACGCCTTTTCCAGCACCAATGCTTCTCTCATCACCCCAACGCGCTCGAGCCCAGGGCCCCATTCCCCCCGCTAGCCCCCCTGCTGCCACTGCTCCTGCTGCCTGCCTCCTGCCTTAAGGTGGCACTGCTGCGACGGCTGCCGCTCCTGCTGCTGCCATCCCCCCACTGCCCAACCCCTCCTCCCGCAACGTTGCTGCTACTGCCTTGCCGGCTACCGCCGCCGCCGCCGCTGCTTCTCGGCACCTCTGGCAGCTGCAAACCCGCAGTACTCGAGCTCCTGCGACTTCCCGCCCCGCCTCCTTCTCCTCCATTTGCAAGAGCGATCACCTCGGGAAGCATTGCCATTGCCGCCGCCGCCAACCCGCCGCTAACCCGCCGGCCGCTGCCCGCCGGCCTCTCAACCACGCCACTGGAACTAGAAGCTGTACGGACGTCCGCATCATCCTGCCGTACCGACGCAGCACTAGCCGGCCTGCTGCTTCCACGGCGCTCCTGCTGCTGCTGCTCTAACGCTGCCCCTGCTCCCATCTGACCTGCTGCCCCTCCTGCTCCCCCTGCACTTGCAGGTCTGCTGTTTGAAATCTGCGGTAGTGTCACTCCTCCTCCTGTTGCTGAAGCAACAGCAGCAGCGGCAGCGGCAGCAGCCCTCCCTTCACGTGGGCTCCTAAGCTCCAAAGACTGCCGCAATCCGCTGGCCGGCCGAATGAAGGCGCCTTCCCCGCCTGTCGACATGCTCCCGACGCCCAGCCTCCGCTGCTGCTGCAGCTGTGCGGCGCTCGAAGGGCGACTGCTGCTGGCTACCACCCCCTGCTGCTCATGGGGGGCGGCGCTGCCGGGCCGGCTGTTGCTTAGGCTGCCTCTCCTGCTGCCGCCGCCTACCGCCTCAGTAGCTGCATGCGCCCCTCCTGCAGGCTTGCCGGCGCTACTGCTAGGGCGGCTGCCAGGGTCTTGTGCCTGTACGGCACTGCCAGGACGGCTGCTACTGCCGTCGGTGGCATGTTGTACGGCACTAGCAGGACGACTGCTGGCAGCCTGTTGTACGGCGCTAGCTGGTCTACTGGTAGAACCCTGCTGTTGTACGGCACTTGCCGGACGGCTGCCGGCGGCGGTGGCTACTCGGTTTCCGGGCGATTGCTCCTGCTCCTGCTCCTGCGGTTGTCTGCTTGCTGCTGCTCCTCCTGCTGCACCTCCCGCATCTTGCTGGGATGAGGCACTCGTCGGTCGGCTGCCCTGCACCTGCTGTTGCGGTACGACACTTGCCGGCCTGCTACCAACCGCCTGCTGCTGCTGCTGTACGGCACTCCCTGGCCTACTTGCCGTCTTCTTCCTCATCACCTCCTCCCAGTCCACTCCCTCGAACCAGGGGTGCTGCTTCACCTCCTCCGCACCGCCCCGGTGGCCCAGACGCTGCGTCGGGTCGGGGTGCAGCAGGCGCTGTATGAGGTCGCGGCAGGGGGCGGACAGCCGGCTCGCATCTAGCGGCCAGTGGATGCGGCAGGCGAGGATGTTGCGGATGGTTTCGTCGGGCGTAGCTGCGGTGAAGGGCGGCGCACCTGCAGTGCAAGAGGATTCGGGTGGGTGGTACGATGCCGATGGGACGGTGGAATGCATGATTCTTGCCTCGTGTCGTCTACAGCACTCTTCGTTTTCCAAGCCCTGGCCCGTTCCATCCAGCCCCTCACCTGTAACGAATTCGAACAGGATGGCTCCCAGCGACCACCAGTCCACCTCCGGACCGTGCGGCTCCCCACGCAGCAGCTCCGGTGCCGAGTAGTCGGGCGGACCCGTGGGTCCTGACCCATGGGTCACCTCGGACCCGGCGGCTGCAGGGCTGCAGTCTGGGCCTGGGCCTGCAGCAGGAACCACCGTGGTGGATGCAGCGGCGGCGGTATCCTCTTCTGCCTCCGCTTGCTCAGCGGGGTCAGCAGCAGCCGCAGCAGTAGCTGAGCCACCATCGGCGGTGGCGGCCCTCGTGGCTGCCGCTGTGTCAGCCGTGATGTCGGGTTGTCGTGCGCCTGGGAGCTGCTCCTCTTCTGCTGCGGCTTGCTCCACTGTCGCTGCGCCCTCATCGCCGGTCACAATGGAGACTAGTGTGGGGCTGGTGCCGTCAACGGCATCCGCATCAGCAGTTGCATCAGCATGTGCAGTCTCAGTGGCATCCTCCTCTGCAGTGTTGACATCCGAGGGGGCGACATCGCACTCACCCTTGCCATCACAGCTGCCTTCGTCGCCGCCCGGTGCTTTCTCACTCTCCTTTCTGTCTGCACGCTGGGCCAGATTGCCATCCCCTACCTCCCCAGCCGCCTCCACCTCAGCAGCTGAAGTAACATCCGCACCGGCCGCTTCACCGGCAGCATCAGCATCAGTACCAGCAGTAGCAGCGTTGGCTGCCTCATCAATATGATCAGCGGCAGCGGCAGTAGCGGCTGCCGTACCATTCGCAGCCACGTCCGCAGCTACAGTGATTGCAGCAATGGCGGCGGCGGCAGCGGCGTTCACGGCGGCCTCATCGTCATCGTCAACGACTGCTGCTGCGTCAGCATCACTAGTAGCGGCATCAACCGCGGAGGTGGCGGCAGCGGCGCCGCTGACGCTGTCTGCAGCATCAGCAGCTGCATCAGCAGCTGCATCAGCAGCGGCAGCAGCAGCGGCAGCAGCGTCCATGCTGGTGGTCGACGCTGGAGCGGTGGTAGCGGCCGCGGGGTCAACGGTGGCGCCGTCCTCAGTGGCTTCCGCAATCGCAGCCGCGGCGATCTGCGAGCCATCGCAGCAACATGAACAAGTTGGCGTCAACACAGGGAGCGTAGGGGCGGGGGTTGGGCCGTTCAAATGGTAGGTGGCGGACGGCCGGATGGCGGACTCGCACAGTCTAGGAAAGCAATGGCGTGCAAGGCGGTTTGCAACACGTTTATGGCGCATGGCTAGCATTCGGGCGATGCGTGTGTCGTTTGTGTGCCATCCATGCCATCCAAATGCACGCATGCATGCAAGCCTTCACCCCGCCAACGTTACCTTATGTCCTGCTGTCGTCCCCTCCTCATTCTCCGCTTCCACCTCCGCCCCCTTGGCCGGCATGGCGGCAACCGAAGCGGTCACCACCGCAGTAACATCCGGCGAAGGCGAGGCTGGAACCGCCGACACCGCTCCTGCTGCCGCTTCTGCTGCTGCTGCTGCTGAGGAAGGCCTCCTGGAGGCCAAACCCAGAGCCGAACCCGAGGAGGAGGCAGCCGCACTCCCACTGCCGCTCCCACGTACGCTGCTGGGCTGACCGCTGCCACTGCCGCTGCCGCCGCCAGCCGTCTCACAGCCCCCACCGGCAGACCTAGCGGCACCTCCCACACCGCAGGACCCCGCACCTCCGGCTGGCACCGCAGAGGCTGGCCGCGAGCTGGTCTGAGAGGGCCTGGCGGCAGCTGAAGGCGGCCGGCTGGTGACCACTTCCACCGGCGGAGGGGTGCTGTCGCTGCAGCTCCCAGTTGCGGCCGAGGGCGCTTGTGCGGCTGCTGAGAGGCCCGAAGCGGGCCGGCTGCCGCCATCCGTGGCAGACCAGGCCTTCGCTGCTGACGCCGCTGACGTCGACCGCTCCAGGAAGCTTCCGCCGCCGCCATCGGAGCCAACCCTATCCGCCGATGCAGGCCGCTGCCCTCCGTGCTCCAGACTGCTGTTGCGGCTGCCTATGCTTCCCATGTCGCCGTCACCTCCACCTTCACCCCCAGCAGCAGCAGCAGCAGCAGCGCCGCTGACGTCACCCAGGCCATCACGAGCGCTGCCGCTCCTGCTGCCGCTGCCGCTGCCGCCTCCAGCGCTGCCGCTGCTGGCCCTGGGAGATGCGGAGGCGGCAGCAGCGGCAGCCAACAAGGCAGCTGCCGCGGAGGAAAGCATGTCACCCACCGCCGCCGCATGTGTGGCTGTCGTCGCATGGGTGGCAGAGGTCGGCCGGTCTACGGCACCCGCAGCAGCTTCATCGTGTGTGGTGCCATCGCGACACCCCGCGGCACCGGTACCGGCAGAAGCGGCAGCATCGCTCTGCCGGGACCCGGCCTCCCTCAGCCCCTCGGCCTCAGCAAGTGAGGCCCTTCTGCTGCTGCTGCTGCCGCTGCCGCCGGTGGCCGAGCCCCTGCCGTTGCCGCTGCTGCTGCCGCTGCGGCGTGTGGTGGGGGCGTCCGCAGTCCCGGTATCAGCCGAGCCCGCAGCGACATCCACCGGCCGGCCGCTGTTGCCAGCCCTGCTGCTGCCGCTGCGGCTGCTGCCAGCCTCCCCAGGCTGCTGCTGCTCCTCTGAAAGCTGCTGCCCCTGCTCCTGTTCCTGCGGCTGCTCCTGCGGCTGCAGCTGCTGGCGGGGGCTGCTGCTGGCACTGGCGCTGCTCCGCTTGCTGTACTGTTTCTCAACCTCGGACTCCAGGCGCTGACCGAAGTCGGAGAGCTTCACATTGCCCTGAGAGCGGCCACAAACACACATACACGCACACGCACACACGCATTGGAGACATGCACGCGGCTCAGTCACACGCGTGGGGATATCGCAGTGCAATGTGCAGTGCCCGTGAGACCGCGGCTAGCTGAACAACGTGTTCGCAAACAGCCACCCGTTCTAAGCGGCACGAACAGTTGGGCGACATGACGACCCACAGCTAGCCAGCAAGCAAAACCGCCTGACACCCCAACTCCGGTGCTTTCGTGCCTTTCCACCGCCCCCCCCACACAGCTCACCTGCGAGTCGAAGAGTATGTTTGCCGACTTGAGGTTGCGGTGTGTGAGCCCCTGGCCGTGGCACCACTGCAGCGCCAGCACCACCTGTGCCAAGTACTGCCGAGCTGCCACCTCCGACAGCGCGCCGAACAGTCCCACCAGCCTGGCAGACGTGGGGTGGGGGGTTGGAGCCCGGGGTGTGTGCACGGTTGGGGAATATAACTGAAAAAGGGGGGCGGCGTACAGAGAAGTATGGGGACTGAAGAAAACAGCGATGAGGCTGGCGATGAGGTGCACGACGCAGAGCCGTGGTGGTGGTGGTGGTGTAGGTGGTGGTGGCAACTGCAGTGGAACAGGCCCGAGGACCGACCCTCCAATCGCATGTTGCTACACCGGCCCCCCACCTTCACACGCACCCTACCCCGGGCTGCCCGGCGCCCCTGGCCTCCATGCTCCAATCTCCCCTGTCATGCACCCCCTCGCCCCCACCTCCCCACCCTAAACCCCCACCTCCCCACCTGCGGCAGTCCCCTCCGTTGACGTACTCCGCCACCAGGAACACCTCCTCCCGCCGCTGCGGCGAGGCGAACCAGTGCACCAGCCGGGCCACATGCGGGTTGGGGCGCAGCGCACGGGGGTCAACCGCGAGCGGCGGCACAACACCGCCACCACCACCACCTGCATTGTCTGCCAACACCATGCTGCTGTCACCGGCTGCGGCTGGGGGGGTTGCTTCGCTGTTGTCAGCGGGGGTCTCAGCGGGGGCGATCTCAGTGGCGTCCAAGCCGGGCTCCTCACTCCGGGGCTGCTCCTTACCGCCCTGCTCCTTATCGTCCTGCTCCTTGCTTCCCTGCTCCTTACTTTCCTGCTCTCCGTGCTGCTTGTCGTTGTCGGGGGCCCGCACGCCCGCTGCGGCCTCGTTATCCTCTCCTCGGATGCCCCGGTCCTCCTGGCCGCCTGGCTCTTGGCCTTGGACATCATCTCCCGGGTTAGCATGGCCACCGTCCTCATCAACGCCCTCCTCCTCCTCCTCGTCACTCTCGTCGTCATCCTCCTCCTCCGCAGCCGCCACCGCCGCCACTGAGCACAAAATGTTCTTGCGCGCCAGCTCGGCGAGCTCAAACACCTGGGGAGGCATGGGATGGTGGGAGCAATGTAGGCCCAATGGGAGGGCTCAGGTGGGGACGGGGGCGCTGGTCGGGCAGGCATAGGCCCGCCCGGCATGCTGCATGGTTCATCACCCGTGTTCCTTTTTGGGAAACACCGTAGCAGAGATTCATGTATAGCGAACAACCGACATTCCCCGGCTGTGTCGTCGTGGCGTGCCAAGTCGCCCACCACCCACCTTGACCGCGAACTCGTCCCCAGTGGCCAGCTTCCTCGCCAAGTACACACGCGCACACGCGCCCGGGTCCAAGTGCTTCACCACCTCATACCCCTCACTCGCCAGCACATCCACCACACTCGGCCGCCAGCGCATCGCCATCAGCCCTCCGCCGCTGCCACCGTCGCGGCCGCTGGCCCCCTGCTGCTGCTGCTGGTCCTGGTCCTGCTCCTCCTTGCCGGCCCCCTCACGCGCCGCCGCCTCCTCCTCCTCACCCTCCTCCGGCAGCCTGGCGAGGGCTGCCTCGGAGGCCTCGCCTTCCAGCGGGCCCCACATGAGCGACACGGAGGAGGGGCGCGCGGCGGAGCGGCGGGAGATGTTGTGGCGGGTGATGTGCGGCTGCTCGATGGTGGGGGTGCCCACGTTGCGTAGCACAGGGGGCAGCGGCAGCTGGCCGGGGGCGGCGAGAGCGTCGGAAAAGGGCCATGGCGGCAGCTGCTGCTGCTGCTCCTGCTGTTCGACGTCGCCCTGGCCGGATGCCTGGCGCGACGATGACGTGTTATTGTCATTGTTTACTGAAGCATCTGGATTAGCGTCTGGATCGGCTGCTGCTGCTGCTGCTGCGCTGCCAGTTTGTGCCAGAGCTCGGTCGCGGTAGGCAAGCAGCAAGGCCAAGTCCTCACCCCGGACACCGCGGGAGATCAGGTACTGCAGGGAATGGGGGCGTTGGGAAGGACGTACGGGAGTTGGGTGAGGTTGCCGGAGTAGTGAAAGGTTGGCTGACGTGAGCGCGACAGCATCGGGACAACGCATTCGGAAGATGTATTATAACTTACTTCTTTGCTCCATTGCGCCACCGTGCTGCCCTTTCCTGGCAGCAGGTTGGACCTGTATTTCTGCACATCCTGCCCGAGCGTGCCGAACCACTTGGCTACATCCTGCATGGACGTCAATAAGGGTAGGCGTAATCCTCTTGTTGCAAATGCGTACGCCGCGCAACAAGGCTTCACGTCGCGTTGCGACAACCCAATTGGTCGACCTTTCATGGTCCCACCGCAATCGCAAAGCAGAGGGTAAGTATCAGCATGAAGACACTTTTGACATGTTAAGCGCGTCAAAAAGTTGTCTCTCAGTTTACAAGCTGCGGCTGTAATGCGCTAACGGCATGCGCTGCTGGAACGTGCCTGCACGGTCCAGTCCTCGAGGGGTTTGTTGTCGGTAGGTGGCCGCTCTGGCAAAGCCGCCGCGCCATGCTTACTGGCCGCAGGAGCTGCCGATGTGGCTGTCGAAGCCCCGCAACCCAGTTTTCACAGACTTTAAAGCGATTGGCGAGCCTATAATGATATATCACTAACGGCCCTCTAACATAAGCTATCGATTAACATAAACAGGAACGCGCAGCAAGCTATCGACGCCCATAAGGGGATTGGCATACGCACTCCTTGGTAAAGCGCAGCGATTGCGGATGGAAACTGGTAGGTGACACTAAATGTGAAAGTTGGCAGATGCTTGAATACGCGATGCGTTCGGTATACTCATCGTCTAAGTCGTGTAAGTAACCAACTGGTCGTTGGCTCGCACACAGATAGCAGCTTGCAGCGACAAACACTACAAGCGAAAGGATCTAACGGCATGCGCAAAACGTCGCTGGCATGTAACCGACGCTTGCCATTATACGGACGATGACCCGTCGTAGCCGCTGCGTGCAGCTGCTTACTTGAAGTACCATATCCTCGGCCGTCGCTCGCTTGGGGGTTGCTTTGGGGCATGTTTAGCGCTGCAGCCCTACCATGGCAGCAACCACATGCAGCGTCTTGCGGGACATGTTATGTCCATGCCCCAAAGCAAACCCCAAGCAATTTTCCCACATGGGGGACAAACGCTTGCCCCCCATCGCTTATAGCATCCTTGCTTCCAACACCTGCTCCCTTCAACCCAGAACAAACGGCTGCGTGTGAGGGGCGCACCATGCTTTCCTTGCACAGCGGATGTGGTAGCAGACCGGCAGCAGAGCGGGGCTACGGTGGACAAACACACTATAGAGTGAAGGCCCAGTACCAAGTGACTGCATGGTCAAGCTACATCTGGTGTTTAGGTATACCCATGAGGACCTTGCATGAAAAACATAGGCAATCGGTATCGGACTTCAACAACGCCACCGGACAAACAACGGATGGATGGGTACAAGGCATAGACCGAAGACGCGCTTTAATGAGGAATTCCTTGGTGGACTACACGCCTTCTCTTAACGCCCGTAATAATATTTATTCTGCATCAGTCGGTGCTTTAGAACTATGCTGACAAATAATACGGCAGTCACACCCAGCGGTGAACACAGATGAGAACGGGACTTTCTATAGCTAGACAAGGCTAATATTGAGCATAGTGCAAAGGGTACAAACTTACAGGATACAAGTCGTCAAAGGGAACACGTGTTCTTGACTTTAGCGCTTGCTGACTTCGCAAGCCACTCAATTTCAGCTGCACAAATATAGGGGTATCGCAGAACTTGGATTGACATTTTTCGCTAGTGAAGACAAACTTTCTCTATGCCACCCTACTTTGCGTTCCTATGTTAAATCCCTTCAGCTCTTGTCTACTTAACATAATGACGCGAGTCATAGTAGACTCTTGCTCTGCGAGCCTTCCAGCTGCCAATTTCGCCTTGCAGCGATGTCGGGCACGCGCACCGTCATCAGTGGCTCGCTTGCGTACTCCAGCCGCTGGTTGGGGTATGACGCTACGTCGCACTCTTGTAGCCCCGGCACATAGCGCGTCAGAACCGGAGCACAGGCACCCACACCTCGAGTCGCGTTATGCGGTTGAGCTTCCTCATTACGAGCCCAGGGACAATTCCGACATTCCAGAAGTCTTCGGCAACGTTCACTCCACAGAATCCTTTAGCGCTGTCGACGGGCCTGGCGTAAGGTAGGCTTTCCCAAGCTCCTTCCAACGCTTGCGTACTGCCATTGACTCGTATGAGTAGCGATGTCTTGAACAACCGGCACCTCCTTTCTGGGACGGAGCCTGTGCCAAACCTTCCTTACCTTCCTTACTTCCACTTCAGCTCTCCCTCCGTCCTCCTTTCTTTCCCTCAGCCCTACCCTTTTTTTCGCCTTCCCCCGCACCCTCTCGCCTTCCCGCCAGGTTCCTCGTCTTCGTGCAGGGCTGCGCCATGCGCTGCCTCTTCTGCTCCAATCCCGACACCTGGAACCTCAAGGGCGGCACGCGCACCTCCTCCAAGGAACTCGCGCAGGAAATACGCAGGGTGCGTGCTTGTGTGTATATGTGTATGTGTACGACAACACCGTTTGCGCTGGGCTGGGGCTGGGCACGAGGCGGTGCACGTCCTTGGCAGCGGACGCTCTCAGGCTGAAGACAGGAGAGCCGAGGGACCTGTTGAGGTGTCCTCAGCGGGCAGCGGCCCATTGGGGCCCTGTTTTGGGGCTCTAAGCGGGCAGGCTAGCAAGGCCTCCGCAAGCGCTCCTGCAACGCTGCTGCTGCTGCTGGCGGGAAGCCCCGACCGTGCACTGCGCAACCTGCTCCCCCCCTGGCCCCCCGCGCCCCCAGGTCCGCAACTACCTGCGCCCCCGCGGCGGCATCACCATCTCGGGCGGCGAGGCGCTGCTGCAGCCGCACTTCGTGGCAACCATGTTCCAGGTGGGGGGGAGGGGGAGGGGGGGTGTGTGGAGTGTGGCGTGAGGGTGGGGGGGGGGTCATAGGCCATACCGAGGAGGGGGTGGTGGGAGCATGTGTGGGTGGGGGGCGGGTGTTGCGTCGCCGGGGGTGCGGGGGGCCGGGTTTGCCGGGTGGGGGGAGGCATACCGTAGCTCCCCTCTCCTCATCTCCCTCCTCCATTCAACGTTCCACTCCCCCCTGACCCTTCCTGACCCCCCCCCCACCCGTTCAGGAGACCCACGCGATGGGTCTGAACACCTGTGTGGACACCACGGGCCAGGGCACCAAGCACGGCAACTGGGATGTGGTGCTGCCGCACACGGACCTGGTGCTGTTCTGCATCAAGCACATGGACCCGCTCAAGTACGAGGCGCTCACAGGTGGGGGGGTGCGGGGGCGTATGAAGATGCAGGGGAAAGGGTCTGAAGGGGGGGTGAACGGGTATGAAGGGTGGGAAAGGCGGGAAGGTTGCTGAAGGAAAGTACTCGGGGCCGGGGTCCCCTTCTGATTCCCCTCTCCATCCCCGTCCCCACCTCCTTCCCCTCTCCTTACCTATCCCTCCCCTCCCTCTCCATCCCTCTCCGCCCTCCCTCCCCCCCCCCTCCCAGGCATGAAGCAGCGCGGCGCCCTCAAGTTCGCGGACGAGCTGGCGGCCCGCAAGATCCCCTTCTACCTGCGCTACGTCTACATCCCCGGCTACACGGATGCGCCCAAGGACATCGACAAACTCATAGCCTGGGCCAAGAAGCAGCCCACATTCCAGGTAAGGGAGGGGGTTGATCGGGATGAAGAGATCGGGATGAAGATTCCGCATGAAGCTGGATAGTTGGGTAAGCATGTTATTGTAGTTGTTAGATAGGAAAGTAGCAGCAATCGTCTACAAACCGTATTGTAAGCTCCATGGCTGGCGGCTGGGTGATCTGAGATCACGCTGCATTGGCGAATGTGATCTTAACAGGCTCCACCGTGTTGCACCTTACTTCTCCGCTGTACAGCTGTCAGTAGTAGGGGGGCGGAGCGAGGAGGGGGGAAGGGTGGGGGTGAAGACGGGGGTGGGCTTGGCTGTGGCGGGTGTAGCGGGGAGGGAGGCAAGGAGGGGCTGCTACCGCCCACTTCTGCCGGGTGGAGGGGTGGAGGCGCACCGTGACTCACACCGCCACCTTACCCGGGCTGCCGCCATCTGCGCGCTGTGTCACTGCTGTCACCGCGCTGCCGTACCACGTGCGCTGCAGGGCATTGAGCTGCTGCCGTACCACGTTTTGGGTCGCAACAAGTGGGAGGTGATGCAGATCCCCTACCCGCTAGACGGCGTGTCGACTCCCTCTCACGAGGCGGTGAGGAACGTCATCAAGGCCTTCAATGACGCGGACATCAGTGTCATTTGCGCCAATTGAGAGGGGGGGAGGGGGCTACTGGCGGTTGGGCTGGGCTGGGCTGGGTAGCGTAAGAGGGTGAAGGGGGAAGCTGAGAGGGCGTAGGAGGAGGCTAATGGGGGCATTAAATGCGCGGCCGGCCTGAATTGGGGACAACAGATGAATCAAGCGTGAGCTATACACGCTGTAGATTGTTTTGCCAACGGTTGCAGAATTGGATTGTATGATTGCGAGAGGAGGGAGATAGAGAGAGGCGTGAGAAAGGAGAAAGTTGTGAAGGTAGAAGACTTTCGCGATACGTCTGGTTGACCCAAACGTGTGTGTCTCAAACGTGTTACCCCTACTCCGTACATATGTGTCGTACGCGAATGTGTGTATGTGTGTGTGTGTGCCCGTGTCTCTTCTCACTCTGTTTGTGTGCGCATTCTGTGCTTTTGCAAACTGCTGGAGAATGGCGCCCAGATTGGCGCCGACTGTCAGATTGGCGGTTTGTTGTTGCTGTTGGGAGCTGCACGGTGCCTCGCGTTTACACGTTGGGTGGGGCCCCTTGAACCACCTGTGGAACTTAGCTGCGAGAGTTCGCAGCTAGCTAGGGGGGTTCCTTTCCCTGTGGAACTGTGTGAATGCCCCTTTTTCCTTGTCGGTGCGGTTGGAAGCCGGTTGTGCTTGGTTTTAGTAAAGCGCCGGTTGTCATCATCTTCCTCTCGTTGCCTTAATGGACGGCTAATGCATGGATGGCTTTAGGACTGCCACCGCCTTGGCGCCTTGGTCTCCTTCCTTTCATGGCAGTAGCCGGAGGCAGCAGAGGGCCAGTCCTAACGTTCCTCTTGTTGGGGACGTGTGTTTAGAAAACTGGCCGCGAGTCGGGACGCGTGTGTGTGTGTTGCTCGCTCATAGGGTACCTCGTAATGGGCGGTAGAGATTGAAGCTGCCCCGCCTTGGTTGCCCCTCGGATGGACGGCCGCCTCGTGCCCTGGCCGGCTTGTTGTTGAGCTGGCGTGGGGGCCCTCGGCGGCCGTGTTGACACCCTGGAGCCTCGTTGCCAATGCCTCGTTGATGCCTCGTTTGGTAAGAAAGCCGGGAGAAGATGGTGGGAGGAAACCCGGAAGGAGAATTGAAGATTGCAAGCGTCATGGCCGTTGGCTAACTTGTTCTGACGCTAGGGTTATTGCTCGGGCCTGACGGATGGGTAATTGCCGTTGTGAGACGCTGGCCTGGACGAATGCCGTGACCTATGGGTTTGTGAGCATGATTACTCTTGGGATGCAACTTCAAGGAAATGCAGGTGCTGGCTGCTCAGGAAGGGTTGTTGCCGGAAGGGTTGAAGTTGGGAATTGATGACATGGGGTTTAGGATCTTGTTGGGTCGCATTGTTGGCTAGGTGAAGGGGCGGGCCGTGAAGGCTAGTGGCGTGGTGATAGCAGGCTAGCTGGACGCGGTAGGCTGCAGAGCAAACATGCACGGCAGGCAGCGTGTGTGTCTTCTGCATGGCTTTATGAGTCACGGTACATCAAGGCCGCCTTCGCCAATGCCGACCTTCTTCCAACCTGAACCAGGCGATATGCAAACGCCAGCAGGCCGGCGGAGCGGAAAGAGACGCTGAGACTGCGGCTGTCCCCGGCTTTGGAGGCGCCCCCCCTTGCACCATGTTCCGACCTGTTGCACGTATCTTGTAACATACCCTCAAGCCCCTATCCAGTATCTAGTAGTACTAGTATCTAGTACCCTCCCGCCGCGAACACCAAAGGCATCTAACGCGCGAATTGCATACGCCAACTGTTGGATATGATGGTACATACAGCTTGCAGCACTGTTATTAAAAAAAAAGAGGTACCGTACATGTCAAGGGCTGTAGCAGTACCCTGGCTGCCTCTCCTCCTCAGGGCTCAGGCGTGTCCTTACCCAAGCTCCCCAATGCTGAGTATGTAGGCGCGTCTGCAGTACACCTCCGCAAACACAGCTCCTACTACTACCCAACCAAACCAAACCCCCAAATCAACCACCGCGACACCTCCCCAGTCGAACGTGCCCTGTTGAAGTCCCAATTGGCGACTCACAGGCTTCTTTATTAACCTCTTCCCGACGTCCAGGAGTCCCCAAACAAGGAGAAAGCAACGCTTTGGGCAGCACAAGCCAAGCCGCCGCTCGTGGCCCCACCAGACTGCTGCTGCTGCTGCTGCTGCTGCTCTTCAACGTGCACATGTCCCAACAAAACAATGACAACATAACAACATAATCCTACATGGGGCGCCATGAACCCCAACAGACGCATGGTATATGTGACCGCCACCTCCCTACCGCTACCCGCAGCCGACCCCCCAGTAGAGGGACTCGCAACACACCCCAGATCCCCCTGCATGGCTCCCTCCTCATCCTCCACAACACTCGCCCACCTGCCTCCTTCCAACCTCCTCCGCCTCACCCTCACCCTCCCCCTCGCGCATGCGCCCCTGCTGCTGCTGTCCCCGCCCCCGCCGCCGCCCTCTCCTCCGCTGCCGCCGCCTCCCCCGCCATCGCCACGAACACGTGTTCCAGGGTGGTTTGCGACAGGCAGTAGTCCACCAGCCCTAGCCCACCAGCATGCGCCCCCTGCTGCCCCTGCTGCCCCCCCTGCTGCCCCCCCTGCTGTCCCAGTGCCATCTGCGCCTCCACCGCCTCAAACAGCGCTGCCAGGTCCAGACCAGCAGACCTGGGGCGGGTGGGGCGGGGGGGGCGGGACACCATGGGAGGATTGATCAGGATTACAGCACAGGGAAGGGGACTTGCAGCATAGGGAAGGGGGCTGGCAGCACAAGCACGGAATAATTATGGCGAAGGGTAAGGGCCACGTGAAGGGGGTAAGGGGAATCCTTACCCACCACCTTCCCATAAGGGCAATCAGCCATCTCACCCCACACTTCCTTCCCCTCTCCTCCCACCTGCCACCTCCCCTCCCCCACCCACCCACCTGGGTATGCCAAACGTGTAGCGCTGCTGGTCCACGTGACTCAGCACCGCATCGGGGCAGAAGGAGCGCACCCAACCCAACAGCTCAGCAGCGGAGGCAGCAGCACCACCAGAACCAGCAGCACCGCTGCCGCCGTCCTCGCCAGCACCGGCGCCGCCCCCCACCGCACCAGCAGCAGTGGCAGCAGTACCACCGCGGCCGCTGAAAAGCTCTTCGCCAAGAGAACCAGCAGCAGGGCCAGTGAGGGGCGCGGAGCTAGGGGTGGGGGGCGGCGTGAGGGTCTTGAGCTCCAACACGTACCTGGCGGCATGCGGGGGGAGTGCGGGGGTGGGGGGGTCCATGTGGGGGGAGGAGGGGAGGGAGGGAGAGTGGACGGGGCGGAGGAGGTTAAGGGAACAACTGCACCCGCAGCAGCAGCGGCAGCAGCAGCGGCAGCAGCAGCGGCAGCAGCAGCGGCAGCAGCAGCGGCAGCAGCAGCGGCAGCAGGTACGGTGAACACATGCTCATGAGGTCACGAGGGTTACCAGTATGCCGTATCGGAGCGACAGGCAATACCGCTCTGATGTGTTCTGCCGTGGTGACGTGCCGGATTGCGGGTACGGATGCGCACCCTTGCGCGTGGTACCGCCTCTCCCCCCCACCCTCCTCCCCCCGCCACTCACCCTCCTCCGAACCTGCCCTTCAGGTGCTGCGGAGTCCCCAGGCACCTCAGCCTGCCACCCGCCATGATGGTCAGCCGGCCGCACAGCGCCTCGCACTCCTCCATGGAGTGGCTGGTCAGGATGACGGTGCGGCCTGGGAGCGGGGGAGGGAGGGGAGGGAGGGGAGGGAGGGAGGGAGGGAGGGGAGGGCGGCAGTCAGGAAGAAACCAACTAACCGTGTGACGTGTAGGCTCCATCATGGAGGGTAATGCAAATAAATCAGCATTGCGGGTTGGTCCAGGGAACGTGAAGGCCGCTGCGAAAGCCTTACGATGTGAAGGTCACAAGGACACACGGACACACGCAGCAATGCCCCCCTGATGTGGGATGTCAGGGACGGAAGAACAGCATGCAGTCCCAGCTGGTCGGCGGAAGGTGGAGCAGCAAGATGACGACTCACACAGCCGGGGCGGTGGCAGCATGGTGGCAACATGCAGCAGGCAGCAAAGCCAACTCCACCCCCCGGATAGGCGCACATACCTGCACCGATGACCTCGCTCTGGTTGGGGGGAGGCGTGAGGCGTGGGTGAGGCGTCCGGCATTGGAGTTGACACGTGGAGGCAGGGGTTTGAGGCAGCGGGTTGGGGTGTCCGACAAGGGGGTGGGGGTGGGAGTAGGAGTGGGTGCACGTGAGGCGGCATGAGGGAGGCATGGAGGCGCAAAGAGGGGCCACCCAGTCGCTGTAACAGCAACAGCAGGAAACGTCATCAGGACGGGAGGGGGCTAGCAGCAGCAGCAGCAGCAGCAGCAGCGCGGGTGACACGGTGCGCATGGCAGCATGGAAAGCACCCGGCCCCACTGCCCTTTTACTGACTTAACCACTAAATAGCCCCTCCCCTTCCCATCACCTCTCCCCCCACACACACCTGCAGACAGCTCCACAGCCCCCTCCGCCCCCCCGGGTCCATCCCCGTGGAGGGCTCGTCCAGCGCCACCACCGGCGGCTCCCCCACCAGCGCCACGCCCACTCCCAGCTTGCGACGCATGCCGCCGCTAGGGGGAAAGGGGGAAAAGAAGAATACCCAATGTGTTGAATGCGTTTAATGAGAATGGCAAACAAGACGACAAGCTCCTGGGCGGAGGGGATCAAACACCGCACCAAACCACGATAGGAGACCACAGGTTAGGGCAAGGGCGATGGGGATAGAGGAGGCGGCAGGGTGCTACAAAAGGAGGGGAGGGAGGGGACCCGTGAAGCCCCACCCCTCCCTAGCACGCAGCAGGGAGGTCCCAGCAGCCCCAGCAGCAGCGCACCCCCGGCCCGCACCTGTAGCCGCCGCACACGCCCTCCGCCGCCGCGCCTCCCAGCCCCAGCCGCTGCAGCAGCTGCCGTGCCAGGGGGGCCACTTGGGGCTCGGGGACTCCGCGCAGCCTGGCAGGTAGGGGGGGGGAGGGGGGGCAGTGGGGTCAAAATAGACCAAGCCATAGGAAACCACGAATGGGAAAACCAATGGGGGAAGGGGGCGGCAGGGTGGCTCCAGACAAAGGGAGGGGGGTCAAAGACCATACCAAGCCATAGGAGACCACAAGTTAGGGCAAAACAATGGGGGTAGGAGTTGGCAGGGTGCCACAAGACAAAGGGTTGGTTAGTATTCCCTACCGATACCGGGTCCGCGTTGCTGATGAAAAGTTGACACTCCAAAAAAAGGGAAGGGGGGAACCATGCGTTGCATGGGTGAGGGGGGCAGGGGCCAGGGGGGGGCGTATGGGTGCGGGTCGGGGTCGGCAGGAGTCGGCAGGAGCCTCAGAACCGCTGGGTGGATTGGCTTGGCCCTTTTGAAACCTAGCTGCTGTTGCCGCTTCCTCCTCTTTTACCACCCCGCTTGTGCGCCCTCCCCATTCCGCCAAGCACTCCACCCTGCCCCATCCAGCCCGGCAACCCCTCCGTTGCTGCACTCATTGTGTTCCCCGACTCCCCCCCGCCTACCTGGCGTACATGGCCACCACCTCCCGCCCAGTCATTGCGCCCGGCAGCGCCTCGAACTGGGGGCAGTAGCTGCGGGGGGAGGTGGGGTGGGGGGTAGGGTTGGATGGGACTTGAGCTGTGGGTGAATTTTGTGAATTGGGTACACACACATGATTTGGCACAGCAGGAGCAAGAGCAGTTCGGAAGCAGTGGTGCGGGGAACAACAAGCACCAAGCAACAAGCCGCCCCGACCCGGGAAGGCAGCCGGAGGGCCAGGGATGTGTGCTGATAGCGGCACACTGGAGCACAACCCATCCCGCCCTCCTCCCCCTCACCCCAGCTGCCTCCGTGCCGCCGCCAGCTGCCGCCTCACGCTGCGCCCCCCCACCGCCGCGTCCCCCGCGTCGGGCAGCACCTCGCCAGTTAGCATGCGGAAAGTGGTGGTCTTGCCTGGGGGGGTGGGGTGAGGAAGGAGGAGGGCAAGAAAGGAGGACATGGGGACGGCCGTCATGTGGAGACCACCCACCCATCCGCGCCCACCCATCCACCCACTCCTGTCCTCCTATCCTCCTGTCCTGCAGGACCTGTCTGGGTCCCGCCTCAGGGCTTCACCTCCGTAACTCGCATTGCACCCATCCGCGCTTCCCCCCGGCTCCCCCACCCTCCCCTGCCCCGCCCCACCTGCTCCATTCACCCCCAGCAGTCCGAAGCACTCCCCCGCCGGCACCCCCAGCCACAGCCCGCGCACAGCAGCCAGCGGCCGCCGGAACAGCCCCCGCGGGTAGCTCTTGCGCACACCGGACAACAGCACCTGCAGGGGGGGGGCGCGGGGGGGAGGAGAGGGTTGGGGGGCGAGGGGAGCTGAGAGTTGGAGGTGCGTGAGAGGCGCAGGGAGAGGGGGGGGCAGGGGCGGGGGCTGTGCGCAGAGGTGCAGCAATGGAGGAGGAGGTGGGGACAGTGGAAAGGCGGAACCAAAAGAGGTGTCGCCTTGCAAGCACTGGGAACCAACCTAGCCGCCACACACAGCCCCCACGGGCGCCCTGCAAAACACCGCACATGTCATCCGCCCAGCCCAACAACCCCCCGACCCAGCCCACCCCGTGCCCCCACAGCGGTGACATGCGGGCCTGTGCGGGTGATGAAAGAAATGGAATACCATGACCCCCGCACGCCACCCCCCCGGTCTTGTGGCACCCTGCCGACTCCTACCCCCATTGCTTTGCCCTAACCTGTGGTCTCATATGGTTTGATATGGTCTTTGACCCCCCCCACAGCGCCGCACCTGGCAGTGGCTGCGGCGACCCGCCAGCACCGCCCGCCTCTCCGCCCCCACATCCACATCCTCGCAGTAACCGCCATCCGCGTCATCATCATCCTCATAGCAGCTGCCGTACGCATCTCCGCCGCATTCCGTGTCGGGCTGGCCCGCCCTACTGCCATCCCCAGCAACTGCTCCGTTACCCCCAACGCCGCCGCCGCTACCGCCGCTGCCATTGTCTCTCACCGCCGTCGCCCCCGCCACAAGCGGCATGCTACCAACCCCGCCAGGACCCCGCCGCTGGCCCCCAAGCCACGTCATCACAGCCGCCACCCCATCCTGCATGCGCGCATGTACGGCAGACAGCAACCCCGTGTCGTACAGTACTGCAAGTGTGCCGTACACCAGGGTTTGTGCCGCCATGTGTGCCATCGGGCTTCCAAAGACATCCCAGTCAAACGGCTTTCCGCGTTTGCCAAAGGGGAATAGCCCCGCGTTGTATGTGTTTTGCACGTCGTACATTCCCCTTGCGAAACAGTAGTGTGGGGAGGCGGTGCGCAGGGCCCACTTGACGGAGCTGTTCCAGGCGGCTAGTCGTCCGGGTTGCGGCACGATCATCAGGATGAGGTCGGCGACCCAAGTGGCCACGAATCCCAGGTAGCCGGTCAGGAAGTAGGCGGTGTTCAGGCGCTGCAGGGCGCGCATCTCGTCCTGGGGGAGGGGGTAAAAATAGGGAAAACTGACGAACTGGCTGACGAGGCGTCACCATGGGTTGCTAATTGAACCCGGCCCATCCCACCCCACCCGGTGGGAGGTGGGAGGTGGTGGTGTAGTCAAGAAGGAACATTGGAGGATGGGGACCGAGAGTCAACAATTGCAATGACGCCTACAAAGACAACAGGAACTCCCCTCCTCACCCACCCTCGCGACCAGCACGAATGGTGCATGACACCCTCTCCCCCCGTACCCCCACCCCACCCCACCCCACCTCACCCTGAACAGGAAGTGCAGCAGGTACGTCAGGCTCAGACCCGCGGGTCCGAACCCCCCCAGCAGCCCCGCAGTCGCCGCCAGCCGCTGTCCGCTGTACTGCGGCAGTCGGTAGGCGCCGATGAGCGCCAGCAGCCCGGCCGCGGAGGCGCAGTAGGCGGCGCAGTCCCACAGGTAGTTGGCGAGCCAGTAGGCGGAGGGCGGCGCGCCGCTGACCAGCTGCAGGTGCTTGCTGTTGCTGTCCTGCTCCCTGTGCGGTGCGGGGGGGGGAGGTGGGGGTGGGTGGGGGTGGGCGTGGGAAGGGGGAGTATGTGTATGTGTGTGAAGGCAACTGGCCGCGTAGGATGATGCGTTGTGAGTGTTAAGAAACCTGGCCGAATGATGTGTTTGCGTGTGAGGAGGCTGGGGACGTGTGAGAAGGCGACGGACTACCAAGTCTCCGGTAATGTGACCCAGTTAGAATCAAGATCTCCATACATACACAGAGATCCGCCCCTCTCCCTTCAGTAGGACACCAAGCACCGCAGGCACACGTCACGGCTGCCCCACTCAACTCCCAACCCAAACTCCACTCCACCTCAACCACCCACCCCCTCCACCTCCCACCCCCTCTCCCCACCACCCCCTCTCTCCCACCTGACCAGGAACACCACGAATGACGCCGACAGCACACTGCTCGCCAGCACCAGGCACAGAACCAGCATGAGGCTGGCGGCGTCGCGCTGGATGCGGGCAACGGGCTCAAAGGGCAGCGTGGGCATGGGCCAGCTGACGGTGGAGAAGGAGGGGGAGGAGGAGGGAGAGGGGGTTGATGCTGCTGCTGCTGTTTCCGATGCTGGGCCGATTTCATCACCATGCCGCACGTTGTCAGCAGCGGCAGCTAAGCGCCTCAACAGGTGCTGCCGACTGGCGGCTTGCTGCTGCGGCTGCTGCTGCAGCTCCCCAGCTGCCTCCGTCACAGTCAGCGGAGGCGGTGACGGTGTTGCGGGCGGAGGCAGGCCGGTGCCAATATACGACAGGGCCGCCGTCATCGCATCTGCTAGCGCCGCCGGCAGGGCCGACAGCGCGCTTTGGTTGGTTAGCAGTACGAAGGACAGCGGCGGCGCCGCCGCGGCGACTGCGGCGGAGGCGGCAGTGGCGGCGGTGGCGCCGCCGGCGGCGGCAAACACCGCTGGTGGCGGCAGCGACGTCATGTGGATTGCGTCGTACACTGGCGCTCCGCCGCCGTTGCCGCCGCCGTACCAATGAGCCAGGAGGTAGGATTCAAGTGTGGCGTTACGGACCCGTGGGTCACCGGTGTAAAGCGCCGTCGCGCCGCTGTCAATGGCCACGTCACCCGCTGGGTGCCCTGCGAGGAACGCCGCTAGACACCCTCCGCCCGCTGCTGCGGCTGCTGCGGCTGCTGCTGCTGCTCCCTCTCCTCCACCGCCGCCCCTTGAAGCACCTGCTGCACAGCCTCCCCCTCCTGCTCCGCTGCTGCTGCTGTCGTTGCGCAGTGCGGCCGCAGCGGACCAGGCGGGTGGGCGGGCGATGAGGGCGGTGGTGCGGGAGAGGCGCAGCGGGGGCTCGCTGGGCTCTCGGACCTGGGGGGGGGAGGGTGGGGGAGAGGAGGGAGGAGAGGGGGAATTGCGGTACGGTGCTTGCGTGTCAGAACGCGCCTTTCTTGAACCTGTGTCCTGCTCCTGAACCAGTAGCCATATATAAAAACCTAATCAACCAAGACAAACCAAACACCAAGACCTACAACCGCATGAAGCAACACCCGCCGCCCACCCCCCGGCCGCACCTGCAGGCTGCTGATCCACAGTGCCAAGTACACAAGCGCCAGCGGAACTAGCAGTTGGGTCACAACCGCCAGGCGGTCGCGGCGGGCGCATAGGGCCCTCTTGGTGAGCAGGGCTCGCAGCTGCTGGCCGTACAACCGCCAACCGTGCAACCGTTGTGGCGGTTGGAGCGGCGGCGGCGGTTGAGGATCAGTCGCCGCCGAGGGAGCTGAGGGCGGTGTCGCCGCTGCTGCTGAGGGCGGCGAGAGCGGTGAAATGGAGCCAGCAGCAGTGGCGGCGGCCGCTGCCGCCGTCGTCAATTGTACGGCATCCGTGGCGACGGAGGTGACGGTGGGGGTGATGGTGGGGGTGACGGTAGGGGTGGCTGTTGCGGTGGCAGCCTCTGCTGCGGCTTGCTGATCCGCGGCCGCTGTGATAGCGAGGAAGACCTCCTGTGTGGGGTGAACGCGGGGGGGGGGGGGGGTGAGGGGGAATCATCCCGATGCAGCACAGAGTGTCTGCTATCTTGGCATGTGTACGACGTCTCTGTTACGAACTGGGCACAACCCAGCACGTGGGCTACATAGCAGATACAGGCATGTAGAAAACACAGGCACCCTGCCACCCCTCACCCTGCCACCCCAAGCGGACCCCTCACCTCCAGTGTCGTCAGGGACAGCCCGTAGCTAGCCACGCCCAGCTGCCGACCCATGGGTCCGTCCAGCGCCCGCAGTAACCCCGGGAACGCCCCGCCCGCCTCCCGCGGCAGCCGTACAACCACCTCCGCCCCCGCGGCGCTGACTAACACCGCAGCCGGCACGAACTGCCGTACAGCATCTAAAACCTGTACGGCAGAGCTCGTGACGGCAGCTGCTGCTGCTGCTGCTTTGGAGGCACTGGTCCGCGTGATGCTACCAACGCTGCTGGCCGGTGCCCCAGTTGCCTCCATTACGGGTGAGGAGGTGCCGGGGGAGGTGGCAGCAGGCGCGCCTCCTCCCCCTCCTTCTGAGGACCTGCGGCGTGGAGTAGTAGAGGAGGAGGATGTGCCGGGCGGCGCCTCCGCTGCGGCCGCTGGCTGGGCCCCCGCCTGCTGCCCGCTTCCGCCACCTTGCAGCGCCGCCACCTCCTCCTCTGCTGCACGCACAGAGGAGGACTGTTCTTGGTGAGGCTGCTGTTGTTGCTGCAGTTGCTGTACTGCTGCTGCTGCCGCTGCTGGCAGGTGCGGGGGGGCGGAGGTGTCCATCACGAGGGTTAGGTTGTAACCCACTCCGTGGGCCGCCTGGGAGGGGGGAGGGGGGGCAGAAGGGGGGGCATAAGGGGGGGAGGGTTGGAGGGGAGGCTACGGTAAGGGCGAGGAGGAATGGAGCGAGCCAGGCGGGTCAGGGGCCGGGTTTAGCAGGGCCAAGCGCATGGTCACCATCCCGCCCGTCAATCGTACCGTCCTCCCCTCGCGGTTCCCCCCTCCCCTCCATTTGGGATTGGGACTCCGTTGCTTCACTTTTCATTCATATTTTCCCCCTCCCCCCCCCCCCCACACACCTTTCTTTATTTTTACCCCCCCCCCCACACACACGCACCTTGAGCTCCATGCCGGTTCCCTGCGCCGCCACCCGCCCTCGAGCCATGATAACCACCCGGTCCCCCAGCAGGTCGGCCTCCTGGGGGGGGGTGGGGGACGGGTGGGGGTGGACGGGGGGACGGGGGGAGGCAGCATGGAAGGCAGCACTAGGAGGGCACTAGGAACACCCTAGCCATGAACACCGTAGCACCCTCGGGAGCATCCCACTCCTCCCCCCCCATTCTACTGCATGTATGGGGGGTTACAGAATTGGGACACCAGTTACTTCACTTCTCATTTACTTTCCCCCCTCCCCCACTAAGCCCCCCCCCACAAGCTCCCCCCCCTCCCCCCCACCTCCATGCTGTGTGTTGTGAGCACCACCGCCGCCCCCTGTCGGTGCCGCCGGATGACATCCCACGTGAAGCGCCGGCTGAAGGGGTCCATACCCGAGGTGGGCTCGTCCTGGGGGGGTGGGAGGGGGGTGGAGGCAAGGGGGTGGGGGCAAGGGGCGGTGGTGCAAGGGGGCGCTGGTAGCGTCCAAAAGGTCCAGCGGGGCGCAGGGCGGATATATGGGGGTAGGAGGTGTTGACGGTGGATGGCGGGGAAGCACCTACCGCGTGTGTTGCAAGGCGATAGGCTGCTGCTGCTGCTGCTGCGTCGGGCTATCAGTGCGCCGCATGGGCACCACCGCATAGGGGCACTGCCGGGGCTACTTAGCCCTGCCGCTGCCGGGCCCCCCAGCCTTCCCCATTGCTTTGCCCTAATTCGTGTCTTCCTATGGTTTAGCCTCCTTGACCGACCCCTCCCCACTCCCCCCCACTCCCCCTACCAGGAACACCACCGCCGGGTCGCCCATGAGCGCGATGGCCACACTCAGCTTGCGCCGCTGCCCGCCGCTCAGCTCCCCCGCGGGGCAGTGCAGCTTGGGCAGCAGACCCACGCCGGAGGCAGCGGAGACGGCTGCCTGGGGGGGGGGGGAGGGGGTTTGGAGGGGAGAGGGGTAAAAGACTATACCGTACAATAGGAAGACACAGGTTAGGGCAAAGCAAGTGAGGGAGAGGCGGTCAAGCATGTCGTACACCACCGTGCATATACACCCAAAGACCCAATACACACACACCGCACCCACCTCATGCAGCTCCCCCCCGCTGTAACCCTTGATGGCGCCGTACAGCTGCAGGTGCTCGTACACGGACAGGTCGGGCCACAGGATGTCGAACTGGGGGCAGATGCCCAAGGAGGCGCGGACCTGGGGGGGGGTGAGGAGTGAGGGTTGGAGAAGGTGAGGGGTGAGAAGGGGGCCGAAGACCGCACCAGACCATAGGAATTATCAAACAAAGGTTAGGGTAAAGCAATGGGGTTATAGGAGACGGCAGGGTGCCACAAGACAAAGTGAGGGAGGGGAGGGGTTAGAGGAAGGAGGTGAGAATGTGCGGGTGGGGTCGTTACGGCTGGTTGTTGCGGTTAGGGGGTTGCATGGGACTCTTAACTTTGATGGGGAGGGCTAACCCCGCTGGTCTGACCCATGGGTCGTGTTGTCCAACACGGATTGGGTACCACTTCTGCGCTACTAAGATTCCTACGCCCCTCACGTGAACCCCCAACAACACCCCAATACCCCCCCCCTCCGAGGGTGAACCCCCAGCCCCGCCCCCCCAGCTACCTGATCCATCTGAGTCGCCACATCGAATCCGTTGACCGTTGCGCTGCCCGCCGTGGGTTGCAGCATGCCAGTTAGCACGTGGATGGTGGTGGTCTTGCCTGGGGGGGGCGGGGAGGGGCGGGGAGGGGAGGGGCGGGGAGGTGGGGTGAGAAAGGAGGATAAAGAGGAATCAGCTAACCGAAGGAGGAGAAGAAGGGGAGGATGGCGGCGGGACAATGCCTAAAACAAACCTACCGCGATCCCCGACAATTCGCCTACCCTCGCTTTATTAACCGTTCGGTTGGTCCCATGACGCCCCCTGTACACTCCCCTATGTGCAGCATCCCCCCCATCACACACGGCTAGTCACTCCCCTCCTCCCTCCCCTCCTTACCCTCCCCCCTCCCCCCTCCCCCTCCCCTCCCCCACCTGCTCCGTTATGCCCCAGCAGCGCCGTGATGCGCCCCGACTCAATCCGCAGGTCCAGACCCGCTACCGCCACCTTGGGGGGACCACCGGAGGCACTGCGGTAGGTCTTGACAAGGCCCCGAACCTCCACCGCAGCGGGGGTAGAGGTAGCAGCGGCGGGGTGGGTGGCGGTGGTGGCAGGTGCGGTGTCGTCGCCTGCTAGGCTGGCGCGCCGGGATGACTGCAGCAGTGGCTCTGCGGGATTGCAGGAGATGGAAGGGTGAGAGGTGAAGGGCAGGAGGACGGCAGTGGCAGGGCAGGAGGGGTGGCGCGGCGTGGATAGCGGAAGCGACAGCAGGACTGAAAGAGTTTACATAGAAACAAAAGTGGCTGTGGATAACGTGGACCGCAGTAACGTGGCTTGCGCTTGGTAATGGTGTTGCTGTTTCGCTCACCTCCCAAGCCCGCTCGTGACCCCGCATCTTCTTCCTCGCGGCTGCCGCCACGCCAGAAAGGGGAGAACGACCGCCACCCCCACCCCCACTTCCTGCCGCCACTGCCGCTTCCCTCCATGCTGCCACCGTTGCCGTTGACTTGCTGTCCGCCCTTGTTCCGGGAGCTGCTGCCGCTGTGGCTGCGGTGGCTGCTGCCAGTGGTTGTGGCGGTACTGCTACTGCTACTGCCGCTGCTGCTCCAGTAGCGCCGGTCAAACACAAACCACCAAGGCAGCCGTTGACCGTAGGACTTTGGTAGCACCTGATGAGAAGGAGGTGTACGGCACACACACATGCAGTTGGTGCGTACGTAGAATCGAATCGAATTCTGAAGGAGAATCGAGGAAAGAGGCAGCACGTCCATGTCATAGGCTCATAGCCCCCCCCCCTCACCTTATCCAGGTACCATGCAAGCATGCCGTACAACACCACGTCCAGCGCCAGCAGCCACAGCACGCTCGCAGCGCAGAATCCGTTGGTCTGGGTGATGGGCAGCTGCAGGGTGTGGGGGTTGATGCCTGGTGGGCGTGGGGGGGTTTAGGGGTGAGGGTGGGGGGAGTGGGGGTGGGGAGACTAGCAGGGAGCAGTGAGACAGGCGGGGCAGTCGTGTAGGACAGGGGTAGGGTGTGTAGGGATGGCGGAACGGATGGAACAAAGGCACAACCGGTGATGGCTTAATCACTACCGTGCGCGCGAGGTATCACATTTCCCCTTCCACAGGACCCCACGCATTGTGTCCCCCGACCCCCCAACCAGGCATATTGTTTCCCACATCCCACCCCCACCTCCTCCCCAGTTCTTAGGATAGGATAGTGTCTCCGTATGCTCTCACTGCATGAATCGGATCATGGGATTGGGACTACAGTTGTTCCACTTCCCACCCCCACCCCCCACCTCCACCCACTCACCCTCAGCCACCTTCTCCCAGTTCACAAGTACCGCTGCGTACAACGAAGCAGCCGACGGCGGAGCCAAACACGCCGCATACCAGGTCCAGCTGCCGTACTGATAAACCGTCGGCAGTACGAACCCCGGCAACATGGACAGCGCGTACAGCAGCTGTGTTGCCGTACCCGCGACCCGGCTACTGCTGAACAGGGTCGACAGGCAGTAGCTGTACGACACGAGGGCTGCGCCGTACAACCAGAAGAAACACAGCATGATCCAGGGTGATGTGTTTTCGAAGGGGTAGGTGCCGGCTAGGGTGCACAGGGCGCCGCTGAGTGCCAGCAGCAGCCAGTGGGTGAGGCCCCAGGAGAGCCAGTAGGAGGGCTCACTCAGACCTGGGGGGGGCGTGCGGGGGTGTACGGCAGAGCGGTACGGGTCTCTTGAAACAAACGAATACACACACAGCAGTCTTCGGCTCCAGTTCTCTTTATCCCCCAGCCTCAGCCAGCACGATTCCCCTCCCCCTCCCCCTCCCCCACACACCACAACCACAACCACCCCCACCCACCCAGCACCCGCATGCCCTCCCGCAGCCGCAGCTCCTTCTCCCGCACTATGTCGCCCACCACCGCCCGAGTGGGGGCCAGGAAGGCGTACACCTGGGGGGGGGGAGGTGGGCAGGGAGGGAGGGGGGGAGGGGAAGTGAAAAGTGAAGCAACGGAGTCCCAATCCCATAGGACAAGAGCCACCCACCCCACCGCACCGCAAACCCCCCTCACGCCCTCTCGCCTCTCTCCCACCTCAGTAACCATACAACAACATTTACAGCCCGCTGCATAAATCCACAAGCATTACCCCACCCCAACCCCTCCCGGTTCGCTCCTTCCTCTTTACCCCATACACACTATCGCCCTCCCCCCCCATCCCCCCCCCCCCACCAGCAGCAGGTTGAAGAACACCGCCGCACTGGCCGCCCCCAGGTCCTCCGTCACGGAGGGCCAGGGGAAGGGCTTGTACGACACCGCGATGTGGGCGGGTACGGCAGTGTCGGGGTAGGAGGAGGAGGCGGAGGGCGAGGAGGAGCAGGTGCTGGAGTCGATGGTGGTGGTGTTGCTGGTTGCCCCCCCTGTCCCCCCTTCCCCCCCTGCCCCCTCTGCTGCTGCCGCCAGGTGCATTCCGATGACCGCCCGGCTGACTGCGAGCTGCAGGTTGGTGAAGAACCAGTACCTGCACAGCGGCGGCCACACACGCAGAGAGGCATACACACACGCATGGGCTATCTGGTATGTTGGGCGGAGGTACTGAGCGGTCTTAAATGAACCACGAGAGCGGCCGTAAGCGCCGTCGTTAGTAAGTCAGAATACCGCTAGCACAAGCGGGGCCTTCAGAGCGGCCATAGTAAAGCGCTTTTCCGGCCCGTTTCTGCCCTCTCTCCCATTTCTCCCCTCCCTACCCCCTCCCCCCCACCTCCTGTACAGCGCCAGTCCGTTCCCCCGCGTGGGCACCACCTCGAACAGGTCCAGCAGCTGCCGGGTGGGGGGCACGTCGCTGTGGTTGAGAGACAGCACGCTGGCGCCCAGCAGCTGGGGCAACGACCCGGCTGCTGCTGCTGCCGCTGTCCCTGCCCCCGCCTCCCCCTCCCCCTCCTCCGCATGTGGGAAGTGCAGAATGGCGTCCACGGTGTCGGGGTGGGCGGTGACGTAGCGGCGGGCAGCCTGGGGGGCGGGGGGAGGGGGGGGGAGAGGGGGGAGGCTGGTGGGGAGGCGGTGAGGGAGGCGGGTGGGTGGGTCGCAGAGAGGAGAGAGGAGGAGAAGGAATGGGACGAGCGAGGTTGGGACGAGTCAGAGGGAGAGTGATCAGGCGGGAGGAATGGGTGAGCGGCAGCTGGTAGGGCAGGCTGGAGTATGGGGGTGCAGGAAGCAGGCAAGGAGGGCAGGCAGAAGGAGAGGGGCCGGGTCTGTGCCGTTGGGGCGGTCAACGCCTGCAGTTGGGGGAGTTGGGGAATCTGGCTCAACCCCATCCCAACCCCCAATCCTTCCTCCCGCCATGCCTCCCCACCCACACCCCACCCACACCCCACCCCACCCCACCCCACCCCCCACCTCCCACCTCCCAGCTCCCCGCGAACTCCATCTGCCCCGCCAGCACGTGCTCGTAGCAGGCGGGGCTGGACACGCAGGTGGTGAAGTCGGAGCAGGGGTCGGCGGACAACGGCGGCAGCGGCAGCGGGGCACCAGCATTGCCGGCAGCAGCAGCAGCAGCAGCAGCACCGGATTCAGACACCTGCTGTGCAGAGACACCCTCCCCTGCTCCACCGCTTACAGCTGCTGCCGTTCCTGCTGCCCCTGCTGTTGCTGCCCCCTCAACAACCCGACCATCTCGCCCCCGCGGAGCTCCTGCACCCGCACGCGCAGCCCCACCCAGCCACCAGCGCCACCACCGCTGCCGCAGCAGCAACTGCTGCTGCTGCCGCACGACCTCGTTTCCTTCCCCTTCCCTTTGTCCACCGCCGCTGCTGCCTTCTCCTCCGCCGCCCCCTCCCTTGCCTCCTGCAACCCCGCTGTCGTCGTAAACGACCCGTGGGTCTCCAGCCCCCAGCTCCCAGTACTCGATATCCGCTCCCAACACTGCGGCGCTGTCCCCAGCCACTGCTGCTGCCTTACCAGCTGCCTTCACTGCAGCCGCTGCCGCCTCCAATGCTGCTGTCGCTGCTGCAGAGTGCCCCACGTCTCCACCCTCACCCTCACCATCACCATCATCAAACCCACCATGCCACGTGTCCTCACCCTCACCACCATGCCGCATCCCACCACGCATGTCTTCCCCAGCACCACGCTGCCGCGGCCCCAGCGGGGGCATGAACAGGCAGTGGAAGTTGGTGGGCAGGTTGGGCAGCGGGCACACGCGCAGGGCGGGCGAGCGGGGGCAGGCCAGGCCGCGCGCCAGCACTCGTGACAGGGATTGTACGGCGGGGGAGGAGGCGGGGGAGAGCAGCAGGCGGGCGCGACCGCCGTGGGAGGGGAGAGTGGCGGGGCCTGCGGGGGCAGGGGGGCGGGGGACGGGGTCCAGGGAGGAGAGTGCGAGGGGTAGGGAGAGGTTAAAGGAGGGACCTGGGACGACTTGGGACTTGGTACTAGGTGGCGCTGGTTTGTCAATTGTCATGGACCAGTAATTGCGAACTGCAACGTAAAGCTCATCCCAGGGTGAAACCCTAGCGCTGTCCTGACGTACCATCGTAGGGATCAGACCACGACCTGGATTCCAGTTGCACGGGAGCGGGTCCCAGGGCTTCGGTGTGCCGTATGGGCTTTATGTAGTACTTGGGGAGATACATGACGAAGAAAAAAGCCACCGGCAGCAGCAACTGTAGGGAGCGATGGATAAGTTGGACAGGGGCATGAGAGGATACAAGGCAGCGCATGCCTCGCCAATTTGCAGGATGGGGGAATGGTTGTCTGATTTCAATGGGGAAAGCATGGTGATGGGTGAAGGCAAGACGCCTGTGTAGCGTCCGGCCGCGGGGCAATGAGGTGTTGCGGCTTGCATCCAGAAGTTGTCCCTGCCATAACAAATAGCTGACCGCGAGCATTCGGGTTACGTTATGATGAAGACAACCTGTAATTGCGTGCCGCGCCTGGGGAGGTCGCCTTATCCGGCAACTCATCCGGCAAATGTCCAACTTCCAGGTCCTCCAGATCATGAACTGTTTGAACGCACCTGAATTAGAAGGCCGGCCCATCCTCCAATTCCTAGAAAGCTTCTCCTCCCGCGAGTCTGCAAGATGAAATTCTTGCGCAGAACTGCAAGGAACTGCCGCGTCCTGTTGAGGCGCCGAGGGGGCGCCATCATAGATGCCACGTTCTAAGGCTGCATTGTAGGTACATCCAGTGCTTCGGCGACCGTGCTGAGAAAACCCTTCTTCAACAGATGTACGAATCGCCGGTTGACGACGGTGGTCAGCTTTTTACAGTGCCTCATGGGCGAAATTGATTATTATTTGTAACTGAAGAGCTTTGTATTTATCCTTAGCAATGACAGTACCTTTACTATCCCCGCCATAGCGCCATAGATAAGCCATGCATTACAGCAGCAGCACTTGGCACTGTATGGGGCCCTGAAGTCTGCAACCGACTTTGACTGTCAAAAACCGAACAGACTGCTCTGGATTGACTTCCTGCTGTTAAAAACTGAAGCATCCATCCACCATCCATCGCCATGCGCGACACAGCGCTTACTTGTATGTGCAAAAAAGCAAAGCGCAACCGGCTACAGATAGTATAAGGAAACCATTGACAGGTAGCTAAACACTTGGACAATGTTCCTTGTACCGGTACATAATACAACCCGAGTGGATAAGGCTAGGCATACATCGAACGGGATAGGGCTACAGCTACCGGTACACACCAAGGGATGTCAGGGAATAGATCTTCTGGGGAAGCTCCCTGCCACCTCTGTCGACCGGCCCCAGCAAAGGTCAACAGAAAGTCCGAAGCGTGGAGGGCAATCTTTGGGCTGACGGCGGGTGGCTGTTTGCTCCTTATCTGTAAAGCTCTTCAACGGTAGCGTGTCTTCAATATGTATTGTCCGAAATGTATAGGCGCCAAAGCTTGTGATACATGACGTTCCCTTCTTGTCCCCCGTACAGACGTGACTGCCGCGAATACGGGCAAACGAAGTGACGGTTGCACCGTTGAGGCGTTCCACGGCGTTTGGTTTCCCTCACAGCGACTGTTGGACATCCAGCTTCTCGCCACTTTTTTGGGCGGAGCCCCCGCCGCGAAGCGGCTTGCCAGAGAGTAGCCACACCCCACATTCAAACACCTCATGACATGGGCTCCCCTTAGCTAGTGTGCATCTTAAACCATGTGAGGCATTCCTTCCTAATGCTTGGAAAGAGGGGGTGAAATGAGCACGACAGGCAACTAGGCAGAGCGTGGATGCACCCTGGTGAGGACAGACCAGCTGATGACAATTGTTCTCCCTGGACAAGGTATTCTCACAGAATACCTTCCAACAACCTGCCCGTGTTGTGCTGCAATGGTGCACGTGTTCTACATAGGATTAACTCTGTAAATTCCACGCTTGGGTTCAGGTAGGGACGCCTTATCTTATCTGGCCCTTTACTTAGGATAATGTACGAACGAGGAGCCCATGCAACTTCTAGGATTTCCTCATTGAATGTCCCGCTTACGATGATTTGCGAGAAAAGATATGGGAAAGTGGTGTCTCACGAGATGCTGATATGATGTCTATCATGGGCATGGAGGACCAGGCATTGCTTCCTAGCGTGATCACTAGCATGAGAAGTCGTAGGATTGCGCAGACAGGGTACATCATCTGAGCTGCGTACTACGTTTTTGGGCGGAGCCCCCGGAGTCCTGTGTGCGCGTCAAACTATGCTCTGGTCGCCCACCACATCTTCGACACATCGTGCCAACAACAAGCGGCGCTTAAAGTAGCAATATCGCATAACAGTTCTTATGTCCTTAACAAGTCACTTTGAATAACCATATTGGTTGCCGTTGCTGTATGCCCTGCACTTGGTTGAATGCCTGATGACAACTATTGCTAGCAAGGACACACGTTTGCACACTGCCTAACAGCAGTAAGCAGTATGGTCCTACCTGTCATTCTTGACATCGTCATGTTACAAGCTTTGCTAACGCTGCCCAACACATGTCCCGATGCCGACATTCCATGCGGACGCAACCAAGCTGCGTAAGCCATCAGGATGGCTGTGAGAATGCCGACTCCAATGCCTAGACTGACAACCTTGGCCGCCTTGAACGCCACACAACGTGCAAGGCCAATACGCCTTGCCCGCCCCTCCGAACCTGCACCAGCAATCAGGACTTCTTACACACCTTCAGACCGAACAGTCCACGTCACCAACACCTTACCTCCCGGGTAATCATCATAGTACCGGACCGTTGCTTTGCGCCTTCCACCGCTACTAGAAGCAGCCATGGCGCCCTAACAGGACCTCCGAAAACGTACGCTTCAGTTGTATTAAGATTCAGCAGCCCAAAACAACCGTAACACATGCAACAACGCTGCTCCATGGCACCTTACGAACCCCCGACCCGGCTCCGAAAACAGGCGGACACACGGACAGACGGACACACCCCACCAACCACCAAGTACAACCGCCCCCAAAACGCACACGGACACACGGACATTCTTCATCGCCCAGCGGATTGCCCCTGTCCGTGTGTCCGTGTGTCCGTGTGTCCGTGTGTCCGTGTGTCCGTCCGTAACGGCAAAACATACAATCTAGACAAAACTATTTATTGCACCTAATAGATATTTGTTATCTGTATTCAGTAAAAATAACTGGAAGCCAAACAAACTTAATTTCGCAACAAACGATTTATTGACCAGCCATTGAACAAGGACCACCTCGGCAACAGCGATTAGCGCTCCTCTATGGTTTGTCCTGGTACCGTAAACAGTATTTAGTGAATTGGTAACAGCGGCGTGTCGCCAAAGGGCTACCTGTGAAAGTCGGCGGGAGCATGCTCGCATCTACTGTGCTACTCAGAGCCCACACAATCCTTTGGGACGATGTTGCAAGCCTTTGCTATGGGTTTATGCGTATGAACTGTAACGCAAACGGGTACGGGATACCTCGCTTATAAGCTAACATGTCATGTGACGGCGCAATGGCTGAAGTCCTTCTGAGCACGATGCCGAAATTGAGGAGCCTGACCTCCTCATCATGTTAATAATGTAGGTGAAACTCTGCGGGACCCTGAAAGCACTTCCATGTGGCAGATACGCCGTCGATTTGGGTTCTGTAGCCTAAGGCGTGGGTGTTATCAAGCATGATAAGACGTTACTAAGTACTCGATTGAACAGGCGTAACCTAACAATGTGTGCAATGAGTGAGGACACTATGTACGCCGTGGGTGAACAAGGCGGCCGGCCTCGGCTGGACAAGGGGCTCTGAGCCCGTCTAGCCATGCAACGAGCACTAAAACTACAGTAAACAAGGGGATTCAGCGTCCGTATAACGAGGTGTGTTAGGTCAACTGGTGCCGTGGAGTCACAGGAGCGCATTCCAGGTCTATAAGGCCCATAGGGTTGTGCGTCGCACTTGAGTCGTTCCACTCCCCTGTAATAATCGCAATCATTCCAGTGGTGATAATACGTTCCTGTACTAAAGAGGAGGGGCTCCGCCCTTTTCCAGCTTTGAGGAAGCTGAAACCCCCTTGTCATGGCTGCGACTAGCTCTCTTGACATTGCGCCTAATCAGCAAAGCACGACCCTCGCTGAGCTCCGTCTCGTGACTGATTCCGCAGGCCGCGTTAGAGCGCGGCATGCCATCAGCTATACGTTGGATGCAAGGCAGGGACTAGTGGAAGCAGCGACACCACTGGCCCTTGCCAGCCATGGCTTTGGCTGTCCACTACCGGTAACGGTAATGGTCCTTGCCAAGCTGGTACAGGACGACTGGGGGATAGCAAGTCTACAGGTGGTTCGGCACCTGCCAGTGCAATTAGCAAGTGCAATTGACAAGTGCGACAAGGAAAGTCCTCGGGTTCGCTCTACTACCTGCACGGCTCACAACTGGACTGTGCACCTGTACAAGCATGTACGACGGTCGGTTAGTTGCCGCCTTGCCGCGTCCATACGTGGCACCAATAGCTGTGGGCTCTGCAGATTCACTCCAACGGCTCAATCCTTCCTTAGCATGGAGACCACCGTGTGATTAGCTGATCAGAGTTAACGGAATGGAAAGCCCTGAGGAGGAACCAGAGCCCCAACTCAAGTATGAGTTGCTGGGCGGAGATGTGCGTGATATCCTAAACAAAGAGCGCATAACATGTATGAGCTTGTCGGAAAAGATTGTGGCGCTTGGGACGGAGCAGGGTCGCATTCATGTGCTCGACTACTCGGGCAACCAAGTAAGTATAGCGGGTTAGATACTCAAGCAGATGTGTTTTTGTGTGATATTTTCTACTAAACAGATGACGCAAGGATTGTGGATAGGCCTTTTACAACAGGTCATGCTTCGTGCACGCATAGCATTTTACCTGATCGTTCATCCCACAGGTTCGTCTCTTGAACGTGCACAAGGGACGCGTAAACGATATTTCTTTTGACAAGGAGGCCGAACATCTAGCAAGCGCGTCTAACGATGGCAGCGTCGTGGTGCGTTTCTCGATCTGTGCTGGATGCACTTGTATCTGGATGAGATCTGCGATAACTTCGTACAAGTCAAAAGCTAAGGACACCTAGCTGTCGGGCCACTTCAAACCCCACAACCAACGAGTCATAAAACCCTAGCGGCTAAGGCGTAGCCCCCCTCTAGCCTCTCCGTGAAACGCTGCGCTCCTTCCTCCCTTTTCCTCACCCTGACTTGTTCCCTTCCGTCCAGGTCGCCAACCTGTACACTGACCAGGTCACGCGACACGAGCTACGAGGTCCTGTGAAGGTGGGGATGGAGCGTGCGTCTTGAACCTCCACACCTGCAGGGCTGAAAGAGCACATGAAAAGCCCATTACCGCACGAACTTCCTGCGCACCTCGCCCTGCCGCACTCAGTTTGACAGCTCCACATTTCCGAACCCGGCAATTGCTGCCTGGCTCCGAGCCCCGCTGCCTCCTCCTCCCCTGCTGCTGCCCGCCCCTAACTCCTGTCCCCCCCCCACCCCTCACCCTCAGGCTGTTGCCATCGACCCCCGCCCCGCGCCCTCCTCCCGCCGCTCCTGGCGCGACTTCGTGACGGGCAGCGCTGCGGGGGAGGTGGCGCTGCACACGCAGGTGGGGGGGGGCGGTGGCACGTTGCTGGCGGTTAGTGAGTGCTGCTACGTTTCCGGGCCTACCACTACCACTACCACTACTAGTACTAGTACTACTGGTTTGTTTGTTATCGCTATGGTTAAGCCCTGTCTTGCGCTTAGGCAAGGGAGGGCAGCAGCACCTCACCCTCCCCGCTGGCTACTAGCCCACTTCACTCCGCATACCCCTCTGGCCCCCTCCCTCCCTCCCTCCCTCACGGTCAGTTAGATGTTTCCTCTTTATCCCTCCCTCCCTGCCTGCCTGTCAGGGCTGGCTGGGTCGCAGCGAGCAGGCTCTGGCGGTGGCTCCCTCCCGCGAGGTGGCGGCGGGCGGCGGAGTGCTGGCGCTCAGGTGGAGCGGACCGCTGGTGGCGTGGGCCTTCGAGAGCTGCGTGGCGGTGCGGGGGGCGGGGGGGGGGCGGGGGGCGGGGGGGGTGCGGGGGGCGGGGGGAAGGCGGGGACCAGCTCGCAACACAGCATCCGCGCGGGGCTGCAGTGATGGTCCCCCATGCACGCATGTAGTACTCCAACGCAAGCAGTCCACACACTGCAGGCTGCTACCACGACACGGTTCCAACACCACCCCCATTCCGACGTATGCTCCCCCGTCCCCCCCTCCCCCCTCAGGTGTACGACACCACCAGCCACCAGCTCATCCGCACCCTGCGTCGCCGGGACCCCCGAGCAGAGGCCGCCGCAGCTGCTGCTGGCACCTCCACCCCCTCCAGCTCCGCCCCCTCAGCAGCCAGCTCACCAGCTAAACCCACCACACACTCGCCAGCCAAGGCGGCTGGCGCAGCAGCAGCAGCAGCAGCAGCAGCAGCGGGTGTGCGGGGACCTGCGGCGGGAGGAGCGGGCAAAGCGGCACGCAGCAGCGGCGACACCCCCCCAGGCGGCCCTAGTAGCGGGGGCGGTGTGGGCAGTCTGAAGCGCTGCTCGCTGCTGTTCGCACCCGACTCGCACCTGTACGTGGCGTGGAGCGATACCATACTGGTGCGGGAGGGAGGGAGGGAAGGGGGGTGGGGGGAGGGGGTGGAGACTAGGGTTGTGTGGCAGCATGGGTGGGATGCAGGGCTTCAGCACCTCCCTCCGTGCGGAATTGCTGCTGCTGCTGCTCACCGGCCGCCTGCCCCCCCTCCCGACATCCCTCTCCTCCTTGCCCTTGCCCCCCCCTGCTGTCCCCCCCTGTCCCCCCACCTGCTGCCCCCCCCCGCCAGGTTGCCCGCATCCACATCCCCGAGTCCCCCGGCGGCTGGCAGACCCCCCCTCAGGTGGAGCTGCTGGCGCGCATGAGCAGCGGCTGCGGGGAGGCAGTGCTGGTGGGGGGGGAGGGGGAAGGGGGGGGGGGAGGGGCGGGGGCGAGTGGGAGGGGGAGGGTGGGGTAAAGTAATAGATGTTTGGGGATTGAGGTTGGAGTTGGGTGGGGGAAAGTGGGCTGCGGGGTGTGCTTGTAGTAGTGTGCCCATGCTCTGCACTGAGGCCCAGGGAGGGCAGTGCTGGCGGGCGAGAGGGGGGTTGTTGGGGGGATTGGGAGCTAGACATTCCCTGGAAGCGCAAGCGCAGTGCCGGGCACCAAGTTCCCGCCACCATGTGTTCTATGTCCATGTCGCATCGCCTCCCCCCACCCCCACCCCCCCTCCCTGCTACCCCGCTCCCATGCTACTCCCGCGCCTTCCCCCACCCTCCCCAGGGCGTGTCCCCCTACGGCGAGGACGACCTGGCCGTGCTGGTCTACCCCAGCGGGGCGCCACAACCGGCAGCCCTACCGCACCAACAGCAGCACCAACAGCAGCAGCAGCCCCAGCCAGCGCAACCGCAGGGACAGCAGCGACAGGAAGAGCGGCAGCAGGAAGGGGAACAGCAGCAGCCGCAAAAGGATGGGGTGGCCCCCGCGGCTGAGGGCACTACACGGGCAGCAGATGGGGCAGGCGCCCCGACCCAGGAACCCCCATCATCATTATCAACGTCACCAGCAGCAGCAGCAGCAGCAGCGGAGCCTGCAGCGGAGACAGGGAGGGAGGCGGCAGGAGCGGCGACAACAACAGCAGCATCAAAGCCGGGAGCGGAGGCGGCCCATGAGGGGGCTGTAGGTAGTGCAGCTGAGGGTGACAGAGGCAGCGGCAGCGGTGGCAGTGGAGGCGACACGGCGGCAGCAGCGGTACAACCCCCGTCTCCTCCGGCGCCTCCCCCGGACCCCCTGGCGCCCGGGCGAACCCCGCAGGTGGGGGTTTGTGTTCCGGTCCCCCTGTGCGGTCACACGCGCACAGCCGCCTAGCTGGACATTGCTCGCATCCTAACTCCACCCCACCCCCCGCACACAGCACCCTCCTTGTCACGTACCCCACTCTCTACCTCCACCACCCCACCCCTTCCATGCACTCACAACCACCAAATTCTCGCCCCACCCCTCACCCCCCTCCCGGCCCCCTCCTGCCCGCCTCCTGCCCACCCCTCCCGCCCCCGCCCAGCTGGTCATTCTCAGCCGCTCCGACCACCGCGAGTGGGCCCGCGACTCCGTGCCGCTGCCCGCCGCCCCCTCCCTCGGCCCCGCCGACTTCCTGGGCCTCATCCCCTCCCTGCCGCACCACCTGCACCCGCAACACACAGCCACACACAGCACCACCACCACCACCACCACCACGCCAGCAGTATCAACGTCAGCTGCTGGTGGTACTGCTGCAGCCGCTAGGGCGACTCGGACCGGTCCTGCAACCGCCGCTGCTGGTGGTGCTGGTGGAGGCGGGAGCAGCAGCAGCGCCGCGTCAAGCCGCGATGCCACCCCCAGGGCTAGCGCCGGGGGCGGCGCCGGCAGCTTCGGAGCGCTGGTTGGCTCCTCCTTCTCCGGTACCGCCACCACCGCCTCCACCACCTCCGCTGCTGCAACCGCTGCTGCAACCAGCGGCCAGGGCAGCACCCCCGCCCCCGCCCCCACCACCTCTTCCGCCCCCCGCCGCCTGGTGCCGGTGTGGGTGGACGGGCAGGAGCTGATGTTCTTCATAGCGGCGCCCTCGGTAAGGGTGGGGGGTGGGTGCGGGTGGGGGTTGGGGGGTGGCAGCGGTGTTCGTTCCTGCTTACCACGGCCCCCATTGCCCGGCCGCCGAGTCGTCTTCCATCGCACATCTGATTCGGTACCCTCAACTGTGCACATGCCCAGCTGCGTACATCCCCTGCCCTCGCGCTCGCAAACACCCTCACCTGCCCCCTGCTGTCCTGCTGCCCCCCTCAGGCCATCGCCACCGCCCGCTCGCGTGACGCGGCGGAGCGGGTGGGGTGGCTGCTGGCGCGGCGGCGGTGGGAGGAGGCGCTGGCGGCGGTGGAGGCGGCGCCGCCGGGGGGGCTGCCGCCGGGCACGTACGACAGGTGGGGGGGGGCAGTAGGGAGTGTTGCTGTGGGTTGGTGGCTGTTGGTGGTGTGGAGGGTGCATGGGTGCATGGGCTGCATGCATGGTTGGTGTTACAGCTGAGGGCGGGCCGTGTACGACAACTTGACAGGGTTGGGGGTATCGTCCGCGGTAGGGGGCGGCATTCCAAGCCGCGCCGTTACCACCCTGTGCGGTGCCCAGGCAGCACATGCGTGTATGTATGCACGCACCCATGCATGCATACATGCCGCCGTGATGCCGGCATGCGGGCGTGGGGAACCTGTCCCTCCGCCACCAACGATACCGCTGTGTGCCGATGTGCCCCGACAGCACATGCGTGTACCCGTGCACCCTCGCACGCATGCACCCGTGATGCCGTCATGCCGGCGTGAGGAACCTGTCCCTCCACCACTAGCACCACTACCACCACCACCACCACCACCGCCGCCGCACACCTCTCTCATGTGCATGTGTACGTGCGCGTGCAGGGTGGTTGACGGTTACATTGAGGAGCTGCTGACGCGGCAGTCGTACGACCGGGCGGTGGATCTGAGTGAGCGGCTGCTGCGGGGCGACCCGCGGCGCTGGGAGCGCTTCGTGTACTTGTTCGCGCAGGTGGGGCCGTGGGGGGGGGGGCGGGGAGAAGAATACCCCGTGGCGCTATGTGTTGGGGGTGGTGGTCAGGGTTACCGGTATATCAAAACTACAGGTTAGGCGAATGCATTGGGTGGGGCTGGGGGGTTTGAAGCTGGTTCGTTGCCTCCACTCCTTCTTCCTTCCCTCTTCCTCCTCCTCCTCCCGCTCCCCTCCCACCTGCAGGTACGGCAGCTGCCCAAGCTGGTGGAGCGCCTGCCCACCGACAAACCCAGACTCAGGTACTCCGGGCACACGGGAGGTGGGGGGAAGCCGCTCCGCTCAATCTCATCGGCAAATCCCGATGATGAGGGGACTCCAGCACAGGAACCTAGCACACAGCGCCGTCTTGTTCCTACCCGGCCCCTCCCCATGCCTCCCCCCCACCACCCTCCCTCCCCCCTCCCCCCTTCCCCCCCTCAGGCCCCAGCTGTACGACATGGCCCTCCAGTCTCTCCTCGCCTCCCCCGCCGACCACCCCCGCCTGCTGACCCTGGCCACCCGGGTCTGGCCGCCCGGCTGCTTCTCGCTGGCGGCCCTGGCGGATGCGGTGGCGGGCAGGCTGAGGCGCATGACGCTGCAGCAGGGGGGGCAGGGGCAGGGGGGGCCACAGGGGGCCCAGGGGCAGGGCCAGCAAGTGCAAGGAGGACAGCCAGGAGGCCAGCAGGGGCAGCAGCAGGGGGCGTCCAGCAGCGGTGGCGGGGGCGGTGGGGGTGCGGGTGCGGAGGGCGGGGGTGATGCGCTGTGGCAGCTGCTGGCGTGGCTGTACGAGCAGCAGGTGGGGGGAGGGGGGAGGAGGGGAGGGGAGGGGTGCGGGGAGGGGGTAAAGGGGGTGCGGGGAGGGAGTGGGAGAGTCGGGGAGGAGACCTTGGCGGAGAGGTGGGCGGGTGCAAGGGCGCACACCTGGGGGGACGAGGGCGACATTCCAGGGCGTTCCCCCCCCCCATGCTATCCTGGCCCCGAGTAACCCTATGCGCTTTACCCCTGATCCACTCCCCTGCCACCCTGCTCCACACCCCGCCCCCGTATCCAGTTTGTCAGTGTTTCTTTACTTTTACCCCCCCCCCCCGCCCCCAGGGCCGCCCCGACCTGGCTCTGTCCATCCACCTGCGGCTGCGCTCGCCCGGGGTGTTTGCTTTCGTGACCAGCCACGGACTGCAGGTGGGATGGGTGGGGAGGGGGGAGCTGAGGCAGCCGCGGTTAGGGGGCGTTCGTTACGGCTTCATCGACAGATCCTCTTCCTGCGTCCGTCATTTCTCCCTCTTCCTCCCTAACCACCCAACACGCACCCCCTACTTCCATACCCCCCCCGCTCCCCCTCCCCCCCCCCCCCCCAGTCCCACCTGCTGGGTCGCGCTGCCGAGCTGCTGCAGGTTGACGAGCGGGCCGCTCTGGCGCTGCTCACGGCACATGCGGACAGCCTGCCGCCGGGGAATGTGGTGCCGTGCATACAGGTGGGGGCGGGTGGGGGAGGGAGGGTTTTTTAGGGATATGTATTCCTTGCATTAGGCTGGGGAGGGAGGAGAGGGGAGTGGGGAGAGGGGAGCGGGGGGAACAAGAGGGTACGGATGCGGGGACTGCGGGAGGAGTGTGGGCAGATTGGGAGGTGGGTGGGTATGTGCGGCCATGCCATGCCATGTCGGCTACCGCGACAAGCTCGGGACCACGGTGCCGGTCCGGGTTTTCATGCCCCCACCCTCCTCCCTCTCCATACAGTCAGTAGGTGTTTCCCTATCTTTACCTCCCCCTCCCAACCCCCCTCCAGGAAGCGCTGCGGTGCGCCCCCAGCCCCGCCGCTGCGGAGGTGTGGCGGCGGCGGCTGCTGGCGTACCTGTCGGGGCTGTTCGCGGTGGACAGCGCGGTGGGGGCGGACTACCATGACCTGCAGGTGGGTTGCATGGTCGGCAGGGAGGGCACGGGCGGGGTGCCTGGCGTGGTAGGGGGGGCGAGTAGGGTGCGGTGCGACAATGGTGGCTTGCAGCTCCCAGCCCTGCCAAGGGGCTATCCCCATCCCGATACGCTTTCGCACCTGTCTCGCCCGCCTCCTACGCACCTCCGCCACCGCTACCCACCCACCCACCTCACCCTTCCCATCCTCCTCCCCTTCTCCCCCAGGTATCCCTGCCGCCTCCTGCCCTCATTCTTTTCCCTAACTTCCCCGGTTTCCTCTCCCATCATGGTTTGGCCGCACCACGCCCCCCTCCCCCCCCAGGTCGCCCTGACTGCCGAGTACGAGCCCTCCAAGCTGATGGACCTGCTGGTGTCCTCGCAGTTCTACTCGCTGGAGGTGGGGGGGGGGAGGGGGAGAGAGGGAAAGGGAGGGAAAGTAATGAAGCAACGGAGTCCAATCGATTGGGGGAGGGAGGGGGAGGAGGTCAGTAGGCATCACAAGGGAAGGTGCAAGCTTCCCACCATATAGCCCTACCCGCCCTCCTTCATTCAGCTGTCCACACTGCCCCTTCCACCACCCCCTCCCTGCCCCCCTCCGCCCCCCCCCCCCTCCCCCCCTTCCCCCCCCCACCTCCTCCCCCTCCAGTCCGCGCTCTCCATCTGCGAGTCGCGCGGCCTGGTATCGGAGCAGGTGTTCGTGCTGGGCCGCATGGGCAACGCGGACCAGGCGCTGAGGCTCATCATCGACCGGCTGGGGGACATACCCAGGGTGGGGGTGGGGGTGGGGGGGATGTGGTAGGTGGGGATGTGGGGATGGGGGGTACGGGTACTGCCGAAGGGGCGCGAGAGACTCACGAGTGGGCTGGCTGATGTCCAGTGGTAATATCGGTTTCTGTCTCCTCCGTTCCGCACGCACCTCTTCAATGGGATGGGGGGTCGCCTGCACGCCGACCCCCCACCCCATTACCCCACTACTCCGCAACCCCTTCCTTGCGACACACGGGGCCATCAGCGCTTCCCATTTGCGCTTTGCTGAGGCCTCTCCCCACATCCCCACTCCGCACCCCCCACTCCGCATCTCTCACGTGGCCCTTCATTTCCGCACCCTCGCACCCCACCTCTTCCCCCCCCGCCAGGCCATCGACTTCGTGGTCCGCCAGCGCGACGAGGAGCTATGGGGCCGCCTGATCGACTGGGCGCTGGGCGGCTCCGAGACCACTGGGGCGCTGCTGGACTGCATCGGGGGCTACGTGGACCCGCTGCTGCTGGTGCGGCGCATACCGCGGGGCATGCGGGTGGAGCGGCTGAGGGACAGGCTGAGGGCCATCATTGCTGACTACAGGTGCAGGGCGGGGGGGGGAGGAGGGGCGGGAGGGGGCCAAAGAGGATGGTATGGGTTGCAACTGACCATGGGCTGCAACATGGCTGGAGACCCAGATGCAGGTGGGGCGCATGGGCTGCGTGTGTAGCATCCGTACGGTAATCGCTGCTTTGGCTTCTGGTAAGAAGTTTCACGTTTCCGTTTTCCAACCACTCTCCCACACCCTGCATATCTCCATTCCTCTCACTCCTCTCCCCTCTCACCCCCCTCCCCTCTCACCCCTCCCACCAGGACGCAGACCTCCCTGCGTGAGGGCTGCAACGCAATCCTGCGCTCCGACTGCCGCCACCTCATGGCGCGACTGTACGACGGAACCAAGAAGGCCCTGCCGTACGTGTTCGTACACAGGCCGGGACCGGGCGGAGAGCCGGGGCAGTGGTTCAGGTGGGGGCGGGGCTATAGTGTATGGCATGCGGGCAGGAGTGTCCTGTGGATTAAGACCGGAACAAGGTCTTCCCCTGCTTCCCTCTTCCTCCCGCCAAGCTGGCCATGCTCCCCCCTCTTCCCCTGCTTGCCTTCTTAGGTGTGATGCGGTGCACGGCGGGCGGCTCACCCCGGTCAGCACAGTCGAGGTGCCCTGGGAGGCGCAAGATGCCGCCCAGCTGACCCATGGGTCGGGACACGGCCACGGAGCCCTACCTTCCTCTGCATCCATGCCGATGCCGCCCTCCTCCTCCTCCTCAGCAGCAGCAGCAGCCGGGGCTCGTTTGGGAAGTCGTAGCGCTGGGAGCGGCGCAGGGGGTGTGGCGGGGGTCGGGAGCTCGGCAGGTAAGCTGGTTGCAGGGGCGGGAAGAGGTGCAGGGGGTGTTGGCGGAGGACTGGCACGGACGACCCATGGGTCTTCGGCGGCTGCTTCGGACCGGGGTTTCGGAGGTGCAGGCTTGCGGGGGGCATCCGCGGCCACAGAGGCTGTGATGGAGGGTCTCCCTTGGTGGGCGTTGGAGGGAGAGGCGGCGGATGCCGGAGGTGGTGGTGCCGCCGGCGGAGGGGGAGGTTTCGGAGCTGTGGGCAGCAGCAGCGGTGGCGGCAGCGGCGGAGCGGGGCTGTGGGTGGGGTTCAACCTGGCGGCCGGGAGGGCCCGACTGGGCCATGAGGTGAGCAGGGGCTGCTGTAGATGGGGGCCGGGGCAAGGTAGAGGTGCCACGTGTTAGCGGCAAGCCAGATCCACTTGCTGCGTATGGAGCACTGGGTGGCTGGTGTGTGCAGCTTTGGCAAGGTGCCTGCCGGTATCTCCGCTACCGTTTATCGGCAAGTTTTACCACCTCTTACGCGCGCCGGTGTGGTTCATGTCAACATGCATGCATGCTGTGCCTCAGGACATCGCGGGTGGGCCGGGCACTGGCCGCCGGGCAGCAGCAGCAGCAGCCGGAGCAGCAGCAGCCGCACCAACGGGAGGGGGCACGGCGGCACTGCGGCAGGGGGCAGCAGCCGCTGGTGTGGGAGGGGCGGCTAATGTGTGGGATGGGTACGGCAAGGGTGGCGTGGGTGTGGGCAGCAGGGGGCAGCAGGGAGGGGGCGCGGCGCTGGGGTCGCTGTGGCAGCACGTGACGGCACGCGTGTAGGTGGGGCTAGCGGGTGGTCAGGAGTGGTGTAGGTGGGGGCGTGGTAGTGTAGCAGGGGCGGCGGGCACAGGGAGTGTGGGAGCGCTAGGGGGAGTGGGGAAGCCCGGTCCAAACACGAGTACGGAGAGGGCAAGGACAATGGGACATGGGACGCTTGTAGGAACGTTGGACCGTTGCGGCTGCATCATGTTGTTGGTATGGTCCTGTCTAGTCGTAGCAGTTTTCCGGACGTATGGGTGCGCTTTTGTGTGAGGAGAAATGCAGGATGATGAGGCTACAAGGAGTGGTTGCGCTGGGCTAGACCTCTGCAGCGAAGCCAGGTGCGCTTCCTAGGGATGATGTTAGGTGGGTGCGGATGTCGCGCTGGCGGCCAACGAGCACCCATTGTATTACTTTATACTCGGAGCCCAGAAGGTTGAGGCTGTCACCATGTGGTCCTTGAGCCTTTTCCTGGCGGGCTTAAAGGAGTCGGACCCAGGGCAACAAAGGTTGGACTTGCCAGTTAGGGACACAGCTCTATGTCAGCCCGAAAGGGCATGGGTGAGGTATGAATCAGAGTTGCTTGACTTCTCATATTCCCTTATACGTATCCGACAGAGGCGTATTCGACTGGAGAACTTGAAATTCGCGCGCACAGAAGGCCTCCGCTTGCTGCATAGGCGGCTGTCCATGGACAAAGCAAATTTGTAGAAATCTATGGCGCTGAGGCCCTGGAGTAGTTACGGGCAGCTTGGGAAGCTCGTCCAGAAGCTGGCTTGTCGTAACCGAGGCTGAATGCTGTACTGTACTGGGTTTGTGCACGCACTTTGTAATTGCAAACAACTCCTTTTACTGGAACTCCCTTACTGCCACTGCAATCCGCCTGCCTCTGTCTGCTGAACCACGGCCAGCTATCCCAAGGGTTCCCAACCCTATCGGATACGTGGGCATGGCACGTAATCGTGCTAATATTTAGCGTACTTATCCTTATGCATATGCTTTTCTACGTTGTTGCAGATAAGGAACAGCCCTTTGCACAGCGCGTTGTCATGTAGGAACGTTTGGGGGCTAGTCATTTGCTTCCTGATATGGCGCATCAAGCCGGAATCCCTGAGCTACATGGCTACCGCGGAGTTTACTTCAACCGCAAATCACGACGCTGGCAAGCGGGCATCGCGGCACACGGAAGGCACGTAACTAGGACAACGGGCACTCCCAGTGGAAAGAGTTGGCTTCTTGTAACCTGCCTACCTCGTCCTTACGCGTGTTACATGTATGCCGAGCTATGAGTTGTTGTTGTATGGACGGTCAGCATGGGCTTAGGCTGGATTCGGGTAGTAGCCGGAAGTGACTTCAAAAGTAAGCACATATCCCAGTCGGTTTGCATCTGATAAACTCATGGCATTTGGCATGCTTGGCAGACCCTGTGTGCGGTTCCCACCAACCCTGTAGGTCCATTAGTTTGGGCGCATACGAGGCAGAAGAGGAAGCTGCACGGGTTTATGACAGGGCAGCAATACGGATCCGCGGTCACAAGGCTGCTATCAACTTCCCGCTGTCCGACTACCTGCTGCCAAGCGGTTCGTTAATTCTGGACCTTCAGGTGCCCGTTCGGGTGCCCGTGCGTGCGGGCGGGAGCAGGCCGTAGGGTTTGTCAATGGCGTTGTTCCACCCATTCCCATAGGGACTGTAACTGCTTTGTGTTTCCTGCTCGTTTGTCGTCTCGTATCTTCTTGTGCATTTCTGCCATCCTGTGCCTAACATGGACCGACGCCCAAACATGTGCCATAACAGTTCGTTTCCGCCGCGCTCCCATGTGTTGCAAACAGGTGGAGGCGCTATTGCTCGACGCATTTCTGGCGCTTGGCAGCCAGGATGGCAACGTTGCCAGCGGCAGGGGCAGCGCAGGCGGCGCACCTGGAGCTGCAGCGCTGGCGGGCCCTCAGGACACACCGGTGCGTGGCCCCCACACAGGAAGATTCCCGGGCGTGCCGTGTACCCATGTCCAATTCGCCTGATCTAGCCGGTTCTCCTACGTGCATCAGGCTCCTTTGGGATGGAGTTACCACTCGGACTCATCTCTCCGGCGTTCCCTCACGCCGTAAAGTTTCGTCGCACCATATCCTGGTTGCTGACCCGTTGCCTACTGCCGTACCCCCACCGCATAACCCGGTTGGCCCTTGCCTTCCCTGCCGTCCTGCTCTTGCAGGCAGCTATCGCGGCATTTGGGGATTTGGTACGGCAGTGTTTGAGCCGCATTAACCGTGCTGACCCGGGGGACCTCCAAGAGGCTGCTGAGGCCCTGGGGCCGGGCTACGTGCGCCTTATGGCCCTCATCACGGAGGCCGCTGAGCTCTTGGCGGCGGGAGGCGGCGGGAGCTCGACCCAGATCGTGGATCGCAGTGCGGGACACGACGGAGTCGGTGGCCGCAGCAGCGGTGGGGGCGGCAGCGGCAGTGGCGGCGGCGGAGGCTGCAGTGGTAGTGGAGACGCCAGCGCTGCTGGTAGGAGTGGCGCTCAGGCAGGGGCGGCAACAACGGTGGGGGCGGATGGTCGGAGGCGGACGTCGAGCAGCCAGCATGATGGCAGCGGCGGGACCGGCAGCGGGGGGACGGGTAGCGGCGGTGGCGGAGGCAACTGTGTCAACGGTGGCGGCTTCAGCGGTTCTGCCGAGTCTTGCGGTGGGCAGGCCGGGGTCAGGGCGACTGCCGATGCTGCAGCGGCGAAGGGGGAGACGCTGTTGAGTAGCGGCGGTGGCAGCGGCAGTGGCGCCAGTGGGCAGGAGCTGTTAGGGCGGAACGTAGCTAGGTCGCAAGCGCAGCTACAAGCACAGCAAGCGCCAGGTGAGGCTGCGGCGGAGCTTCTGCAGATGCGGAATTCGCGGCCCCGGGATAACGCACGGCGGGAAGCCAACTCGGGTCCAGTGGGCGCTGAGGACGCCGCCGCCAACAGTGGGGTATCGCGTGGGGCCGCTGAGAAGAGGCCCCGGAGCAATACACCGACGCCAGGCAACGAGCGACAGGCGTGTGAGATAGAGGCGGAAGCTGAACCTGCCGCCGCCGCAGCAGCAGCAGCGGCTAACGCCGACGCTGGGGATGCAGGAGCTGTGTTGCCGACCCTGCCCTCCATCCCGCCGATAGCTACGCCGTCCATCCTTCCGCCCAACTTCATGGTGAACATCTGCAGCCTGTTGGTTGCCCACATGCAACAAGCGACGGCACAACAACAGCAGGCGGGCGCTGCGGGAACAGCAGCAGCTGCGGAGGGCGGCATGTCTGCTGTTCCTGTCGTACAGGCGGTACGGCAGTTGCAGGCGTACGGCTTCCAACTGCCTTTACTGCTGCAGTGCGCTTCCCATTTGGCCACGGTGGGTCTGGTACCCGCTGAGCACCGTCCAGCGCTGCAGGCATTGGTGCGGTCGTGCGCGCCCCCGCAGGTGGGCGGTGACCAGGGCTCTCGGGAAAACGCAGCGCAGGTCGCAGGCGTGTCTGGGCGGGGTCCGCAGGAGCACCCTAGCGATGGCAGCGGTGCCGGCAGTGCTGACGACCAACCGCATGATCAGGCGAGGAAGCGGGGCTCATCTTCTGAACTGGCTGCTCCGACCCACATCGAGGCTGGCAGCAGAGATGGCGGCGGCGTTAAGCGGAAGGAGGCCGACGGGGCTGCGATGCCCGTGGGCGGTCGCGGCGCTTCGGGTGGCGGCAGGAGGGATGGCACTGCTGCTGGCGGCTGCGGCACCGCCGGGGGCGATGACAGGGGTGCGGAGGGCGCGCAAACAACCAAACGTCAAAAGCTGCCGGCGCTGCCTCACGAGCAGGCCACAGCGCAGCCAGCGGCGCTGGCGGCAATGGACGTTGTTGAGCTGACCGACGTCGCTGTCATTGGAGCCGCCTTCAGTGGTAGCTTCGATCCTGGCGCCTCACTGGCCATGGCAGCGGCCGCGCTGTCTGGCCCCGTGAAGCCTTCCAGCATGCCCGCGGCGGCGGCCACCATGACGGGTGCGGCTGCCCCGGAGCCGCTCACTGGCTCACTTGGGACCGGCAGTGGCAGCGGCCTACTGGGCAGCTCCCCGCAGCACATCGGCCTGGGCCGGCGGTTGTTCCAAGCCGTCACTAACCAGCTGCCACCCGGTGAGTCTCCGCCATGTCCCCGCACAGTGTTCAAGTGTGTACTGTACCTGCGTTTTGCAACCACCAGTCTATAGCCCATGTGCGATTCGTGTCGTGCAACCAGGTGCAACCGTCCTTTCCTTGCTGACCTTTGTCCACCACCCAAACCTTTCCCTGTCGTCAACTGCTTCCATGCGGCCCCACCCTTCAGACTCGGAGCTTGACTGCTTGCTGCCGCCGCGCAACGGCTTCGTGGGGGTGCTCTACACCTCCCCCGCCAGCGCCACCCAGGTGGGGGCCGCCCTGTGGGACGGCGCCACGCTGCGGGACCTGGGCCTGTACAGCAGCGACCGAGACGCGCGTCAGAGCGTCAACAGCTCCTCCAGGCTGCTGGCGGGCACCCTGGCGGCGGCAGCGGCGGCGCAGTCGCCCTCGCTAAGGCACTTGCTTGGCGCCGCCAGCGGCGGTGCCCCCACCGTGGCTGGGCCCCGGGGCTCCTTGCTTGGTCCGTTGGCCTCGGCTCGAGACCTGGGTTCGCTCGGCAGTGGCAGCTTGTTTAGGTCTTCTGGAGGAGGGGCCGGGGCCGGAGGGGGCGGCTGCTGCAGCATCGCTTCTGGGGGTGTGACGGCTGCTACGGTGCTTCGCTCTGCGCCCTTCCAGCAACAGCAGCAGCAGCTGCTGCTACAACGACCTAGCAGCCGTCTCGGCGCTGCTGCGGCCGCTGCTGGCGGGGGCCTGTTGCCCGGCGCCCCTTCTGCATCCGCATCTGGGCCGGCCGGCGTCATGTCCCTTGCTGCGTCGGGTAGCGTAACGGCGAATGGTGTGCGGAACCTGCAACACAGGGTGTTCAACGCCTTCGGCGGCGGCGCCATGGGTGGGGTTGCTGGCGGTGGCGGCAGCAGCGGTACGGCAGCAGCCCCCCGGGACTCTGTACTGCTGCAGACGCTGCCTCAGGAACGTTCCGTGGCAGCGGTGCTAGCGGAGGCGGGCAGCGTGGTGGGCGGCATTGACGTGGGGAGACTGGGGATTGCGCCGCCGCCGCCACCACCGCTACAGCCGGTGCCCCGAGGCAAGGCTGCTGCTATGGGGCCGGCGGAGGTCGCGCTGCCGGGGACGGCATTTGGAAGGGACTTGGAGGCGGTTGGATCTTGTACGGTCAAGTCGCCCATAACAGGTAAGCTGTGCACAGCTCTATATGGCCGGCGCAGCGTCCTGGCGTCTGGGGATGGCTGGAGCAGCTGTTGTGCATGTCAATTAGCCGATAGAATCTATCGGAGCGCTCCGTGTTTTCGTGTTTCGGAGCCTCAGCAGGTGCCTATACCTGTTTTTCGTGGCGTGTATACACCGCAGCTCTGGATCTCAGGGCATCGGCACCAGGTTACATCTCAATCCTTTCCTGCAGGGCCTTACCTGCTGTCGCCGCCCGATGTTTTGCCGGACGGCAGCGTGCACCTGACGTGTCAGATTGTCGTGCAGCAGGTGAGACCTTGAGCGTGGCATTGAAGAAGAGCAAGCTATTCGAATAAACACTATGCTGCTAACACACGCAAAACTGTGAACCCGGTTTCCCGTTCTCGATTGGGTGTATCTAATCTTGGTGCGCCAAGCTGTATCTTGTCCCCCAGGGGAGCACTGCAGGAAGCCGACAGGGGAGCACACCTAACATCTAACAGCAAGAGGCACCCGCTACTCTTTGTCCATGCCGTGCAGGCGGAGGCCCTCTCAGCGCCCGACCTAAACAGCGTCGTAGCCAGGTCGCTCACATCAGACAAGCTGCGGTCCCTGCTCGGCCCGGCAGCCCTACCGCCGGCCAGCAAAGCCGACGGCTCAGCTGCTGCGTCCGCTCACGCAGCTGCCTGCGCCATCGTCATCCCCGTCGCATCCGCCACGGGGCCCGTCACGCCTGCCGTCACGCCGCCTTTACCTCTAGCAACTGCACCAGCAGAGGAGGCCCAGCAGCAGCAACAGCAGCAACACGTCCTCAAGCTGCGGTACATGCCGTATGATCCCTCCGCGGCTCCAGCAGCAGCAGCAGCAAAAGCGGCGGCGGCGGCCCATGCAGCCACGGGGACTGCTCGAGAGTCACAAGGAGCGGCCCCCAACATGACTGCTGCTGTCGTACACATGACCGCTCCTTCCATTGTTGCTGCGAGGAATGGCGGCCCGGCCTCAACTCCCGCCGTCACCGGCGCAGAGCAGGCTGGCGTGCAGCACGCGTCCCAGGGTGGCAAGGGGTCCCACCTGGGAGGCAAGGACGTTGGCCGTGGCTGTGGCTCTGCTGCTCAAGAAGCCATTGCTGGCAGCAACGATAACGGCGATTACCAGGCTGGTACCGGCGCGGCCGGGGAGGGTACTGCCGGTGCAGGTGGAGAGGGCTTGGGCAACCTGACTCACAGGAGGGCCCTGACGGCGAGTCAGAGGGAGCTCATCCGGCAGGCGCTGACGGCGGCGGCAGCACCAGCTGGCGGCGGGGCAGGCGCGGGCGGCGGAGGCGGAGGCGTTGTGGGAGAGGGTTTCAAGCAACAGATGCAGGGCTGCTTCAGTGCCAACGGCGCCGGGGGTGGTGGAAAGAGCCGCCGCCGTGAGGGTGAGGCACAGCAGGCAGCAAATGGCTGCTTGTTACCAGGGCAAGGTGTGACGGGACAGGCGGCGGCGACGGCACCTCGATACCGTCGCACCAGCAGCAACAGCGGCGGCGACAGTGGGGCCCCTGGGGACCAGCACCCGGTGTTGGCTGGGTGCACCGCCAACACCGGCAGCAGAGGAGCCGCTGCCGCCGGTACGAACGCCCCGACCGGTGGCTTCGTGAAGGACTCTCCCGCAGCCACCACCACCGCTCACGCGGGTGGCAGCACCTGCGCCACGACTGCCGGGCGCCTCCCTGCCAGCGCGGCGGGAGGGGCTGGGGGACGTGGCGGTGTGGCGGCTGGTACGGCGGAGCCCCGGCCTGGGGAGGGTGCGGGGGACGGAGGCAGGGTTGACGTTCTGGGCGGTGCAGATGCAGCGAGCGATGATGGTTCTCGACCTGAGCCTGCACGTGGTGTCGACGGTAGTGCTTAACTCACGGCCTTCGTTAGACGCAGCTGTCTGGGGGTGAGCGGGGGTAGCTAGTCCGCACAGGACTGGAAGAATTGGATTGCATGTAGCTGTCTGGGGAGTGAGGGGTTCTGCTTCGGTGCCATTGCACCCCCTGGTCAGCTGCCATCGTAGCTTGGCGTATGCGAACTCACAGCGAGAAGTCCGTGTGCTAGCCGTGTGGTAGACGCAGATGAGCTGCAAGGGCATGGTTGCTGACAAGAGGCATATACTGGAAAGTTGGCTTTTAGGTAGTGTCGTGTGGTTCTTTCATTGCATTTTTACGTGACATGGATTGGAATCGTGGTGGATATCCTTTGCTTTGGGCACGTAGATGGTAGGCGGCAGTCTGCCGCACGTGCCTAGTTTGTTATGTCGGCACTTGCTTCGGCCGAACCGTTGCGATGTGTTCTGAGCTTTCGTTGCTGTGCGACACACGAGGCATCACACCCTGTTGGGCCTTCATGGCAGGGCCTGGGGGGGCTCAAGCAGCATGTCCGTGTCTCATATCTCTCATTGCATGCCCCAGGCTTCGGAGCGCGCGTGAAGTTCCACTCCTTGGGTCCACTTCACTTTGATGCACAGTTGGAGAACGACATGCAGTCATGCACGGAGCACGGACACTGAGGTCGCGTTGTGCAGTGGGGGTTAGGCTCGGCACCTTTCTTGACTGGAGAAGCACCTGGGAGCCGCGCGAAATGATACTCCTGTGATGGCTAAGGAGGCTTGCGGCAATCTTTTATGTTGTGTGTGGAGTGAAATAAGACCACGTTTGACGAGGTCGAGAGGTGACGACTCCTGTGGCGAAGCACTGTTGTTAATTGGTATGAGAGGCGATGGGAATGTGTGCTGCGGCTGCGGACTGTTGTGTGCTGGCAGGGACAGCAGTCGTGCAAGGCATGTGCGAAGAGTTTGTACGGCGCGTTTCTGTGCGCACTTAGCACGTTTAGCGGGGGATAGAAGCCGGCCTGGTGTAGCAGAGCATCCATGAGGGACTTAAGGTGCTCGCCCGAATAGGGCCTATATTACGTTTACGGTACGTGTAAGCCGGTAGCTGTGGTGGTTATTCATGTGACGCGCGTGGAAGCAGGTCGCTGTGTGTTTTAATGCTGCACGCCGTACATGCGTATGTTTGGTGCTTTTGTTTGTGGACTGAGGTTAGTGCCTGTGTCTGTGAGATACCCAGAGACACGCGGCTGCACCGGTAGACACCGTTAGGCACCCTGGCCTGGCAAGAAGCTGCTAACGTGTTTTTTCACGCGCTGTTGGGCCCGCGGGTTGGATTGCTGCACTGCACTTGCAGGACCGAGCTGCAACTCAATGTCTCCACTTGACATCCTTGGAAACCCGCCGCCATAACACCTCCGCTAGTACATGGACGTGCAGGTGGTGGAAAGAGCTGTCATGGTTTGGATGCAACATGCGTTGGAAGCGGCTCCACGGGCAATGCCTACAGTAGCTGCGGGAACTGCTTTCCTTCTACACCAACTTTGCTTGGTTGGCAAGGGGGTGACCCGTGGACCTCGGTGGGCGAAGCACTTTCAATCAGACTGCAGTAGTAAGAGCGCCTTGCCTGTGCGGCGTAAGCTACACCCCAAACCTGTCCCAAATACACAAAGGAAGAAAGGAGTCCTCGTATGGAGTGGCGGTGTACACCGCTATGGTTCATGGGGTTGTGCGGTAGGGCGGAGGGCCCTACACCATACCATGTACGCCCGAACCGCCTGATCACGGAGTTCTTAGAGTGCTGCTGCCTTGTGGGCTGCTTTCCAGATTAGTTGTACGACACGGTATGGATGTATCGAGGGTAGGGCTGAACAGTACTGTAAGGCGTGAACCGGTTGCACTGCATTCGTACAGCCACCGTATTCGGTAAAAATCGGTATCCCGTATCCGGCATGAAGATCACGCGGTTCGCTGCATTTTGGCGACACTAGGTTACGTGTTTAAGCCTTGGCCTTCTGAGGAGCTTACGCAGTATGAGTGCACAGGCGCATGACCCGGTTGATGTGAAAGAAGCGCTCCTCGGGAAGGGCGTCACTGAAGAAGCGTACAATCAGTACACGGAGCTGTATGAAATGACGTAAGATAGCCTATAGGAAGCTATGGTGGACGCCCGCTATGAGGCTTACAAACTTGCATGTGTTGTTTCATGTCAGGATTTCGCCATCCGAGGATAATGCTGATCACAAGGATGCGATAAGATTAATGTTTCAAAGAGCCCACTTCGAACCTCCAAAAGACGACGAGTTCACTGTCCACGGCATCCTAAAAGGTGTGATGTTCCATGTTTGCTGGAAAGGGTGTTTTCCGTCTAGGTAACATGCCCCTTCTCACCTCGCAGACAGACCAACTCTTTACCAATTCTGCGACTTCTTGCACGGTTTCTTGGTGAGTCACCTTGAGCTACGATGCTGGCATCATAGCCATAAGCCCCGGCTCCCGTGTAAAGCGATGGCACAGGGCGCAGCCCTTCTCTCGCGACCGATCCTCCTCCTTCCACAAAGACGCATTGCCTCCTAACCGCACCCCCCTCTGTAGGCACGCAACAACCTCGCCCTGAAGGACCTTCTGGAAGCCGCCCGACGCGAAGCCCAGCTTAACCAAGACCTCGCTGACGTGTTCAAGTACTTTGACCGTGACGACAGCAAGAAGATCAGCAAGGAGGAGGTGGGTGTGCGCGGTGTTTTGGGCCGCTGGGGCGCATTAGGTCTGGGACGGGGAGCACTTCGGCGTGTTTTAGGCCGGGGTGAGGATCTCGGTGGTGTGTGCGGGCCGGGACGGGAAGTCTCGCAGAGCAAGTTGCATCTTTGCAGCAGTAGTAGCAGCACCTCCCTTTAGGCGGCATGCGAGCGAGGTAGCAGAGAGCGAGGCATGTTATCGGCTACTCGGCTTCCTCTGCCGGCATGCCCCTGTTCATTGAACAGCGTCAGAGCGCCCTTGCATCATCACTGCCCTCTTATGCCCTTAGCCTTCTCTGCCTAACAGCTGTCGGCTCACATTTCCTGGCTCCGCCCTCTCTCTCTATCTCATCACAGCTCAGGACTGCCTTGGCACGGTACGGAGACCAAATGACCCCATCGGTGGGTAACAGAGACACATAGCCATTACCTCTCGCAACCTTTACCTCCATACACCGTCTCACCGTGTAATTGCTTTGCGTCAATGCCGCGGCGAAATGACACCCTGCGAATGGACGGAGGCCTGGTGCCGGTACTAGACCTTGTCGAAAGACATTTACTGTTGCACACCATTGCTTATCGTACGTCTTTCTTGTCGTACAGGACGTGGACAAAATCTTTGAAGCGGCGAAATGCCAGCCCGGTGGCGAAATGACGGTCGAGGAGTTCACGGTAAGAGGTGGTGTGTTGGGCCGGGCGTTGATGGGGCTGATGGGGTATGTGGGGCCGCGACTGGTATCCTCACCCCTTACCCTACATGCCCGCCGCCCCAACGGCATCCTCCCTAAGCCCCCTCCCCCCCGCATGCCCTGCGGCCCCCCAGTCGCCCCCAACTCCCTGTTCCTGTGTTTACCGCGGCGTAGCTCATCTGATCCTCTGTTCCAGCCCCTCGCCACACGTGCACATGTAATGCCTCAACCTCGCTACGTTCCTTCTCGTGGCCAGTTTTATTAACACATTGCGTTTCAACGCGGTCTGCTTCAGCCAGACTTCCTCCTCTCCTCGCCCGATCGCCCCTTCTGTTGCTTCCCTGCATGCCCCCTCTCCCTCTCCCCAACACAACACGTTGGGTATTCTTTTTCCTCTTTCCTCTCCTGCCGTCGCGCCCAGGCACTCATGGTTGAAGCCCTTAAGTCGGACGATCAGCCCAACGGGGCCCAGAGGCAAGGCACCCGCACCGGCTCAACCCGGCCGTCAACTGCCTCCGGCATGCCGTCAGTCGGGGCCAAGTGAGGGGCGTTGGGCGGGGGTGGTGCGGGGGGAGTGGTGGCACGCTGCAGCGGCTTGCAGCGTGGCTAAGGGGAAGCTGCGGGACGCAGGCACCTGGGGTCCGGGACGGGACTGGGTGCTGTTGAGCTGGCTTGCCTGGGTGGTGGCATAGGGCGCGGGTGGCACCCTCCGGCCTTTGGATGTGGTGGTGATGGGGGGCGTGGCGTGCGTTGGGGTCTATGGCGATGCGTGATGACCACCTGGAGGCATCGGGCTGGCGGGCTGGGTAGGTAGCGGCGCTTTGGTGGCTAGGATTGCCTTCTGGCAGAGGGCTGCGACCATTCATAGATGCTGTGGTGAACGGCAAGGTGCCGGATTTCAGTTGCATGACGATGTACCTGGTAGTTGCTGTCTTGTCCCGCGCGCGCCGATGTGCGTCATGTGCATATGATTCTTTTAGCCCGGTGATGTAGCCAGGAGAAGCCTGCTTGTACGGAGCGTGTGCAGGAGGGATATAAATGGTGTCCATGGGTATTGTGACACAGCTCTAGGCCAGCTTCCGGCTCCAGAACTCTGGGGGCACAGCTCTGTATTGGTTGGCACCCTGGGGCTGTTGGCATGACTGATGTGAGCGGACATCATACCAAATGGCTGAGGGGTTGTGAGCGGGTTGTAGCTTGACAGAGCTGGAAACAGGGTGGTGCTTTAAAAGCGCAGCAAGACACAGTGCTTTGATGCCTGTCTTGCGTGTGACTCTGGTGCGGTGTAAGTAGGGTAAGTTATTGATCGATGGCGCTGCGATGGGGTTCTGCTAAGGAGTGAGGGATGCGGTGCAAGATTTTGCCTGCAAGTACCATAGCATGGAGATCGGTGCGAGTGAATGTAGGAATATTGTTAAATGTACGTAGCAGCTATCGTGGGTATACGACTAATGCGTAGTCGTGGCGCAGTTCACGTTGCGAGTTGCCAAAACACATGGCCATTTGCTAGGGTTGCTGGGCGACGTTGCGATACACGGCCCGCAAGCCCCATCCCTGGCTGTCAGTCAGACCTATCGAATGTAAATGTTTCATACTGCGACTTGACGGACAAGATGCCTTGCTGGTTGACGGTGAATCCGGTTGGCCGTACTGTTGGCAGAAGGTAGCCGGTGGGCGCCATGGTTTGCTATCTTTTGGTGTAGCATGGACTATGCTAGCCCATGGAGAAACATTTCAACCTCTGAACATGGAAATACACTTATACCACCGTTCTTAAGCGAGCTGTCGGGAAGGCAGCAGTCAAGTCGTCGCGTGTAGCTCTGCTCTATAGCCTTTTTCAGCATGGTCTCATGCCTTGCATTGGAATGCTTCAGACCAGGGAGGTCTGCAAAGGAGAGGCAACAACAAAGGCTGCAAGCACTTAAGGTGCGTCTGGTGGATGCGACAAAACCTGCTCTAGCGGAGACCAACACAGGGCACTACTTAACATTTTTGTTTTCCTTATCAGGAGCTTGAGGCTATCCAGTCAGGCGTAAGGTCCCCTACAAACGGGCCATGGACGACAGGGATTACGAGCCTGAAAGGAAAAGTAGAAGAACCAGACTGCGAAGGGGAAACCGACCGTGATCTTGACTCTCCTTCGTATAGTATAGAGGACCGCCATGTCATATTGGAAGCGGTGCGTCTTGGGAACTGGGTCCCCAAGAAGCAGCACAGGATGAACGCGGGGTTCCTGCAGTTCACGGCATGTCATGAACTGCTTCTTAACTGCAATTGTCTGTAGACATTTCCAGACCTCAAACGCCGGAAGGACGACGGACGTCTAACTTGCGGTCCTCCATGCAGGGATGCCACGCCACAAGAGCTGCCAACAGGGCCCCTGTCACGCCAACAGCCCCAGTATCATCTGCCAGGGATAACGCAACGCCGCACGGTCACCATGTAAACGCAGACGCTACCCAAAGCTGTCAGCGCACTGCTCCTTGCAGCAGGCCCAGCTACGCAACAGCAGCATCTTTTGGCAACGTCGGGACACCATCTTCCCGGCTGCAGCCGGTAAATGAGGCTCGAGCGCTGGACGAACCGCCTTCAACTCCCCCTTCCACACGTCCCATGCCAGCAGCAGCTGCTGCGTCGTTGTCTACCCCCGACACCCGCACGTCCGCCGCCGAGGCCCCCACAGCCACGGGCTCAACCGTGTCCTGCAGCCCGCTTCCGCAGCCCACACCAGCAGCCGCACCGTCGGCAGCAAGTCCCCTTGGAATATCAGTTTCGGCGGTAACCGCACAACCGGGCAGCCTGCCCGCCTCCTCGCCTTCCACCCCGGCCCCGAGCGGCCCCACGCCCCTCCTGGCCGTGCATGTCACCACCACCGCCGCCAGCTGCTGCTCCTCCTCGTCCGCAGTCGCCGCTACCGCGACCACCACTACAGCCTCAGGCCCTGAGGCCCAGTGTCCTGCTGGTCAGACCGATACTGCTCTGCCGCCCACTTGTGCAGGGGCTGCTGTCGCGGGTGGCGGTGATTGCAGCGGCGGCGGAGGCAAGAGCAGCAACACGAGCCCATGCAACGGCAGTGGCAGTCCCCCTTGCAGCATGGGTGCAGTTACTGCGGATCCAGACACCGCTAGTCCGCCGGCGCAGCGGGCACAGGCGGCGGCGGCTACTGCTTCCGCGGGTGCAGCAGCGTCCACGCATGCAACCAGGGGGGATGTGGGTCAGCGCTGCAGCGGCGCCTGCTCCACCTCCTCCTCGCCCTGCTGCTCACAGCCGGGCGCCACGTCAGCAGGCTGCGACGCCGCGGCCCCTCAAGGCCGCAGCCGCATTTGCACGGGTAGCGCTGGAAATACTGCGGATGCGGGCGTTAGCAGCAGCACGGATGTCTCCTTTGGTGCGAGCAGCGTTGCAGACACACGCAGGTCGTCTGATAGCGTCTCAACAGATGCTGTGGCGTCTGCGGTTGTAGCGGGTATTAAGAGTGGATGTGTGGGAGGAGCTCACGCACACACACAGAGCTGCAGCGCTAGCAGCAAGCCGAGTTGCAGCGCTAGCAGCAGCTTTAGCAGCGGGGGGCCAAAGGTTGCTGCATCTAGCCAGGCTGCCTGCAGCCCGGTAGCAACGCAGGGGCGGGAGCAGGCACAGAGCCCTGTTGAAGGAGGGGGGCCTGTGGGTCCGAGCACTCGGGATTCCCATTCGAACGCGGCGCCGAGCCCTGCGCCGCCGTCTCCGGGGGTACCAGCGCTGGGCGTCCAGTCGACAGCAGCAGCAGTGGCTGTGCCTGCACCCACAGGGCCGCAGTCGCGGCAGCAGAGCCCTCCGCAGCCGAAGTTACCGGCGCAGCAGGGCGGGAGTGCCGGGTCGCCTGCTGCCGCAACCCCCGTAGCCGCCCCGCGACCGGGGGGCCAAGGAGCAGCGAACGAGGCAGCCAATGCCGGCTTCCATACCCCAGTCGCTGCCCCCAAACCCCCAGCCTCGCCCGCCAGCCAATCCCATCACCAGCCCCAGCCCCTGCCCCCCATGCCGCGGAACGCCGCCGCTCCCAGCCGCCAGCCATTCGCCCCCTCCGGCTCCGCTGCCGCCGCCCCCGCTGCACAGCCAGTGCAACGCTGCAGCCCATTCGCCCCGGTATACGCCGCGCCCAGCCCCTACCGCGGCGGAGGCAGTGGCGGCGGTGTCGGCAAGTCCTCCACCACCGCTGCCGCCGCCTCCGCACAACCCCCTCGCGGCAGCCCCTTCATCTCCCTGTACGGCCCCGCCAACCTGGGCGCGGGGGCCTCGGGCCGCCGCACTCCCCCGCCCCCCGGCAGCTTCAGCAGCGCCTCCACCCGGCTGGCGCTGCACGACGTGCTGTCCAACCGGCCCTCCCGCGCGCGTGCCGGCGGGGTGGGCGGCAGCGGCAGCATGAGCGTGAGTCAGCTTGGGAACATGGACTTCAGGCCGCGGTGGCGGTAGCAAGGGTGGCGTGGGAGGGTGGCCAGACTGCCTGGTGTGTTTTGGTTTGTAGTAGGGTCAGAGAGAAAGCAAGCCAAATTATGGGTGCAGTGGGGGATACGGCATGCGTGCATGTGATGGGGTTGGTGCTGGTGTTCTTTCTTCCAGCAAGGGCGAGGAACTGCGCTGGGTAGCGTCTAGGAGGGTTGGGTGATGGGATAGCGATACCCGTTAGGGCGGCGGTTAACAAATAGAAGCGGTTGGGGGAACGGTTGTTAAGCGGTGGTCCCTGGAGTCTTGGGCTTGCTGGTTTGAGACCCCTGGCGCATCCTGTATAGCCGCACATGTTGCAACATACATCGCATTCATTGTACACGGATCTCGTAGCGCGCGCCTCCCTTGCTTTCCTGCCAGGGGCTGTCGTATATCCGCCGCATGGTTGCTGCGACGCCTTTGGCGCTACTAACTCATGCGTGTTCGGTATCTAACTCAAGGTGTACGGCATTGTCAATAAAGCATCAGGTATTTGCAACGATGGGGGCTGACATGTTCGTGAGTACTCCATCTTGGTAAGAGGGGGACTTGGTTGTTATTGAACCTGATGGCAGGGCTTTGTAGGCCTGCATCACTGCCTTGTGGACTTGCATGTGATTCCCCTTTCATGACCGGTTACATCGGCCAAACCTGATCGTCTTAATTCACTGATCTCACATATGTGCGTACCTAGGGTGGTTATGCCCTGGTATGGTTGCGTTCGTCAACCAATCAACTGATGAATGGTATGATTGCGTTCGTCTGTTCGTCACCGATGTTGTTCACCTGTTGGGGGCTTATCGACGCGGGACAGTTTCAGGGGCACTGTCTGAGTGCTGAGGTTCCAGGTGGGCGCTGATCCGCTGAGAGTCGCAAGAGAGGGTTTTGCCTCGCCCCTGGTTGAGCGTTGTACAAGACCGTGTTCGCAGACGCCTGTGAACAGTGACGGCTGTTAAGGTCCGCAAACTGATCGTCATGTTGTAAGGAAACAACGAAGCGGACAGTGCACCTTGGTTTGGCCGCTTAAAAAACGTCCTGTAGGCGCCGGCATTCAGCAGGTCAGACACAGCCGCTTGCGGTTACAGCCTACGGCATCCTGAAGACACTCCTGCAACCCGTGAGGCTGGCAGCAACGCTGACGTGCATTGCATGGGGCGTGGGAAGCGCTAGATGGAACTGGGGTTGCCTGGGCTCACTAGTGGGCTAAGGTAGGGGCGCACTTTACACACCCGGATACCGCTGTACGACGGCGGTTGTGGCTTAAGGGCGCCCAAAGGCATATTCGCCAGCCTGCACTCAATCGGCAGAGAAGGCTACACGACACGTTATTGCAATGCAGCATCGCTAGGACCTGCAAGCTGCTCTGATGCCTGCCATCACTGCGACTTAGGGAGTTGTGTATTGTTTAGGTAGCAAGGTCTACAATTCAAAGCATAAGACATAGGCTATAGGTTGCCGATGCAAAAGCGACAAGCAAAGCGCGCTCGAACGGAGCAAGCCGACCAGCCGGCTCGTCAGCAAACATGCGCCGTCGACGACCGTCCTTCCAACACAAAAGCCGCGGCTAAGGAAGAGCCAGACGGAGTTAGCAGTTTCCTGCAGTCATGGGCTTGGAAGCGCGAGCACAGGTGCGGTTGCATATAGTTGCCGTTGATGCTTATTTCTCCATGGCGGTGTCATCCTTGCACCAGGAGGCCGCCTCGCATCAACCTCAGCCGCCTCCCCCTGCTGTCGCTGCAGACCTGACCGCGACCGCTTTCAACGCCCCTACATCCACTCTCTCCAACTGCCGGACTGGGTTCCGGGCGCCGGCAGCACGGTCAAACTCACCATTGAACAGGTGCGCGGTAGTACGCATGAATCCCCGGTTCCGCAGAAGGTTACAGTACCTAAGACTCGTCTGGCAATGGCATAGTTTTAAAGGCCTTACGTTATTGCCTCGGCAACATGCCTGATGCCGTTTCTCTGCAACTACCCTCAACTACCCGCTTCCCATACCTCCCCTCCCCTCCCCTCCTCCCCCGCCCCACCCCTAAGGCCCGCTTCCACGGCGCCCAGGGTTTCGCCTCCACCGTGTGGGACTCCTGCATCGTGGTGTCCAAGCTGCTGGAGCGGGGCGCGGGGCGGCTGGTGCGGGGGGCTGGGCTGCTGGACCTGTCGGCGGGCTGCGGGCTGGTGGCGGTGGTGGCGGCGCGGCTGGGTGCGGGGCGGGTGGTGGCCACCGACCTGGCGCCCAACCTGCCGCTGCTGCGCAGGAACTGCGAGAGGAACGGTGGGTGGGTGGGTGGTGAGGGGGTTGGGTGGTGGTGGGGTGAGGGTGAGGGTGGTGGTGGTGGTGACAGCGGGTGTAGCCCGCCCTGAGCGCCCTGATGGGAGGGGGCTTGGGCTGGATGGTGGTGGGGGGGGCGGGAGGGGGGACGTCGCTGGCGTCGTTGGCAGTACACCGAACCGCCTACCGCCGGCCTCCAGCATACCGGTACTCCTCCGTCCTCGCCTCTCTATTGCGCATGTGCGTTGTTCCCAGCGCACCCCAGGTGCCTATTTGTCTTGTGGCATCCTGCTGGCCCCTTTCCCCAATGTCTTGCCATAATATATGGTTTGGTATGTATCTTGGACCCCCAGGCGCCTCCTCAGTGGAGGTGATGGAGCACTGGTGGGGCACCGACACGCGCCCGCTGCTGCGAGGGGAGGAGGAGCAGCAGGAGGAGGAGGGGGCAGCAGCAGGCGGAGCAGATGGCAGTGGCGGTGGTGGTGGAGGAGGAGGAGGAGGAGGAGGAGGGCGGCTGGACCTGGTGGTCGCGTGCGGTGAGCCGGGAGCAGGTGGCGTGCTGTTAGGATGCGGCCTACTGTGACTGCCTGTGACTGCCCCTCTCACCCTACCCTTCCATGACCCCCCCCCCTTCATGCACCCGTGCGCCTCACTTCCACCCTCCTACCCCCTTTCATTCTCCACCCGCGTCTCACCCCCTCCTCCCAGACGTGATGTACCAGCCTGAGGCCGTACAGCCGCTGGTGGCCTCCCTGGCCTCGCTGTGCCGGGGGGGCGGAGGAGGAGGGGGAGGAGGTGGGAGCGGGAGGAGGAGGGCAGGAGGGAGTGGTTCTCAAGAAGGAGGAGGGAGCGGCAGGGGCAGCGGAGACAGCAGCCACAGTAGCGGTGTTTGCGGTGATGATAACAGTGGAGGTGCAGGCAGCGGTGATGGCGGCGGTGCATGTGATGGAGGAGATGGAGGCGGAGGCGGAGGTGGAGGTGGGGCCCGCACTCGGGTGTTGTTGGCTCACGGTCGTAATCGCTTCGCGGAGGGCGCCTTCTGGGCCGCTGCGGGTGCCGCTGGGTTCGCGTGGTGCGGTGTGGGGGGGTGGGAGTTGGACCCGGTGTACCGGTGCAGCGATGTGGACGTGTTCTGGATGTGGCTGAGGGAGGATGGGGGAGAGGGGGAGGGGAAGGGGGAGGGAAAGGAGGGTAAAGGAGAAGGAAGGAGAGGGAAGGAAGAGGAAGGGCGGTGAGAGGAGAAAGGAGGAGGAAGGAGGTGGGGAGAAAGCATGAGGGGACGAGGGAACAGGGTGAGGGTGAAGGGAGGGCAGTGAAGGGAGCGGGCGCGTGGGAGTAGGAGGGGAGGGAAGCAGTTCCCGGGGAAGGTGCGCTGAATGGTGCGGTTGGGGCAAGTAAGAATAGCAAGGGGGCCAGGGGCCATGGCAAGGGGGAAGGGACGAAGGGCAAGGGGAAAGGGAAGAAAGCAGGTAGGTGTAGGGATCTAGGGAACTAGGTTGGGAGGAGTATGCGATTTTTACAGGGGAGTCCGAACGACTCAAGTGCGACGCACAACCCTTTGGGCCTTATAGACCATGCCACAAACTTAAGTCATTGGGATCAATTGTCCCTCTTCAAGTAAGGGATAACGTTTTATTCACCTGGTGGTGGTTTATACACCACTGAACCATTGTTATCAGTTGCTAGGAAAGGGTGTTGTCTAGGTACTCAGCCCCAACCTCTCGGGGAAATATTCAACGTGGCAAAGGAACGAATCCGTGCCCAAAAATCAGCCATTACCTCAACACCGATCGCATTAATCTCTTGTCTTGTAACCGTTCCTCCTTTTCCTTCCTCAAGTCCTTTTCTGTACATCAACTTTCTCCCCACCTCAAGAGCACTCAGAGCTGCAAGGCATACTATATCCCACACTAGGGTATGAATACCTAATGGCGGTATACCTAACCATAAATTCACCTTGGTCAGTTCAACGTTTTCACCAACTTCAAACCTAAGCATGTCACATAACGCTCTTGCCACCGTACATTCCCAAAACATGTGAATCCTGTCTCCCCTGATCATAGCAGCCGAACAAGGGCATCTTGTCACATTCCCTCTTAGCCGTGCTGCCTCATGCATTGGAAAAGCCGGAAAACCATTCACTGCTAACCTCCATAAAGCTTCCTTGTGTTCATTATCCCACCGTAAATACCATAGCCTTTTCAAAGTGTCTCTAAACTCTGTTAACGCCGTCATAGGAATCTCCGCAACACCCCTCGCTTCCTTGATGAAAGCTATATGTTTCATTTCCAGTGCATCATAACCTGCGCTCATTTGCAAGTGTGTCGCAATCTTAACGGTCAAGTCAGGTAGCTTTACCACTGTCCGCCCGATTCTCCAACCAACACTACGGGCTATCCGACTCCACGTCTCCTTTTCCGGTGGGATAATCCCGTCCACCCGTCGTTCAATCACACTTCTCGCTGCTAGTACCCACCCCATGGGTATGTAAAGCAGAATTGTGTTCATCCAATTTAGCGCTGTCACCCATGATCTCAACGGTTCTGGGGGTATATACCCATCAGGCAAACCCAACACTCCTCTTAAAATCCTTGTTGCGTAAATTTGCTCACACTCCTGGTACATACTCGGAGTAAAAAAAATTGTCCCGCTATCCTTAACCGAACTGAGGAATGCCCTAACACATTTAACTGCCACTCCTACCGTGTTAAAACCACGCAATTCCCTCAATTCAGCGAATATCGTGTCTAAGCATTGCCCACCATTTGCTACGATTATCGGATTCCCCCATAGGGGAATATTATAGCACCAATCACCTGGAGACAAAAGAGTTACGTCCACTATTTCAATGGGTGGAAGGTGGCTTAGGGCCGACACTAGCCGTTCCATGGCGGGGCACCTAATCTTAACTTTCCTTCCCAGGATCATCCTATCACCTAGCAATCGGTTGTCTCCCGGGATTGGTAGTAGGCACAGTGGATGTGCTGCTTCATGGATCTTCCTCATTAAGGCTAGCAGTACCTTAGGCCATGCTGGGGTTGTCCGGAGTCCTCCGCATGCCCCCATGATGCCTCGTACTGCGGTAGCTGCATGGCGTCCTCTGATGTGCTCCGTAAGCGGGAGAAGCCCGAAGCCCCCTACTGATGGATGAAGGCTAAGGTACACCACACCCACTCCCGGCACTTTCCGTCTTGCTGGGTCTCTGTGTGCTGATGGGGGGCACCTGCGGTCTACCACTGCTGCAGCTGCTGCTCTTAGTTCTGCCAGTTCTTTTGCTCTGGGTAGGCCCATAAACTCGAGTTGGTACAGGACTTTGCTGAGGCTGTACCCTGAGACGGCTGACGCTCTTCCAAAGGCCGAAAGCGGCATTGTCGCTACTCGTTCCATGCTGGTGAAGGCTGGCTGGAGGTTGACATCACTGGGAGGAGGTCAGTGTTTGGGCAGCTTGGGCAGGTGCCGTACACTAGGGCCATGTACGGCAGTGAGTCACACAGCAGGTGACAAGCAGCATGGTGCACTCTGCAGGGTTGGGTGCGCAGCGTGTGTGGGCCCTGGAGGGCGGACTTGGTTTGCGGAAGTGCTGTATAGCCATGACGTAGCTCGGTTCCTGCGGCTGTTAACAGGGTGCGGATACGGTATAGATGTTGTGTTGGCACCCCTTTTGTACGCGAACTGCCGCGCTTGGCCTGGCTTGGATTGTAAGGATACCTTATCTAGTAATCCGGTTCGCGT